ACTATCTGTTATCAATATAATTACAACAAGGATTTTCAGCAGAACATATTGATAAATTTAAGGAGATCCTCTAATATGTATGTCCTCTAATATGTATCCTTGATCCTCTAATATGTATGTCCTTTTAAAGACTATTTCTTATATCCATGTTAGCTATCGAGCCACAGCGAAACAGTTGTCGTCTCTCTTCATCAGAAGCCCAACTCCAGGCCAAAGGCTTGTAAAATCCATAGAACTGGTTGCAAGAACTGGTGGAACGCATTTCCGCTCTGTTGCATTAAGTGTGCCGTTGTACCAAAAGCTTTATTTAGATCTAATATTAGTGTTTATAATTGGTGTGTTCAGTTTTGTGTTAGTAATAACATACATGTACCCTTTTGTTATACGCAGACTTAAAACTTTGAAGAAAAAAGATAAAAACATTTAAAATAGTTTTATACGATTTTCATTTTTTTTTTAATATCTGTTCGGTTCAATTAACCTCCTCTAAATGACTGAATCGCTTGGTTTTTTCATCATTAATATAAATAATAAAGGTTTAGTAATGTTCTCTTGAGGTGAAACGATTTTTTTTATTTTCCCCTCATTGTTTTATCTTTCGTATAATGTACGTTAGTCGTACCTATTTGTTTGTTAATGTCATGTCATAAAATGTATTCATAACGATTTTCCCAACGAGATTTCTTCTTATAATGATTGCTTTTTTTTTAAATGTTTTATTAGAAACAATCGGTCAGCAGATATTTCAAAACTTTTTCTCGAAAAATTTAAATTAAGACAATTTCCAAGTTTGTTTTATATATTCGGGGAATACATAATTCATAAATGAGGAATTGATAAGGTGAGTAAGTCAAGTTACTTAACTCCTTTTACAAAAGAAAAAAAACTTTAGTGGAAGTTTGATCAATTCCTCTAAGTAGGTATATATGTATTTCATGTTAAACATAAATTCGGCTGTAATTGCTGTCATAAAATAATTTTGAGAATACGTCATAGCGCTGCTATTATTTACAATGAATGCAGTTCGAAAATATTTATTCAGTAAATAATTATTAAACTCTTTGTTCAAAAAAAGAGGCTTTAAATAACTTTATATGTATCTACATATTCGAACGCAATGGCGATACAGAATTATTATTAATTGATTTATTACGAGTAGTATTTTTTTATATTTCAATATATTTGATCATTTTAGTATTGCACTTTACTTGTATGTATTAATGTAACGATTTAAGATCTTCACTTAATTCTAGTACTGTTATGTGATAAAAATATAATCTGATGTATGTAGAAAATATACGCATAGATATTGCTTTATATTTTCATTGTAATAGAAACGCTTCTAGTTCAATATTTTTTTTTAATATGGTCTCTTATCGTCTGTTGTATCACAATTGTACAAACATTAGAAAATTATTGATTCGAAGGTAAATCTATTATTTAAGCATACATATGTTATCATATGTATTATAGTGTATTCTAGAGTTTCTTATATTCTTAATATTATTTGATTCTAAGAGAAGACTGAGTATGAATTTGAAAGTGTAATTTGAGGTTTTTATATATATATTAAGGGTCTTAGTAATAGGTACGTCGCATACCCTGGTAAATGTAAACCAAACTCACAGTAACAACAGTACGAATTCATGCAATTCCTCTTTTAAGCAACTACATAATATAATATATTTTTTTTGCAATTTAGGTTCCAGTGATTTTATCCGCAAAAACTTTATAGTTGTTTGAAATTGGGAATAATAAATACGTAGTAGTTATTTTTAAAAGAGAAAATGGTTTAATTTCTCGGTCAGGTCGCTTCTAAAGTTTGACTTTTAAATGAAATCACAAAATTAATGAGATCTCTGATTTTCGCGAGTACTCATTTAAATGGAACTAATATTTTCGGATTTAATACGTAATTTTTTATTTTTGATTATAAACTACATACTCCCGACGTTTCGGCTACTTTACAGCAATCGTGATCACGGGCAGACGAGAGGTGAGTGTCGATACTAACAAAAAAAATCTCGTAGTAAATCCGAAAATATTAGTTTCATCACAAAATTAGTTTTTCTTAAAATCCTTTATTTTTGTACCTACCAAGTGCAATGCTCAGTGTACCACTGATTAAAAATGAAGAGCCCAACTGAAGAGAGCCCTCTTGTAAAGCAACCGATACTAGACCACAGCGGAATCGCCTTAACGAGCCCTGTGGCTTAATATGGGACACCCGTGGGGTTTTAGTGCGTCATTTTTTTTCGACGAGATTCCGACATAACCTCTCCTTGTTTTCTTCCACCCTAAGCAAGAGAGTATGCATTAGGCATTAGTCCACAATAAAAAATCTTTAAAAATATTCGTCATTAACGTCGTTGTTGTTGTTGAATTGCGATAATCTTGATTGGTAACTTAATGAGATCTAAGTGACTAATTTATTTAAATGATTAAGATACAAAGATGATTTAAATGATTATTTTAAGTTACGGAGGTGGCCTTGTTAGTATTAGTATACTTATTCCTATGTATATCTTTTACGAACCAAAGTTAATATTGCTTTTGTTATTCGTTTGTGCTAATTAATTTATTGTAATCGTCATTTAAAGCAAGTCTCACTTGCATTAAAGCAAGCCTCACTAATTATACCTGCATGTGAACAAAACTTTAAATATATATAGACACTTAAATCTTAACACCTAAAACTCAATTTTATCAGAGGTATAAAACCTGCCATGACCGAAAAAATTGTCCTTGACCAACTAGATAAAATATAATTTCATTTTTCAAACTATACATTACAATTAGACTTTTCTCATATTTTTTATTTAACAGACTTTTTATTCCATTAAAAATTTAAAATCCTAAAAATAACAATTCAATGAGCTCACTTTAAATCGATTGCCTTTAGGTCCTTGATCATTTTTTGAAATCGTAGCATTTTATTTATAACATTAGAAAATTTGGGTTTCTTCATTTGGGATCATGGCACTTTTATAACGTTAGAAAATGCTTATGGCACTTCGTAAAAGACAGTGGCGGTTACAAAATCAAATAAACAAAAAATCAAGCATGGTTTCTGCTCTTATTACAGTACCTAACACCTTAACACTTTTTTATTAAACAAAACGCTAGCATAAGTATACATAAAAGGAATTATTGCACAAATAGGCACGTATTAAGTATAAAATTCAAAGTAATCGTTTTTGTCTTTCAATTGAAATTATTTTGATCCTGATAACAAATGACTATTACTTAAATCGTTGTTTGAATAGAATAATTATATGTTGAACATCAACTTACATATTTTATGACGCTTTAATCATCAAAATAAGTCCAAAAAGTTTCCACCAAATGATACCTAAGAAATCATAGTGCTAATTAACAAGGATTTAGTTTTTAATAAATTCAATTTTTAATTATAATTTGTATAAAAAATCTAAATTTACTTTCTAATAAAAAAATTAAATTATATTAGGTATTTATAGTCAAAATATGGAAATTTTGTGACAAAATATGGAACATTCACATATTCTCAGATAATTTCACGTTCTTCGAAAATGTAGAAAAGGTTATTAAAATACTTCATATAGGCTATTTATCTTAAAGACATCGTTTTTGTTACAAAAAGTTGCTGATAGCAACTTATGATTCTAGCTTTTACCAGACACATTTTTTATTACATCCAAACCAAAATAATAATTTAATTCTGATAATTCCTTGATATTATTTTATACAAACAAACTTTAAGCTTATCTGCAAGGACCTATGACGTATTTAAACTCGGCTTTATTAATTTATTTATCTGAAGTGGCCATTGAAAACGATTCACAAAAATTAATACAGTAGCCGCACTTGATATGGCTCCTATAAAATACTGGAATTTTATTTAATGTTAGCCATACGCAGTTGAAATTTGCTAAGCAGTGTAGCGTTACAAAAACTATCCAAAATGAAAGGCTTTTTCATAATGCTTGCGCTGGTTTCTCTAATCCATGTCAAAAATGGTTCAGGACTTTATCTGTTGGGAGGTGAGTTTATTGCTGATTTTTAATACTTCTTCTAACAGAATTGAATAATTTTCTTCATTTTTTTATTTAGGGATCAGCAAATGCATCAATGTGTGGGATGATGGTTGTAATAATGGAGGGATGAATGGAGCTGGTAAGATTTTTTTATATATAACTAGCTGCTACCTTCGACTTTGTGTTACAAGTGGCACCATCAAGTGGCGTACTAATTATAATATGTATACTAAAATCCGTAGAATTATATTTATAACTGATTATAATTATTTTTTATACTGAACCATTGTAATTTTGTAATAGCAAAATTCAAGTCAGTGGTGGTTAAAAAGTAGCCTCCAATTACTCTTTATGAAACTATCTAACAGCGGGTCAAGTTTCTGTGAAAATCAACCCAGCCGTTCCATAGATTAGTTACAAGAAACAGAGACACAGACAGACAGACAAACATTTATAAGTCGTATACTTTCATTTGCGTTTACTGTAAGGCTACTTATCTGAAATTACAAACAGACATCTCACATTAATTAAGTGGTGTAAATAATATTAAATAAAACTAAGATTTTCGAATATGTACACTAAGCGTTTTTTATTATTTTAAAAACTAAGTAGTCCCGACCTTTCGGTTACTTTGCAGCTGGACAGACGAGATGAAACTGTCTGTCAGTTGGTGTTGTTATTTTTCATCTACTGCCAACGACATCTTAATTTCCTACAAATTCTTAGTTTAATTTAAATGAATTCTAGCGAAAATTATGTCATGATAAATAATATTGCTTCATTGTCATAAATTCAATCGAACCTGCTACCTGTAAGAGTCCTTTCAAAAAGACAACAAACAGGGTTTTTTAAACAAACATGATTAACAAACTATTAATAAAACAACACCCATTCTGTAAACAATAACTGCAATAGTTCTAAAATTCTATCTAATGCTTTAGATAATTTTAATACATTTTATTTATTATTATCAAATATATAATTATGGCTGGAACAGGTCGTGATGATGACTTCATAAATGGCGACTTCAGTCCTGGAAAACGATGTGTTAATATGTGGGATGAAGGCTGCTCAAATGGACAGTTGCCAGATGCAGGTAATTCCCACTTTATTACAGGGTAATAAATATTAACGAATATCTAAGATAGTCAGTGGTGGACTACTGGTTAAGGGGCCCGCCTCTCTTTGCCGAGGGCGCGGGTTCAATCCTTGGCAAGTACCAATGTAATTTTTCGGAGTCATATGTACTTTCTGAGAGTATTTAGACATCACTGACATACGGTCAAAGAAAACATCGTGAGGAAACCTGGACTTATAGTTTCACAATTATAAGTTTGAAATTGCCAACCCATCTTGAGGCAAGCGTGGTGACTGGTGATTAATGCTCAAACCTTCTCCATGTGAGAAAGAGACCTTGCTCAGCAGTGGGCTATATATCTAAGATTATTTGAAAACATTATTCTTAAGCAACATACTTACATAGTTTAAAAAAAAGACATATTACAATAATGATAACTAACTCATTAATTAATTAGTATAATAATTATGTTTAAGACCGTTACAACATTATAAGAATAGAAAGCTTCAGTGCATCGTCTAAAGCTTTTATGAAAATAAAGTTTGTAATCAGTTCTTTTTTTATAATCTCGTGAATAAATTTCTGTCAAAATCTAATCAAATGTTTCCAAGAAACAATCCCAAGATTGATAAGCTCTAAAGTTTTAACCATAAACAGGTGTCTCATGGATATAGCATTGAAATATTCCGCTTTCTGTAGAATAAATATTCTTAGTCTAGACTTCCTTTACTATTCCCTAATGAGTGGAATACTATGATGTAAGATCTGAGTGGAATACTATTGAAATAAATGAAATGATTTTTTTTATTACTACGCGTATTTCATTATTTTGAAAACTACATAATCCTGATGTTTCGGTTACCTTGCAGCAACCGTGATCACAGGCAGACGAGATCACATCTAATACGCGTTTCAATCCGAAAGATATTAGTTTCATTACAATGAATAATCGCTAAAGTCTAATATCTCATTATGATTAAAATATCTCAAAAATTAATCACAGTTATTTCATTATTCAAAACAGGTAAAGACGATGATTATATGAATGGTGGATTCACTCCTGGGAAACGCTGCATTGGTGAAAACTGTAATGGAAGATCTGATCAAAGTAAGATTCCAATTTTTTTTTTACTTCAACAATATTAGTTTACTTATAAATTATAATACTGAAATTAAATATACCATTATATTCCGTAGGAAAATATGAAAATTTTGACAGACAATCGATCTATAGATTACTGGCAAAAATACACAGAAACCAACAATAGTTATGGATAATCAAAAAACTACGAGAAAGCGATCATATTTTTAACTGACGGTCTAAATATAATTAATTAGTAAGTTTTGACTTTTAATTACAACCTATTCATTACTATTACTTTGAAACTATAAGAAAATACGACAATATTAATTGTAAAACATCAAAAACGGCATAAGTGATTTGTTACTATTATTAATTAATTTATTAGTTGTGGCAATCAAAATAACAAACAAAATAAAACACAGATAATAATTGTAATTTATTTCATCCCAATTATACAGCTTGTAGCCGAGATACAAAAATATATACTCTCGTAAATTTTACATAAACGTAATTGTCAATTGCAACAGCATCAATAGTATTTATGTAGACTAAATTACAAATATACATATCAACTGATACACTAAGGCAGTCATAAAGGTTGCAATTTGCTTGGCAAGTATTACAAATTTGTTCCACAGGCACTGGAAATTAGGTTTTAATCAGTCGTTAATTTAAACTTTAGCTGCAAACTTAGCAGACTAGAACACAAGACGTTTGTACTTGTTAAATGTTATTATTAGTTTTAATTGAGAGAATTTAGAGAAAAAGATTTATGAATAATCATTTCGCAATTTAAAAACTACACTGGTCAGATAATTAAAAAAAAGCAAATCATTTTTGAATTTAGAATCTTGCAAAATGCAAGTCATAAATTATTGAAAATTTAGACATTTGGCAATTATTTAGCAAAGAAACTTCGGGCAAGCAATGTTTACAAGGCTGACAATATATTGGCAAAGTAAATAATTAATAAGCTTATAGTGTATTGACATTGTATTAATGTGTAATAAGCGGTGGGACCTAGGCATCATCACAAGGGTGGACATATTTTATATATTCTTAAATTATGTTACAGACAAAAAAAATATGGTCACCCTAATTGAAATTTAAATAAATAAAGGAGATTTTAGAATTCAAATTCTCACAATAGATAGAATTATAATGATTTTAAAACATACTAATTATTTTTAATGCTGAAATAGACAAAATACATAAATACAGTGACTTGTTCCAATAAAACTCAAATATTAAAATGAATTTAAATCCTAATATCTCTTCTTCAGTCATTTAAATTTCTCATTTCATAAAAATGACTTAAATCAACTAATATAAAAACTAACTTGAATTTATTATTGAGGCTAACCCTTCATACCTATTCATAAATATATTTTACATGATTCACCCTTTACACAAACAAAAATGCTTAATTATTAAATTTCTTAAATAAATTTCTATACCTTTCTGTATGTAACTCTGTTATCCTTAATATTCCTTGATATGTCATGAACGATTCTACTTTAATAGTATATTTTTTTGTAAATACATAACTTCAATATTACCGATAACAAACAGTCATGAATTACTTACTCGTAATTCTTATATAGATATCACAGTAACAGTTTCAGAATTTTTCAGAGAACTCAAGATTTTCTTACATATAAATTATTAAAAATTCTCAATGTTTTAACCATGACAATAGTGTTTCAAAGATGGAAATGTAACTAAATATTCTAGAGATCTTGTTCATGTTTTAAGTACCTAAAGTAAAACTAAACAAATTATAAATACATCAACACAGATTTATAGAACAGAATTAAACCGAGCGGTTATATGTTTAATTACCGTGACTGTGCCAATGATCTTGGCTATAAGACGGCAATTCCATGGGCATTTTATTATAAATTGTACTAGGATTATGAGTTGAACTTGGTGCCTTCTGAACATTTGCTTGACGGAACTTTGTAGAGTATTTATAGAAGTCCGACATTTCAAAAGGTTTTGTTTCTTCTCTGTATGGTATGCATTTACCTTGTTCGATAACTGTCAGATTTTTAGGTGACTCCAAAGACACAGCACTAGGGGACAACACTGGTGGACTATTTGGTATATAATTTGGACTCTGCATTGCTGAATGACGACCAGAGGAGATCATTATCTCGTATGTCTGTGAATTACCTATACTTGGGGTCCGTTTTATACTTGAACTCTTTTTCAGTAATGGCGGATCCGCTTTCGTGGGTGAGTCCAATGCCGTCTCATACCATTGTTTCTCTTTAACTTTCGAATCTTGAGAAAGTGGTGAGAATTTGTTCATACTCACAGAATCAAAGTTTCCGTGTGAATGTCCGGACATTTGACTGACTGGACTCATAGCATTGGGGTAATTTCTACGTTCGTCGAGTCCGTAATCATCTGTGGAAACCTGTAGTTGTAGGTGCAGCGGATTTCGTATAGTGTTTCGTTCTCGTAATGGAAGCGTGTTTGGAACTGGAATATTACGTTCTATTAATATTTGTCGCCTATCTACTGGCTCCTGTATATCTGGTTGTGATCTGTGCTGGTAAACGGGCATCGGTGGTCGGTATGCATCTGTCATATTTTCTAAGTGCTGGTTATAATCGCTGTGCGATGTGAGGTGATATGTTTGTGTGCGCTGCAGAGTATTACGTCGGACGCCATCATTCCTTCGTTTGGACTGCATAGGCTGATGGTTGTGATTCAGTGCTCCAAGATGCGGATTCTGTGACTTCAAATGAGATGCATATTGGTATAAAAGTGGTGTATTGCGCATACCATTCGGTGGAGGAGCTGGGGGTGTTGATATTGTCCCATGGGTGTAATGAGTTGTGATATCAGGGTGACTCGAACTAAAATGAGTCTCTCGTAAGCGTGTTGCATTTTGTGGGTCACCTGTATTAGTATAGTAGTACTTATTTGTATACTCCGTAGTCAATGTATGATGTCGGTAAACTGGACCTTGGTGCAGTTCGTTTTGAATGTTATCTGTCGGTATGTCATGACGGCCAGCCAAAGCGGGATAAGTATGAGAGGTATGTATAGAAAAAGTTTCAGGATTACGTTCTTGTGGAGGCGACGGGAAAAAATTGGAACAGCTTGTTTCAGGGCGGCGCACATGCCTCGAGTGCGAAGTTTTTGATGAAATACCTGATATCGATGGAGTTGACAATCTGTGTGATATATTCTTTCGTAGATTCGGATCGGAATCGTGAATACGGTCAGGACCGTTTCGAAGCCGCCTAGACGAATTATCTGATCCATCATGAACGTCGTTACCGTCAGTAGACCTGTCAACACTACGTACACTTCCCAATCTCTCTCTTTGTGGTACTTCCGGAGTAAGAGGAGCTTCTGGAGGCATGATGCCCGTTAACTGAACTTCTTGAACACATAACTTATAAAGTTCTTCGTTTTTAGATGCTAGCATTTGCTCTAGTTCTTTCTTTCGAGCTTGCAGTTTTAGCAATTTGTCTTGCTTATCGGAATGTAAATCGCTACCCATTGTGCTTGTACCCATATTCAAAACTTAACATCAAACAATAAAAGCATAAGTTTTGATTAAAACAAACTAATAAAGTGCGATAAGAACTAAATGAAATTAACATACAGAAAATAAACAAAGAAAATAATAAATTATCTCATTTTGCACTGACACATTCACACGCAGATGCCCGCACCCATGTTTCTTATTATAAGATGCGTTCAAAATTTTGTTAAACAAAGCCTGCATAATATTTTATTATAAAACTAAATTGCTATTTAATGAAAAATTAAATAATTATTTTTTTTGCAATTGGCTGAAAAACGAAAATTAATATACAATTATACCATTAACTGTTAAAGTTACATTTTCAAATAACAATTTCAAAGTCAGGTCGGATCATAAAAGCGTTTTAAAAAAAGTGATATATGGGAATCATTACAAATTAATTAATCACAATAATTTCTTTTTAACTTTAATACAATTATTACAATATAATATAAAGTAAAAGAAACTGACGACCTTGCCTTGATCGGTTTATTATCAATGTCATTACTAGACTCGTCAAAGTCCCACTACATTACAAACCGTCAATCACAAAACTCGCCCGATAAGAAATTAGTAGTAGTAGTTTTTATAACATTTCAATATATAAAATTCTCAGTTCGTCTGTTAAGGAACTACCAAAATGTCTAAGTTATACAAGGCAGTAGTAAACACGGCCGACAAATTTGTGCCATCACAATTACGACCTCTTTGGGAACATGCAGCAGGTAATTACTTTTGCTTTGATTTATGAATTTAAATAAAATTATTACATAATTAACATGAAACATATCTATACTTTGTAGGACCGAAAACTATTTTCTTCTGGGCTCCAGCCTTTAAATGGGTATGAGAATAATATAATTTCGAGGTCAATCTATCACTATTGCGTTCATTAATGCCAAGGTCAATTTCTATAACGAAACTTTTTCGAGTTACTTATTTAAATATCCTAAAAGTATGATTTTGGATTTTGTTTACAAAATTACGTTTTCATTATCATCAAGGTGTTTGGGTTTAACTTTTTCATACAACTCCTGTTTACAGTCACATCATAAACAAATTATTTTTAAGGACATAAACATCTTTATATTTCCTGAGTATGTTCTATAAGTGGATTTAAACAAATCAAGTGAAACACAACCATTGTACTACAAGGATGTTTTTTTTTATTACTTTGATTATTTTATCATGGTGTATATTTTATTTTAATAATTTTTACTAATATTCTAATACAGCTAATTTGATTTTGAGCAATATTATGGTTAAGAGAGCAGTTTTTTTTTTATTTTTTTGTAAATCTCAACACATTTTCAGGGTTTAGTTGTGGCTGGTTTAGGTGATTTGAACCGACCGGCAGAAACCTTGTCAATACCACAATCATTATCTCTTGCTATCACAGGATTAATTTGGTCAAGATATTCTCTTGTAATAAAACCTAAAAACTATAGCCTCTTTTCTGTTAACATGGTGGTGGCATTAATGAATGTATACCAGATAGGAAGAGCATACAGATACCAACAGTCTTTAAAAGATATAAAAAAGGAAAAGTGATGAAATTTGAAAAAAATTATCCAGGTTTACCTACTTAAATATGGTTAACAGTACTACCTTCTATTGTAGTAGAGCTCATGAAGTAGTTTTTTTTTTTAAATGTATATAGAAATTGTCATAAAAAGTATTTTTTTTATTTTTACTGATTAGACTTTACTTTCTCATAAAAGAATCTGAAAAATAATGACTGCAATGGATTTCCAAAATTTTATCTCATTAAACCTATTTATACAGGGTTTCCCACAACTGAGATTTAATCTATTAAAGATAATAAACCACATAAGATATGACTTAAAGCAGTTTTGGAACAAGATTTTTTTTTATCATAGCTATATATTTCCATCCTTATATTTAATTATTATTTGTTTATCTGTATTTACTTTGTTTTTATCTTCCATTGTATTTTTTTATCTGTTGACATTTCTATCACAATTGTAGACATGTTTTTAAGTTCAAAATATTTTTTTGTGATTTTACATTTTAAAATGAAGACCTAAAGTTTAGTCAATACTATATGTATTTATTTGATCCTACAACTTGTGGTAGGTTGAATAAGTATGATATACTTATTCAATCACTTTCGTTTTTAATATGAAAATGTTGAAATGTGTGACCATTAACCATCACTTTAATTTGACAATGTAAACTTGTAATAGGATCAAACAGATACAATTATCAGCTGAAAAAACTGAAAATATTTATAGTAACTTTATCATAACATTATTTTTTTCATGTATTCATATTTAGAACAGTATTTGCCGCGTATTTTTGATGTTTCCCGAAGTGATGTTTAATACAATAGATTTCACCGTTCCAGGGCTTGGTGATGGCTGGTTTGGGTGATTTGACACGACCAGTTGAGAGCTTATCCATACCACAATCAGCTTCCCTCGCCGCCACAGGAATCATCTGGTCACGATATTCACTCGTCATCATACCGAAAAACTATAGCTTATTCGCTGTTAACGTTTTTGTTGCCATCACTAGTGTATATCAAGTATCGCGAGCGATTAAATATCAACAGTCCCTAAAGAAAGGCGGAAAAATGATGAGAGATTGTTGTTTGTCTCATGCGATGTAGATATATTAGTTCTGGGGTAGAAAGAATATCATTTTGTATACATGTAACGTGGTTATTCAGAATTATTGTCGTAGCTCAAAACTGTGACATGTAACGAATTTTGAGACGTCACTGTCATGACAAATCTAATTAAATGTTTAATACATATTCACTTGTGATAAAGAATATGTGATATTCTTCATTTAGTTGAATATTTTTATAATTATCTTGTTTATTTTATATTTATGGTTATATATATCATATTATTGTTGTGTTGACGTTTACATTTGACAAATATATTTTAGATATATATATTGATTTTCATTCATAACGCATTTTCAGATTTTTGATCATATCATATTCGTTATCATATCATTAAACTTGATTGGAATGTGATTTGATGCAGTGAAACATCATTTAACGATAAATTATTTAACGCTGAAATCCCCAAATATTAATCGTTTTTTTTTAAGTGTATGCAGAGGTAAATATTTTTATGACTTACAAAATTATAAGGCTGGTTTCTTTCTTTTGTTTGATTTTTTTGCATGAGTCCTACTTTTTTGCATGTCTTAAGCTTTTTTAGTTAGGCAATTGCTGTTATGGGTATATTGATAATTTTCAAATTGCTACTGGAATTTATTGGGATAACAGGCATTGAGACGCCGCAATTTAGTAGTATTTAGACTTTAAGATCTTTTTTATGTAATATTCCGTAGATTAGATGGTTGAAGCTATTGCTTAGTAGTAAATAGTAATTGCTATACAATTGTTATTCGGGGTTCGAAACCCGAACAATTATCTGGTCATATATTAGCGTGAGTATAAAGGATTTTTTCCCGCGCTTTTCGATATCATTATTAATTTATTGACTTAATGTCCACCATTTTTATTTCAGGCTCTTGTTTTAACTTCAATAGATGAGTTCAGGCGTCCCCTTGAAAAGGTATCACCCACTCAATCTGCTACGCTGGCTGCGACGGGTCTTATATGGACAAGATACTGTCTTGTCATCAAGCCCATAAACTACGCCTTATCTTTGTGTAACTTCTCACTGGGCGTCGCAAATGGCGTCCAATTTCTAAGGGCTTATAGATATCACAGCCTTAAAGGGGGTGTTGGTAAAAAAAAAGTAATATTTAAATATTAAATTGTAATACGAATTATATGAATACAAATATACGAATTTATATTAGATGTAACTGTTAACAGTATTTAGCAAAAACCTCATACGTAAAATAGAAAATCAAAAAAAAATGTGTTAAAAATTGTGTTTATTGAATTTATATTAAGATTTGTATTTTTTTATATTGTTTGAACACTTGTTGAATATCATAAATGTTACAACTGTTGTACTAAGTGTTGTGTTTCTTTGAATTCACCCATATTTTGAAAACACCTATTGAATGAATAACTTAGTGACATCATGCTGTCATTTTAAAGACAAATTTATTCCGTCTATCTGTTGTTTGATGCTTCCGTTTCTTGTCAGGTATGTGTTATTTGCATTATTATTTAAATTACCATACCATTTCCTTTAGAGTGCAAGTATTGAGTAATTAACTATAGACTTCTAAACTACTAAACCGATTTTAAATTTGATTTGCATTCCGTGTGCATTTTGATCCAACCTGAAAGATAGGATAACTTACATCTCAATTTATAGTCACAATATTATTTTATTGCAAATTATTTGTCATTTTAACAATTATCTGTTAATTGAGTTAAGTATTCAATAGATGGCGCTATGTTAAAAATACAAACGTCATATATGAGGTCTATTTAATACATAATAATTAATAGCATAACCACCATGTGTTTCTGAAGCTAAGGTATAATCTAAATTTATTTATTAAAAAAACGCAACAGATATTTCTTGATTATAGAACGATACGAAGTTAACCGGTTCTTTTAATATGTATATTATAAAAATCATATTACATTAGTTATCGACTTAAAAAAAAGTCGTGTGCAATATAATCGTAGTTACGTAGAGATCAAGTACAAGTAATTGAATGTGAACTAAAGATTTTACATATAAAAATCACGATTGTAATGTAGGTACGTTCGTAGTATTATGACGACGTAGTATTTATGGGGTTTCTAGCGGTTGTTGAATGTAAATCATAAACAGTATATGTCAAAAGCTTTGTGGAAACAAAAATATTTAATGTTCGGACTTCGGACACAAACATCTTTTAAAAACTAAAATTTATTGATCGTTTGTTTGATTTACAATACTATGGGAATAATTGAAGATAAATTCTCCATATTGTAGGTACATGAAATTTAGAAAATCTGAATGAAATTTTCTGGGGGTCAATTTAGATAAAACCTACTGAAGCCATTCAGATGTGAAATATATCTGATTGTCATAATACAGCCACGGGCAAAAGTATTAGGCACCCTACAGTAGGACAAGTTTTAGAGTGTTTTAGCATAGCAAGTGTAAATAAAACTGCATTTATGATTACAATAGTTTATTTTAAGAAAATAATTAATATTTTGTAGGTCCACCTTTTGACTTAATAACCGCAGCCATTCTTTTTGGCATTGACTCTACCAGCCTGAAACATTCTTCTCTTGATATATTTTTCCATTCCTGCTGTAACGCGGCCAATAGAGCTTGTTTATTGCTAATCGAGTGCCTGCGGATATTTTTCTTTAAAATGGACCAAATATTCTCAATCGGGTTGAGGTCTGGTGATTGTGGTGGCCAGTCCAAAAGATCAATATGATTTTCAGCAAACCACTTCATGGTATGCGTGGACTTGTGGCAAGTGGCGTTGTCTTGCTGAAATTTCAGGCCATCGGTGTTTGTATCACCGAAAATTTGCGTTATCGACGTTGCTAGTGCTGTTTCCAGAACTTCAGTGTATTTAACACTATTCATTCGTCCCTCACACAACACCATTTCGCCCACTCCGTCGGCAGCCATGCAGCCCCAGATCAATATTGAGCCTCCACCATGCTTAACAGTGGGAACCACACATTCTGGGTTGTATTCTTCGCCAACCCTTCGCCTAACATAAGTCACACCGGGTGTTCCAAACACCTATGCCAAACGAAAAAAACCCATTTATTTTCAAAGTTATTATTTTTTTTGCAGTACGTTATTTTAAAAACATTTATGTGTTTTAATATTGTACATAAAATAAATAACAATACCTGAAAGTTAGATTCGTCTGACCACAGTATGCTGGACCAATCTTCTACTGACCAATCTCTATGTTTGAGTGCCCACTCCAACCGATTTTTCTTATTGTGTCCTGACAGCCACGGCTTCTTCCTTGCTTTACATCCTTTTAATCCAGCTTTAAGAAGTCTTCTTCTCACAGTATGAACACTCACTGAGCTTCCTTTTGCCTCAGATAATGCTGCAGCGAGCTCTAAAGCAGTTTTTTTCCTGTTTTGTAGAGACTGCCTAATCAACAATCGATCTTCCCGTTCAGTAGTAACTTTTTTTCTGCCTGTTCTTGGTCTATTTTCATGGGTGCCAGTCTCTTTGAAGCGATTTATAGCATATTGAACTGCACATCGCGAGCACTTCACTTCTCGGGCTATTTTAACCTGAGACATGCCTTGTTCATGTAAAATCTTAATTCTTAGACGCTGTTCAGCACTAAGTTCAGATTTTTTCGGCATGATTAACACGTTAAATGTTAGTCTTTAGAATTGTGATAGGAATAGTTGCGTAGAAGACGTGTATGTTCACTGCGAGCACTGATAACACACTATAACCCGAAACACAAAAAAAGCAAATTCGAAGAAACACCGCTTAGGAGCACACCTGGATGTCATAAATATTTTCTTTTATCTTAATTTGGTTAAAAATTGCCGCTAATACAATAGCTAAACCATAAAACACACACTTGACCGCAATATAATGAGATAGTGACTAACAATAGGGGTGCCTAATACTTTTGCACGCAGCTGTACTTAAGTCTCATACATGGGTGGGCATTTTCAATATAATTTCTTGGCCTTTTTGTATACAATATAAGTACATGTATGCAGTATTTTATTAGTTAAATATGTAGCGTCTTATAGTTATGTTCGTTTAGACTTTAGGTAACTTCACAATACTATCGACGTTTACCCCGCTCGTCTGTGTACACAAGTAATTTTATTTGCTTAAGTAATTGTAACAAAAATTTTCGTATGAGTTCTGACGTTGTCAATACAAAGCACTGTGTTTATATTCGCATGAATTGTTTGAAGTGAACAAGGAGGAAGTGAACCACAAATACTTATTATTTTTCTACAACGACTACTAGAGATTTGGAATTCAGTTTGAGAAAATTTCAATAGTTACTTCTAAATTATTATGGGAATACCTTTTCAGATAAATATTTATATTTCATTTTAAGTATGTTTTCACAACTTTTATGGTTTTCTGTCCATTACCCGAACAGCTATGGTACGCTACAAATTCTTGCCTCCAAAGCACTGGTTATTGCTTTTTTCTATTGCTTCAACATTTATCAACAACTGAACAACACTAACTTGTTTGCAAATGCCAAAACGTGGCGAAAGATACATAAAATCCTTACGATATGGCTGCATTCGATATGTAAACTTGTAAATATACAAGTGTAAAATATAAATGTTTGACATTTTATCTTCGTAATTTAAATAAAAACGACATAATTATCCACATATCAGGCAAAAAAACAACAATGGTAAGACTAAAACAGCTTTCAATATATTTAATCATCAACCAAACTCAGAAGTCTATCCAGACCTATCGGATCAAAACTTCGTCCGCCATTATCTGAATACATAATAACATTTCTGATCACATAGCACTGTAAATCACCAATCTTATATAAAGGCCTGCCCTCCCTACTTTTTCCTACTATAGGTACAAAAGTAATTCCTCTTTCAATGCATCTAGATTCTAGTAATTCTGAGAAGCTCTTCTGTTGCGTTATAGTTGCTAGAACATCGCTTATTCTAGAAGTTTCTTTTGTTTCTGGAATAGTGAAGCGCGGTGGTGGGGGTGGTTCTATGGAGTCTATGTCCGTACTTCTGTTCATCATATCCAAAGCTTTACGGAATGCATCACGTACGGGCGGCTCTTTGAGAACTTCTTCCGGGAACATTTTCTGAAAATCATAATAATGTTTTAATTAATTTATATGAAACTAATCATCTGTTTTACCTGTTGTTGCAAAGTAAACGAAATGTCGGGAGTATGTAGTTAATATAACAAAAATATTAGTTTCAATTAAATGAATATTCGCGAAAGTCTTAGACTTCATTATCGTTTAATTAATTCCATTTGATCAAATTGTATTCTAGTCTCAAAACTTAAATTCCATTACTTTTTTTTGGTGATATATTAATTCAGAATTAATACCTATAAAATATGAGATTATTCATGGAATCTATTGTTATTTTTTAGTATCATAATTTTTTTTAGGAAATATATTTTATATACAGGGTGACTGGTGAATTACTATCAATATTTAAGGAGAATACTCGGTACATGATTCTCATTCGAATTATGTAAAAAAAATAGGCACTTAATTTTTGACAAAATTTCCGTATAAATAAATAAAGTGTTGACACGTTCCAAGTGTTCCAAGTGTGGACGCGTGCGGCGGCGTGCTGATACAACACTACGCCGCCGCACGCGTATGTGTGAGTGTGTGTATACCTAATCTGTAGGGTGTTCACACGATGCGTAATTAATTACATAACTTTTGGTTAACTTTACTTACAAGTTTATTAATATTTATGTAATATTAATTTTTATTTTGTCATATATGATCGTCAAATATCACGTCCTCAAGTATCGATAGTAATTCACCAGTCACCCTGTATAAACAAATAATATACTATGTAAGATATTAATAGCAATATTAGTTACTAACCTTGAACTCCGTGTATGAGTTGAGTACAGTGGCGTGTGGTGGGGATGTGTTCAGCCAAGCGGCCAGTGCTGCCAGCCAGCGAGGCAGTAGAGCTCGACCCGCCAGGCTAGCTATAGTCGGAGCGCCGATCAACTCCACCCAATCCACACACCATAGCCAGGCGGCTGTTAAAAAATAATAATATTATAATATAAGTAGTTCACATCTATCAAGGATTCCCTCGATAAATGATGTTGATGAAACCTATGGTAGTGTCATATATGTGATAATTATTACAGATATAATTTGTATACTAACTTTATGCTATAAACAAACACTCTAGAATCTCTAACAAAAAGAATTCAATATCCTAATGAATTGTTATATAAGGCTATTCCTTAAACTAAAAATATTTTTTAGCAAAAGTTAAACTTAGGATAGCTCAAAAACGAATTTTGATAGTATATCTAAATATATTTGTGTGTCGACCTCCAGACCAGACATATTTCTATAGTCACGAATTTTAAAGAACATTGTGTTAATAGAGATCACAGTTCCTTGACAAACCAACATCCCCAAAGACCATAACATCAAGGTTAATAAGTATTATGATCTCACTAACGAACTCACTACAAATAAGTTCCTCTTAAATGTGTACGCGGTAGAAGTGGGAGCGAGAGGTATAACAACTAAATCTTTCTATAACCTACTAAAAGACTTGGGCTTGTCCAGAACGAATATCAATTCATTCTTGGAACTTACTTCGAAGGTCGCCTAAGTAGGTTCATTTCAAATTTGGTTAGGTAGAGAGAGGAGCTTGGACAGTTGAGGTGAGCATTCAATGCGTTAGATAGGGTCCCTTAAACCTACACCTGGGTCGCAAGTCCCAGTCACTGTTGAAGCTCCTCTCACTACAACGATGGACCCGACACACGCACCGTGAATACATTGAATGCTGAGAAGTTTTCTATGTAAAAATCACTTACTATTTTCCCTTCCAACAAGTTCTAAAGGCGCGTTCTGCAAACAGTGCTCCAGTTTGGGTACAATGTGATGATGTAGGAGTGTAGTGAGCGCGGGGCCCCACGCACTTCGCCACACAGCCAGTAGAGGTCTGGCAGACGAGTCTGCGGGGTGCCAGGCAGCCAACGCTGACGACAGGCGGGAACGAATCAACGGATACACTGACGCGTTCAGAGCTTCACCTACGGTTATAAAGACGGATTAATTAAATATTGCATGGTAATGGTCTTTTATAATAAAATAAGAAATAAAATCTACATATTAAATCACATGTTTTGAGTTACTTCAATTTCACAAACCAACATACACACACACACATGTAAATAAATATATAAATAACTAGCTTTTGCCGCGGCTTCGTCCGCGTGAAATAGTTACTTCCGACAGATTTTTGGTTCTTCCCACATAGTTCCCGTTCTTGCGGGGTTTTCGGAATGGTCGAGTTCCCGTAGAATTTTCGGGATGAAACCTATGTTTTTTTTATTAATAATGAAGTACTCTTCACCAACAACATATTTATTTGTTTATTTGAATAAAGATTAATATTATTATTTTGATACAACTTAAACAAATTATTTCGACAAAATTAGGTACCATAAAAACGGTTTTGTGAGTTAATCTTAAAAGATAGGCATATACTGTCGCGGATTGTTTTTTAGATCATTAAAAGAGCTATTATTCTTTAATACATATTTTTTGTGTATCTTGAACCGTTTTCACGGCGCACGCAACGGAAGGCTTCAAAGATGAAATAATTTCTCCCGTTTTTTACACATTTACCACTATATCATTGCTCTTATTGGTCGTAGCGTGTTGTTATATAGCCCACAGCCTTCCTCGATAACTGGACAATCCAACACAAAAAGAATTATTCAATTCGAACCAGTAGTTTCGGAGATTAGCGCTTTCAAACAAACAAACAAACTCTTCAGCTTTATAATATTAGTATAGATAATTTGAATGGGATAGTTAATAGCCATTTACATAATATATTAACATGTATACAAAATACATATTACTCTAAATTGTGTTAACAATTAGTTCATATTAAAACGTATCAGTTATTTTAATTGAACAGCAGTTCCAGAAATATGTTAATATCCAAGTGACCTGGAGTGATAGCACTAACTAACTATATATATTTTAAGTTTCTGGTGGCTTTGAGGCTAAAGGCCCGCCTTTCGTGTATGAGGGTGCGGGTTCGAAACCTGCCAATTACCAATGTAAAAATTTCTGAGTCATATCTACTTTCTAAGCGTATTTAGATACCACCGACAGAGGTTGAAAGAAAGCATCATGAGGAAACCTGGACCTATAATTTTCAATTATAAGTTTAAAATTGGCAACCCGTCTTGAGGCATGGTGATTAATGCTCAAACCTTCTCCATGTGAGAAGAGGCCTTTATTCTACAGTGGGCTGTCATAAATTGATGATGATACATTTTAAGGAGTAAAACCTTCTTACACAGCCTGTAAACCCATATAAAAAGTAAATCCAATACATTACCAGCGAACTCATGCCAGGGCAGCACCCACAGGTGTAGGGGCTGCGTGTCCCCCGTGGGGTCCCAGTCCCTCAGCGCGGCCCCCAGGCGGGGCAGCACATGGCGAGACACACACGACCCCACCAGCCACGGGGGACATACAGACATCCACGACTTGAATACTTGCACCATGGGTTCCGGGTTGCGAGGATTCCACTCTCTGGAACATTAATATATCTTTACATATATATAAATTTTTCGTGTCACGTGTTTGTAGGCGATGGACTCCTAAACTACTAAACCGATTTTAAATTTGTTTTGCATTCCGTGTGCATTTTGATCCAACTTGAAAGATAGAATAGCTTACATCTCAATTTATAGTCACAATATTATTTTATTGCAAATTATTTGTCCATTAAAGAACATTATTTGTCATTATAACAATTATCTGTTGATTGAGTTAAGTATTTAATAGATGGCGCTATGTTAAAAATACCACGTCATATATGAGCGACTATTTAATAATAGCATAACCATCACGTATTAATAATTCTGAGGCTAAGGTATAACCTAAATTTATTTATTAAAAAAAACGTAACAGATATGTATTTCTTGATTATAGGGCGATACGAAGTTCGCCGGGTTTTCTAGTGTATATATAAATGAGAATGAGATACAACAATGTAATACTTTAGTAATACATAAGTATCACAAGAATTAATCAATCACATATAATATTATATAACAGTTGCTATAATTAGTAGGAGTTTTATGTAATACGAGGTGTAGATATATGTTTGTTGTGTAATTTATGTTGAAAAAATTATATATAAATGCTAATAGACGCCTATATCACTCCTTATTACATAAGCAATCTGATAGAAAACGCACCATCAAAATTGGCCACAAATTTTCTTGATTAGCCTCAACGAACATACAAACATAGATCTATTGCCATTTAGAAAATGGCGAACATTTTAATATAACAAACAGAAAACACAATTTTATTTAAACGCCACCAGGTGTTTGATAAAATCATTTCAGTGTAATTTATGGATAAACTCTCCCTTATTAAAAAAAATGATATTTTTTTTACAAAGAAAAATAAACTGATATTCTATTATTCAACATAAGAAATTATTACTAACTCAACGGTCATTTCAATCTTAGTCCCAAAGTGTTGCCACAGCAGATTATTGTAGGCCTCCTCTGTCAGAAGGGGCCTCCACTTAAGGAACACGGGTGCTGCGCCCCCGGGGTCCGTCAGGGGGCTCCACGAGGCCATCATAGCACTAAATAGGGGACTCACTATATTACCCCCTATATTACCCAAACTAAACATTTCATATTCCAATGGGTATGTCTCCTGTGGAAAAATTATTAAAATTAGTAGGAGAAAACATATATAATGCAACTATTAAATAATCCTTATAACAAAAATTAAGAAATTATACATAGTCATATTAATTAAACATTAGCTTATACCCCTACTAATATTATAAATGCGAAAGTAACTCTGTCTGTCTGTTGCGCTTGCCGCCTAAACCACTCAACTGATTTTAATGAAATTTGGTACAGGCATACAGTTGATCTTGACAATGAACATAGGATAGTTTTTATCCCAGACTTTTGAAAGGTTCTCTTGGGAACGCGATATAACCGAACTCCAAGCGGGCGAAGGTGCGGGCGGAAAGCTAGTTAGAATATATATTACATATACAGGGTGACTGGTGAATTACTATCAATATTTAAGGAGGATACTCGGTACATGATTCTCATTCGAATTATATAAAAAAAATAGGTACTTAATTTTTGACCAAATTTCCGTATAAATAAATAAAGTGTTGACACGTTCCAAGTGTTCCAAGTGTGGACGCGTGCGGCGGCGTGCTGATACAACACAACGAAGCCGCACTCGTATGTGTGAGTGTGGGTGTATACCTAATCTGTAGGGTGTTCACACGATGCGTAATTAATTACATAACTTTTGGTTAACTTTACTTAGAAGTTTATTAATATTTATGTTATATTAATTTTTATTTTGTCATATATGATCGTCACAAATCACGTCCTCAAATATCGATAGTAATTCACCAGTCACCCTGTATAACAATTAATTATCATAACATTTTCATCAATCTCATCATCGTCGTCGTCATCAGCCTATCAGAGCCCACTGTTGAGCAAAGGCCTCTTCTCATATGGAGAAGGTTTGAGCATTAATCACCACGCTTGCTCAAGACGGGTTGGTGATTTCAAACTTATAATTGTGAAATTATAAGTCCAGGTTTCCTCACGATGTTTTCCTTTACCGTATGTCAGTGGTGTCTAAATACTCTCAGAAAGTACATATGACTCCGAAAAATCACATTGGTACTTGCCAGGTTCGAACCCGCGCCCTGGGCAACGAGAGGCGGGCCCTTTAACCACTAGGCCACCACTGACTCATCATCATCATTATCATATATCTCATCATTATCATCACCTTAAGATCTCTCAGTACTTCATAGCCCATCTCTAGCGATGCGTCCGGTCTGTTCAATACTTCCACCCTCGCTAATATCCCCTCCAACGTCTTGATGACGTCATCTTCTTCACCTAACTTTATCTTACACTGTTCAAGGTCACGTTCTATCACCACGATCTCATCTTCAGACTGTTGGAGCTCGCGAGCGTTTTGAATAATATCCTGGAAATAAGCTATCATATTATATAAGCCACCAGCTTCGTCCATGAATGCTAGGATTTATATCACCATATATACATATTATAACAAATCAAAACAAAAAATCTTTATTTTGGACACACATATCATGCAAACAATATAAGAACACATACATATATATAAAACAAACATATAAAGATAAAGAATACAAACAAAAATAATGATGAAAATTAAAAAAAACAATAATATCACCGCAATATATACATATCATATCATAATCATATCATAATTATATCATAATCATGTCATAATCATATCATATACATATCATATCACCATATATTACCTGTTCACAACAATCCACCATCAATTGCAAGTTATGAGTGAGTTCTGGTGCTGCGAAGTTAGTACATTCTCTACGTGGTTCGTGTTCATATCTTGGTGCAGCTGCCCTTAATGCGTGGTAACCACTCAATACTTTCTTTTCCCGACCAGTTAAATCTATCACTGGCACACGAGCCAGCTCATTACTGGAATATATGTGGGAATATATTAATATATGTGTTAGGTTTGATAATAGATTCATTTATAAATGAACATCAGAATTTACGGGTACTTTTATAAGTTTTACAGAAACATATACAAATAAATGTATGCACATATATATTTAAATAATAAATATATATAAAATATTTTCATACTAACAGCGAATACTAATATTTTCATTCTAATCAAGATCATACTGAAAATAATTGGTTAGAACAAAAATATATATGCATATTTTAAGTTTTTTAATATTAAATGTTTAAAAAGAAAATTTTCATATAAATTATTATATAACAGAAAGTTTTAGAGAATAACATAACAACAAAAAGCCTTATTGCTCAAACCATTATTAACAACCAGTTATTTAAATGAGATATTAAAGTTCACAGAGAGATAAATTCCCTTTTTATGCCGCATATATCATCACCAAAAGCCTATTAGTTCCCATTGCTGAGCAAAGGCTTTTTCACACATAGAAAAGGTTAGATCATTAATCACCACACTAACTCAAGATGGGTTGGAGATTTCAAACTTATAATTTCAAACCATAAATCCAAGTACCATCACAATGTTTTCAATGCTTGTCAGTGATGTCTAAATACTCTGTAGAAAGTCACATATATATCACATATATGATATACCTAATATACAGGGTGTATGAAAAACTGTGTCAACCCTTGAAGGCACGTATACATATAAGTATAAGCTTATTATAAAAAATAGTATAACTTAAAAAAAATCAAGCAGAAGTTAGTTACAGTGCATAGGCTAAGTAAGTTTTAAATCGACATTTTTCGAAAGAATGTTTCAAACATCTGACTCATACAAGGTCAAGACACCGTATAGTCGCTACGGCGCATGCGTGACCATTGACCGCAGGCGACGGGCCGCCGGCGTTATTATTACTATTCTGTTATTTGTTCGAATAGAGATTTGAAAGTGTAAAAATTAGTTATATCGATAAATATTCTATCGACATTTTCAATATTGCTATAAATAGTTATGCTTTTCACATTAAAATAATTTCATTTAAAATAACTTTTATTAATAATAAATATTATAATTTGACACTTGTTCAGGTAAATTAACTACATATGTTGTATTATTAGGATAAATCGTTAATCTATTTCTGTTAAAAATGGCGTTTTACAATCAAACATAATATTAATGTTTGATATATCAAAATAAGTATCGAAATAATATTAATATTAAATATTTATTTATTGTTATGATTTTTTAAATATCGATATTTTCAATAATGTGAAAGTAACTTCAAGGTCGTCACTAGTAGCGCAGCAGCTGTGATGACGTCATTGCGTGTCATCGTGTTATACCAGGGCATACAAACATTTAGTTACTCTACATATAATAATCATTTAATATTTAATTTTATTATTTTTATTGAAGAGTTTGTAAATGTAAGTTGTTTTATTGTGTTACATTATCGATACTGATAACGTAGTTAAGAGGGTTGACACAGTTTTTCATACACCCTGTATATTAAGTCAGTGATGGCCTAGTGGTTAAAGAGCCGGCCTCTCGTTGCCAAGGGCGCGGGTTCGATCCTGGCCCCGAGCAAGTACCAATGTGATTTTTCCGAATCATATGTACTTTCTAAGATAATTTAAACATCACTGATTAATGCATTCCCAAAAGAGGGTTGATGTCAGGCAGGCGGTCGGTCGTAAAAAACCATTAGCCAAAACTATTCACAACACATAAGGCAGACCCTGGCTAAAGCTGGGAAATTGCCAGATAGAAGAAGAAGAAGATATCACATATACCTGCTAATAGTATGCATGGTGGGTTTACCCTCTTGTATAACATCGGCAGCATCTCGGTAGAAATATCTGCCTTTATGTGATTTCTTCCAGTTATAATTCTTTTCCGTTTCACTTTTATCACCTTCTTTTTCCTTCAGCCGCTTCTGTTCTTCCTTTTTAGCTTTTTGCTGAAAAAATTACGATTTTTTTAGATGAAAAAGATTTAACTACTATTCGAGAAAATTAAAAATTAACTAATACAGTAAATATATCTTATTTGTGTTAGGCAGAGAACTCCCCCGAAACGACTGGACCAATTTTAATGAAATTTTGTGAGCATATTGACTAGGTCTGAGAATCGACCAACATTTATTTTTTATACCCCTTAAGTCATAAGGGTTGTTCACTCTTAAAATATTTTTTTTTCGGACGAAATTTTTGTTTTTATTTTTTTATAATATAGCATTAAAAAACATACAACCCAAAATGTTTACTTTTTTATCACCAAAACCTATTTTAATATGGCAAAACAATGTTTGCCGGGTCAGCTAGTAGCTTTATAAAATTATTAAATCTATAGTTTATCTGTTACAATATATAAAATGTATTTGGATTATATTAGAGAATCTATTGTAAATTTGAATTGCTTTTTTTTATATACAAAGCAATGATTTAATGCCACGTTTATATGTTAAAAAATGTTTCAAGTAAATATATATTTAAGTTACCGCAGCTTTTTCAGGTCCATATGCACCAATAGCACCTCTGCCCTTTCTGACTGTAGCTTCAACTGGTGCGGAAATACCTTGAAGTTCTTTACCAAGACCCTTGCCAGGTTGGTAACCCATCTAAAACAAATAACAATGATTATAATATAGACAAATCAAAATAAATTAGTACCAATTAAGTCTAATAAAACAATTACTAATTTATCTGTATAAATGGTAACTTCATTAGAAAATAAGAGTTCTATTTTTGTTCATAATAAAGTTATAAAAGGTTTGATAAACAATAATAAGATCTAAGACTTCGAAAGTATTCTTTTAAATAAAACTTATATTTTCGTATATATGTACTATGAATTTCTTATTATTTTAAACTACATACTCCAGATGTTTCAGTTACTTTACAACAACTGTGATCACAGGCAGAGGAGATATGAATGTCTGTCAGTTGGTCTTGTCATTTATCATCTACTACCAACAATTTCTTAATTATCTAGTATATCACTATGATGTTTTGGTCTTTGTTTTATTTTAATAAACAATATAAATAACTTTATACTAAGAGTACTCTAAAAGGTATAGACATTGGTTCATTTATATATAGCCTACTAGCTTTTCGCCCGCATGGAGTTCGGTTATATCGCATTTCCAAGAGAACCTTTTAAAAGTCTGGGATAAAAATTATCCTATGTTCTTTCTCAAGATCAACTCTATGTCTGTACCAAATTTCATTAAAATTAGTTCAGTGGTTTAGGTGGAAAAGAGTAACAGACAGACAGACAGACAGAGTTACTTTCCCATTTATAATATTAGTTGGGATTATTATTAATGAATCTTCTAGGGAAATAGAGTTCTTTATTTTACCTGTAATAATAATTTAGCTCCGATTCCTTTTGTATGTCTTTCCCAAGCTCCTACTCCGCCTAAATTTTGTCCCGATCTCAATCCCTGTCCAGCTTTTCTTATCCCTGCTGTCTCCCGAGCCTCGGGTTCCATTACTTCATCATCTGAACTATCCGAAAACTTGGGACGAGATGTTGAAGTCTCCGATTTTTGTATGTCTATAATGGCAATACAGAATATAAATTTAATTTGGGAATTTTATGTATTATTACTTATTAAATCTTAGGAAATTCATATGGGATCAGTAATGGGAAGTTTAAGTATTGTCTTTTATACAAAAACATTACTTTCATTAAAGAATAATTCTTTAATGAAAGTAATGTTTTTGTCAAGTAATCAAACTTTTTCTTATTTTTCTTAAGCTGTCAAAAAGTGTTTGTTGACCTAAAATAAATATGAGTTAAATTTATAAATTTATATGAGTCAACAGTATTAATGTAATTTGTAGGTAAAATCACAGTTAGTATACAATGATATGATACATCAGAAAACTTTTAACACAAACAAAACAAACTGAGCCATTCAATATGATATATTTAGGTAAATTCACCTTGCTTTTCATCTTTCTTCTTGCCGGCCTGCTGCACTCCGCCAGTTACAAAGTCAATTGGAGCTGAGAAATCCTTCGGTTTACGAATACGTCGCCTTATATTATCTTCATTTTCCTCATCATCACTATCTTTCGACCAAACACCTGCAAATTAAGAAACCATATTATTTACACCATTTTATTTATTTGCCACCCTCATAGTATATCTTTTATAAATACCGTATATTTGGTGTTCCTTTTTAGCCCTACGACTTCTGTTGGGATTGAATTCATTATCCAAATCGTAATCGGTGATTTCAAAACGTATAACCTCATCATCAGACATACTGAATTTATATTCTAAGACTTACAATAGTTGAAATATTAAATTATTTGAAGTATACAATCTTAGAATGATAATTATAAATTAGAAATAAAATTTTCAAGCAATAATTTATTACTGATATCATCTAATATTATGAACTGTTTGACAGTACATAAACAAACTTAATTGTCAAATGTCAATTCTTAATAGATAATTTGATTTTTAGAGTAGACTAGTACCTAAATGTAATATTTTAAGATTGCTTACGCAGCAATACAACAAACATAATTATTATTTAAAGATTTTTTTCCATCATTATGTTTAAAGTTTAGATTAACTAAAAAAAATCACCTCAGTTTTTTTTTATATAATTTAAGTAATTCTATAATATTCAGCTTGAGTTTTGAATTTTGAATTGTTTCTTATTAGTGTATAATGTGTTTTAAACCGACTTTATTTTTATATTGAATAGTTTTTCCTTTGAAAACTTTTTTTTTAAAAAAATCAATACTATATACTTGTATTTGTTTAGTTTGTACTTATTTTGCATACCAAGTATTTAAACGGTCAATTATATAAATAATTAAATATATAAATTTTGTTTTGATAATTTTTAACATAATTTATTTGGTGATCGTTTAAAATAAAACAAATAATCATCTTTTTATTCCCTTCAGTAAGTGTAATAGTTAATATGAATTTTTTTACATTTTGTGTATATTTAATTAAATTATATTAAATGATCTTTTTCATCGTTTTAAAATCGATTTCATATATAGGATCATTTAATGAAATTGTAATAAAATAAAAGTCACAAGACTGAACATTACTATATTATAATTAATATACACACAAATGCATAGAGTTTGCAGAATATGTGATTATGGAAATCTGAAATTGTCATTAGACATTTCTCTCATCATTAGTAAATATTTCCAAAATACAGATTTAAAGGAATTTAAGATGATTTAAAATGTTTTGCCATTTACGTTAGATACTTGAAAGTATTGTGTTGACGGGACGGACTATTAGAAATAATGTTGAACTGAAAACCTGGATATAAAATGTTAAGCCGATTTTCAGACGTTTTGCAAACTGCTGCGGACGTTGTAAGTGTAATAAAATTTTAATTACAACATGAAAGATATTAAATTATGTTACATAGTATTCTACGTTTCTTAAACAATAATTAAAATAAAACTGCGCATAATAGAATGAATATTTATAAGTGGATTGAAAAGTTGAGAAAATAGAAAATTTTCTGCAAATTTTACTATTTTATAATGAAATTATTACTCTGAGGGAAAATAATTATTCTGATTCTATGTTCTATATGTTAATGAGACAAATTTAATAGCTTGCCCCGCCGCCGACGAGGCTTGAAGATTTCGAATATCACTGGAAAATGGTGCTTAACTTTTATCGAAATTACGATGAAAAGACAAAAGTACACATAGAAGATACAAGAGTTCCCCATCACTTGCATCAAATGTTACAGGTACTTCAAAATTTATATAAAATCTACCAATTAAAGAATATATTTTTCATACCTGTTATAAATTAATGTAAACAAATTAGTTTACATAAACTTATTATCATATGCAATGTAAGGTCAAAGACGAATGATAATAAATGCATTTAAATATTACAAAAAAAACTTAAAAGGTGTATGTAATATCTTTAGGGAACAATGTTCAAGACTATATCAAAATATAATAGTTAATTGTTTTGTTTTATTTATATACACATTTATTATATTTTCTTAGAAAATTAAATGTTAGGAAGGATATAAAATCTTAATTATTTAAATCTAACTATTTGTTTATTTATGCATGATTACAGTATATTTTCAAATAACAATTGTTATAATTATCTTATTGAAATCATATGATTTAAAAGAAATGCAATTTCTACCATCATAGTTATAACATCTATAAATAGTATTTAAATAAAGCATAAAATGTACTTTGAAAAAAAAAAAATGTAACACTTTTGAGAGTATTAAATAAAACTAATATAGCAGCAACTGTTGCTGCTAAGTAAGTGAAACATCAAGAAGAGTATGTAGCTTAAAATAATAAAAAATGTAGAGTATATCTGAAAAAATTAGTTTTACTGAAAAGGAATTAAAATTTTGAATTTAATATAATATTTAAACATCCATGTAAAAATTTTATAATGAAACAATGGTAGGGTCAATTAAATATAAAATACAATAATGGTAATGGTAAGCTGAAAAATAGTCTTTTATTTATATTAGATACTGGATAAGGAAACTTTATATATGTACATATTAAAGTAAATAGTATATTATTAATTTAATATAATGTTTTCTATTAGTTAATAGTTGACGAAGAGAAAGAGCAACATGGTGGGACAGTGGGGCCTTGTCTGGAATCAATTATCCAGCGTTCCATATCGCTGTTAGACGTTCTGGCAGCGCTGGCATCCGTAGATAGGCCTCCAGGTGCCAGGGCTATGGCACTCTCATTGGCAACGGCCCTATTAAGACGTACAAGAAGACCGTGTATTAATAGCGCCCATGTTTATAGGCCTTTGCAGGTATTTACATATATATTTATTTATTTAATATTCAAATAGATTATGTAGATGGACTTTTTATCAACATGAGGCTTAGATGGAATCTGTAACTTAGAAAATCACTTTTCAGCCGCTTCATAAACTAAGATTTAAACCCTATACATACATAATTATATTAATTTGTTATATTAATAGCTATGGATTTTTTTTTATGTGATATCTTATTTATGGTCTAAAATATAATTAATAAATTTATAATATATTTAATATTTAATTATGGACCTAATAGATATTTAATACTAATTTTACTTCTGCGGTTTGATACTTTTTGGGAGAAGTGTGTTTATGATATTTCATATAAATTATGTTTAATCCATCATTTGTTTATGAATATTCTAAGATAATCCATCAAAATCTCTATTTTGAATGAGTTTGTTATGAATTTTGATAGAATTGTGACATTTTTGTGGAGTTTTTGTGAATTATTCCAATAATTTTTCCAGAGGATGCTAGTACAGTGCAATGAAAGTCCAGCATCTCCCACAGAGAAGGAAGAAGTAGAGCTTCTTCTAACTTTATGCGGTTTAGTCCGCAAAGAAACTGGCTTAGCGAATATATTCACTACGCCATTCGTAGAGGACAAAGCGAGTCTGCTCAGCATACCCAAAGATATACAAGCATTGATACCAATCAAGAAGAAAGTTCATACGCCAAAGAAGAATCCGTTATTCGAAGTGAATATGACGCCGAGTCCAATGAAAACTGTTTCCATTGTTAGAATAAATAAGGACGATAATTGCGTGCAGTCGAATAGTTCTGGTGACGATCACGAATCTTGTAAGAGTCAGAAGACGGTTAATGAAGATAATGATAAATTCCTCTTGATCGATTTGTTACTGTCTTATTTGAATAGCGCTGTGAGTATAAATATATTTTTACCAGCTTTCGCGTTTCCAAGAGAACCTTTCAAAAGTGTTAGATAAAAACTATGCTATGTTCTTTCTCAAGGTCAACTCTATCTCTGTACCAAATTTCATTAAAATCAGTTCAGTGTTTTAGGCGTGAAAGCGTAACAGACAGACAGACAGAATTACTTTCGTAATTATAATATTAGTAGGGATTACGAAACTTTAATGACATAGCCACATTTTTTATCGATCTATCGTATGTCGCATTACACAGCAGTAAAATGGAGATATAATTAAAAGCAGATTAAGACGTATGTATATGATATTCGAATAAAAAGGTATCATTTGCACAGTGGGTTTAAACTTACTTATTTTTGTCATTTAATTGAAATTTTAAACAAATAAAGAATTTAATCTATTTAAAACCGGAATAACGATAATATTTCCTGATATTGTATGTATTTTACAACTTTATTTAGCAAAAGGAAGCAGTTATATAAAAGTATATATTACAGCAATAAATTCTAATATGTCATAGTTATCTAATAAATAAAACTGTTTAAAAATATAGGGTGTTAAATAAAAAGTATTTCATTAAAATAATTTTATCATCTTAAAACTCTTATCAGTATTAAACATTTTACTTTTATTAAAGCTTTTTTACCATAAGTTGATCCTTTTAATTCATTTTTATCATGATAGTTACTTTTATTACGTCACTATGTTTAGTTGGTAGTAAGTATAAAATTTAGTCCAAAATTTTTCACCAGATATTTTATACCGGACCTAAGATGAAATTATGAGTAAAATCGTAAAAAGCAATGATTTTTTTGCCCACATTAGGAAACGTCATTAATTCTGAGTACATTAAATTTGAAAGTAGGGTAATCAATATGATACCAATTTATTCTGTTTTTCTCTGCAATAGAATATGACTTAACCGCAATGTACGGTCAAAAATTTATTTGCTACCTCATAATTAACGGATCGTGGCTATCGAATGAGGCTTCATAGTCTTAATCGAATATAATCGTCCTAACAAATTAGATCTATCTAGAATATATAGAATAAAAATATTAAGAAAAATCAGACTTAGATGAAATTCTATATATTCTATATATTATTCTATTCTATAGGATAATCAAGTGGTTCTTCGTGCTTGCGAGGGTATAATGATAGTGTCGTCCCTCCCGGAAGACGATATCGCTAATTTGGTGACAAGCAGCCCCGCCTGTGAGACGATCATCGATAAATTGGTGAACAAGTACCGGGCCATCCCTAGCGATGTCGATCCGAATGATGTTGACCATTTGAATATTACGTGGGCGTGAGTTTTATTTGGATTACTATATACATATACAGGGTGACTGGTGAATTACTATCAATATTTAAGGAGCATACTCGGTACATGATTCTCATTCGAATTATGTAAAAAAAATAGGCACTTAATTTTTGACTAAATTTCCGTATAAATAAATAAAGTGTGTACACGTTCCAAGTGTGGACGCGTGCGGCGGCGTGCTGATACAACAACACGCCGCCGCGCGCGAGTGTGTGTGTGTGTATACCTAACCTGTAGGGTGTTCATACGATGCGTAATTAATTACATAACTTTTGGTTAACTTTACTTAGAAGTTTATTAATATTTATGTTATATTAATTTTTATTTTGTCATATATGATCGTCAAATATCACGTCCTCAAATATCGATAGTAATTCACCAGTCACCCTGAATATATTAGAGTAAAAATTGAAATAGGGAAAAAAGATTTGAGATAATGAATTGTTTTTTTATTGGAACTAGGTCCTTGAATACAAATAATTTCATGAATCGAATTGTAAAATATTTTCTTGTGTATAGAAGTACTAGCTTTCTGCCCGCAGCTTCGCCCGCGTGAAGTTCGGTTATATCGCGTTTCCAAGAGAACCTTTCAAAAGTCTGGGATAAAAACTATCCTTTGTTCTTTCTCAAAGTTAACTCTATCTCTGTACCAAATTTCATTAAAATCAGTTGAGTGGTTTAGGCGTGTAAGCGTAACAGACAGAGTTACTTTCGCATTTATAATATTAGTAGGGATAATTCATGTTCATTTGTTTTATATTATCTTTCATATTATAAATCAGTTAAAACACCATATATTGTTATTTATATAAAGGTACGTGGCCCAAGACTTCGGTGATAAAAGTTACAATCGCTTCCACGGCTACAGAGAGCTGACAAGTTTCTTTTCGTGGTTGGACTACGTCGATACTTTGATGAAGGTAATTATTTTCATTCCTATACATCAGCTAAATTATCTTGCTATCAGAATTTTATGAAGAATTTTCGTATAAGTCCTCACATTTCTAGTAACCCATTAAAAGAAATATATACCAAAAACATGCCTGTTAAAAAGGGGGCCAAGTTCCAATCGGCTAATTGTTTGCCTAAAAAAGGGTTGAAATCCAATCTAATGCCAAGTTTAGATGCACTTTGAAATCGATCATAATCATCTTCATCAACAGCATGATCCACTGGTAAACATTTGCCATTCCCAAGACTCGCCACTACACCCAGTCCTCCCAGTTGTGTAATTTAATAAATCAATTTTAAATCCTCAGAGAAGAGATTCTTATATCTTTCAAATTATAATATAATGATACTACAATTCATTGCACACAATAGTATATATAGAATTATTGTAGAAGCCGTAATGAGAGATTTTTATGTATAATATTGGAGATCCTATTTGTACAATGTCCTTATACCAAAATGTTTATTATGTGGTATATAAGACTTTAGTCTGTCTATGTCGTTATATCCATAACTGAACCTGTTTAGAAATTACTTTCACTGGCCCATATCTCACGTAGTAAGAAGAAAAGTAGGATATTTTATATTGTAGAAATGGTATTTTTTTCACTAGTTAAGTGAGAAAGAATTACACATAAAGATTTATTATGTCATTTCCAACCAATTGTAGATAAACATATACATATTTTAACATCCCAATGATATTGGCCAGTTATCCTAAGGTACATATATGTAAGTCACTGTGTTATCTTTTTATAAATATACTATCTGTAATATATTGCATATACAAGCAGACCTTCACTTGCATTCGGTCGGACATATCACAGCTGAGATCACGCTCACATAGAGGTAGGATTTAATTTATTTTGCATTTTTTAAATGAAACTAAATTATTCAGTTATTGTGTGATTTTTATTATTTTATTTTAACATTTTCCCGGAATTTCAATTACTTTTCAACAACCGTGATCATAGCAACGAGTTTCTCGGGAAAAAGTAAAAATTTTGTAGTGAAAATAGGGTAGTTATTGGAAAAACTCAGTTTAATTTAAAAATGTACGCGTGAAAGATTTAGATATCATTACTTTGTTTCTTCCGTTGTCAAAAAAACCTATTTTACTAATAATTACGTGACATCTTATTGCACTCATACTCATAGTATTAAAAATATAACTCACATACTCACAGTATATATATATATATATATATATATATATATATATATATATATATCAGTTCTTAAGAAGCGCCCCACACTTTTTTCACAATAATATTAATTTAAAAATAAATTAACAAACAATAAATGGTATTTTTGTGAAAAAAGCGTGGGGAGCTTCATATATCACTTCTTGAGAAGCGAACCACGCTTTTTTTTTCAATAATACTATTTATTGTTTATTTTAAACAATTTAAATTAAATTGATTTCCAAGGTTGTAAAGGTTAAATTAGTTTCCACGCGGTTTCTTTCATCATTGGAGCGTGTTTTTTTAACTATATTTATTTTTATTTTTTTAGTTTTATTTATCACCGATTGATAGATGTACTCATATTATTAATTATTAATATTTAATTATTGTGTATTTTATTGTGCTGAGCTGAGCGCCTATATATTTTATATATATACCTACATATAAAGGTTTTGATTACCTGTCAGTGAGTCAGTGCCAAAATTAGCTATTTTCACAGGGTCATATTTCAGGATCTACTGAAGATTTATCTATGAAATTTGGCATACTGCTTTAGTACTAGTATATGATTACGTAGGTACAATTTTATCTCTGTACTTGCAATAGGCACTGAGCTACAGACGGGTCAAAAGTGGGTCGAAACGGTTCGTGTAAATAGTGAACGCATACGCGCGGCCTGTTGCTGGAACTTGGCCGGCGCACTACCGTGCGCTTAGATTTATCTGAAATCTAATAAGTTATAACATTATATGAAAACTTTAACAAAAATCTTATGATGTTATAGAACGGATTACTCTGTCCAATTTTAATCTAGAAATTTTGTCTTGCCAGACATATTATTGTTCATTAACCCATTTAAGAATTCAATAATATTATTGAATATATTTATATAAATAAACTAATAAATATATTTATATACCTAAATAAACTAATATTTTCGTATATACTACCCGTTATTTTACTATTTTAAATACTACATACTTTCGACGTTTCGGATACTTTGCAGCAACCGTGATCACGAGCAGACGAGATGTGAATGACGATTAACGTCGGGAGTATGTACTTAAAAATAATACAATAACGCTTTATAATCCGAAAACATTAGCTCCATTCAAACCAATACTCGCGAAAGTCATATTACTATGATATTTCTATATATAGTCTCATATTACTATGTTATTTCTATATGTTACAAACATCAGTTACTCAAAATCTTTGTAGTTTATAGTGTTGTTTATGTACTAAAACTTCCGAGTGCTCTCAATGAATGCCAGTGTACGAATAAACACGACAGGGATTTTGTAACAGAGTAAAAGAAATTTGTAATGTATTATATAAATAAATAATAATAATAAAATAAATAAATAAATGTATGAAAGTCGTAATTCAAGGAATGATCAATATTTCCAGGAATGCCACCCCACCATATCATCCCACCTGGCTCGTATATTCCGCTGCCACTTCCTGGACGCTGTTCCCGAAGCAGCAAACGGCGCTGTGTTAGCTTCAGCGTTACTGGCGAAATGTCTTAGAGTGTTGGACGCGAGTGATCTCATACAAGGTATACAAGAACATCTTCTGCCTGGCAAATTCCCAGCTATAGCCAGGGTCTGCCTTACATGTTGTGAATAGTTTTGGCTGTTTTTACGACCGGCCACCTGCCTGACATCAAACCTCTTTGGGAATGCATTAATCAGTGATGTCTTAATACTGTAAGAAAGTACATGACTCAGAAAAATCACATTGGTACTTGCCCGGATCGAACCCGCGCCCTCATGCATGAGAGGCGGGCCTTTTAACCACTAGGCCACCACTGATTTAACTGTACTTGTATTATATATACGAAAGTAACTGTATGTTACGTTTTTACACATAAACCGCTGATCGGATTTAGATGAATTTTGGTGTAAAGATAGATGGAGTATTGGAGGAGGACATAGGCTATCCTTTTGTTTTAATCTCGATCCTAAAACCACTTAATGGTCGTACGGACAGAGAACAATTCTGATGTTCAAGCGGATAAAGTTGCGGGCAAAAGCTAATACAATATAAAGGAATAAGAAACTTGACAATTCTTAGATATAGTTTTGCAGTATCTCCATTTCTAAATTCTTATTGTAACCTTATCATATTATTTTAGAAAAATCCCTTGTGAATCGTTTCTTGTATAACACATAATAACATATTATACTTCCCCGGCTAATTAAATCGTGTTACAAATTTGTAGACGTATTTAAACGAGTCAAAATCATATATGAAAATTTTGTGCTATAAATATATGAATACAAAAACTTACTTCAAATACATTTCGAGTTATGATTGAAACACACACACTCAATAACAATTACCATCATAATATGAGCTATTAAGTCATACGATTTGTTATATTTCCAGAGTTCTCAAGTTGGTTGGTTGGTGAGGGCGAGTGTGAATGGTCAGTTCTATTGTCACTAGTTGACAATTGTCTTACCGACAAACACGACCTTACGTTGGAAACGCTGAGGTTTTTTGAGGTATTTATTATTTATTTATTTTACACTTTTTTGTGTTTACAATACAAACAATTAAAAAAATACAAACTAAAAACTAATGGTGAGACAAAAGGCGGCCTTATGGCTTATTAGCCATTTCTTCCAGACTACTTAGGGTAAGAGGATTTATCAGTTTTATATCAATAATTTAGAATTAGTTCCTAAAATGTTGCCAGTTCTATAATAATGAGTTAGTATAGGTAAAGATGTTTTAAATTAAAAAAGAAATTAATGAACTTATATCGTTAGGAACTCTAAAAATGTTGTGTACATGTTACTACAAATTTCATAGATTTATTTACTTTTTGCTATTAATATTCTTCATAATAACTAGCTATGTATTTACAGACTATACAATTCAGAAGTAATTTAGAATATTGTTTTCAACTAAAATAAAATATTATTTAATTTATTTTACAATTAGTATATGAAGATGTTTGTTTATTGATTTTTTCTTAATTCTTAACCATTGATTCTGTTTTTAAAACACCACTAGTTTTATAAGTGTGCTTAAAATTTTTAATGCTGACCATAATGTGTATATATAATATTTTCAGGCTATAATAGAAAAAGGCACGGAACACAGTATGGAGCGACTAGTGCTGTCTCGCGTGTGGTCACGCGGCTACTACCACTCACCACCCACCGGCGCGCTTCAAGACGAGAGGGACAGACTCAATGACGTCTCACATGCGAGGGAAAGAGAGAGAAATAGGTGACACAGACTATAAATAAAATATAAATCTTGAATTAAGATTTGGCAATACAGATAATATGTCAGATTGTTGAAATCAATATATGGGCCGTGATATGATATATGATACAATGCTTACCTTATGTACTTACCATTTGTTTCTTCGTACTAAATACTAGCTTTCCCCCCGCAGCTTCGCCCGCGTGGAGTTCGGTTATATCGCGTTTCCAAGGGAACCTTTCAAAACTCTGGGATAAAAACTCCTATGTTCTTTCTCAAGGTCAACTCTATGTTTGTACCAAATTTCATTAAAATCAGTTCAGTGGTTTAGGTGTGAAAGCGTAACAGACAGACAGACAGAGTTACTTTCGCATTAATAATGTTAGTAAGGATTACTTATATGTAGTATTGTATTGATTACATGTGTGGATGAATATTAGTTAACTAATGTTGAATATTCAATTTAACATTTCAAGCCTCCAAACATATTTGTCTATAAATGTAATTCTAATATCTATTTAAATAATATATATGAGTAAGTAATTTGACTGTATTAAGATTTTTTATCATACAAAATTTTCTATACTATAGTGATTTGTAAAAATAAATTCATTATAGGTATGTATAAATAAATATATATTCTTAATTTAATTCCAGGGAAGCGATGCAACAAATGCAGCATGAAGAGAAAATCAACAGTCAAGTGAGTGAGCTCTTGAACGATGGAGGAACGGATTGTGATATACACAGAGTTATAAATAGGTATGTATTAAATAATATTACTATTAATGAGAAATTTTGTTTATTGGTATGTCTTTTACACCTTAATTCATTGACCAATTCTTTACACACACGCACACGCACGCATGTACATACACACAAAAACACACTCACAAATTGAGAGTTTTATACTTGTAAAATACCCTAATTTTTCCTACCATATATATACTCTTGAAATCTAATAGATTTTTCATATTATGTATTCAACAGTGATACAAGTGGAAAAACATATTATTATAAAAATAACTAGCTGACCCACAACGATGTTTTGCCATATAAAGAAATTAAACCGAAAAATTCCGTCAGAAAATTATTAAAAAAAATTAAGGGTGAACAACCCGTATGACTTAGGGGTATGAAAAATGGATGTTGGACGATTCTCAGACATACTCAATATGCTCACAAAATGTCATCAAAATCGATCCAGTTTCGGAGGAGTTCTCTGTCTAACACCGCGACACGAGAATTTTATATATAAGATATTTATATATCTTTATTATAATAAGAATTAATTGTTCCATAGGAGATTAGAAATGCTCAAAGAGCGACTTCAAGAGATTATCTCAACTGAGAAATTAGAGACGCAACAAGTATCATAAGATAATTATTTATATTATGTTATATATAAGACTGAAATTTATACTTAATTATAATTATTTTTATTTGTATGTACAAATATTTTTGCCATTAATTAATTATATATATATTTTTGTATATACATTTTGTTGTACATATTGTTTTTATGTACAAAATAAAATTATACGTAGGGGACAGGTTTTTTTTACAGTTTTTAAGGTTTAAGTACAATATTATTTTATGGAAAACAAAATTCTCAATACAAATAAAATTACACAAAAATAAGTTTATTAATTAATATGATTTTTTGTATTGTATTTTATAAAAAGTATATTTTATAATGAAAATCTTTATATTATTGTAGGCCTAGAAATTTTAAAATATTTTAACAACTATTTACATTTATATATTTTTTTGTGTTGAAATGTCTTTTTCTTTCGTATAGGTTACTTTTAAAATAATTAATGTATTAAAAAATTTAATGTGTTTCCATTATGTTTTTGATATTTATCAAATATTTTGCCATTCTACATGCCATTATATATTTATATGTACATATGTGACTAAAATGTGACTAAAATATTTCTAAGATAGTTTTTAAAACTATTGTTTTAGCATATGGAATTTAGATCACTTTTTGGGAAAGGGTACTTTATAAATAAATAATTCGTAATTTATGTGTAAAGCAAGGGAATAATGTTATAGGAATATGATAAAATCAGTAGGATAATGAAATTTAAGTTATACTATAATTATTAAAACCAATTTATTGTATCAATTATTGGCATAATAATGTAAATATATATTTATATCACATACGTAATTGATTGAAGTATTATACATTGTTTTGTTTATGTAAAATTATATAAATTAAATGAAACAAACATATCATTTGTCATAAAAAAACTTGCTTTTTATCTATTTTTAAGTTTTAAAATTATCACTTTTTGTTCGTAAATCTATGCATAGTTTTTGAATGAAAAAGTTTGTTAACTACATTTCTATCTAAAACAGATGAATATTTGTCTTAAGATCATATTATTATCCATGTTATATCATTACGTAAACTAAGATTATTAAATATCTTCACACAAACACATATATGGTTAATAACTAGGTATTAAATTATATATAAATAAATTCTTGTATGTATGTATTGTGATTGTAAATTAAATATTTCCAACATCTAAACCGTGTTTTATTATCCAGTTTCCTGTTGGTGGTGCCTCGTGCCTTGTTGTCAGCGCCAGGTGACTGCGAGCATTACTTGCACGACGCACATCGACACTATCAGGTATATAGATATATGTATAATTCTTCTGTGAGTGTGTATGTCACTGAACTTCTCTCAAACAACTGGACCGATTTTTATTAAATTTTTTGTGTGTGTTTAAAGGGATCTGGGAATGGTTTAGATTCACAATTTTGTCCGCTGGACAATGTTTTTTAATTAATTTTTAATTTATCAGTAGTTGTTGATACAAACGTTTTTTTTTTGGACATTAGATTTCACAACTAACTTATACGTCAATCATACTGTTGCACTTCAAAACACGGAGATTTATGGCTTTAATAGGTAAACTCTGAAATAAAAAAAAAACGTAACAGATATTTCTTGATTATAGGGCGATACGAAGTTCGCCGGGTCTTCTAGTATATATACATTTTGTGTTTTAAGACTGGAGTTTTCCCAATAGCACTGAAGAAATCAATTATTACACCTGTGTACAAGAGTGGAAATAGAGATGAAATTAGTAACTATAGACCAATATCTGTCCTACCATCTATTGCTAAGATTCTTGAAAAACTTATAAACAAACGTCTTGTAAATTACCTAAACAAGTTTAACATATTGGCTAAGACACAATTCGGATTCCGGAAACATTTATCTACAGAAGACGCAATTACAGATCTTACTGATCTAATTGTTAATAAACTTGACCAAGGTAAAAAGTGCTTAACAGTATTTCTTGATTTAAAAAAAGCATTCGACACAGTCTCTATTCCTATTCTTGTACACAAGTTAGAACAAATTGGTATTTGTGGTACTCCCCTTGATCTTTTAAGATCTTACTTAAATGATCGCGTACAGTGCGTAAAAATTGGCCAACATATTAGTGAGGATGCAAGTGTCACCTTTGGCGTGCCGCAGGGGAGTGTTCTGGGTCCAACCCTCTTCCTGATCTATCTAAACGACCTCTGTAAATTAGAAATTGATTCAGGTCAGGTCTTCTCTTACGCCGATGACACTGCAATAGTTTTCTGTGGCAATACTTGGGAGGATGTTTACAAACACGCAAACTTAGGGCTAATTCAGGTTTCGGAATGGCTAAACGATAATCTTCTTACGCTAAATACAACAAAAACAAACTACATATGTTTTTCCATACGCAATTCCACGCAGCCAAATGATGACTTCAGTATCAGGATACATAAATGTGATTATAGACTTTCTCTACCTTGTAAATGTCCGCTTATATCAAAGGTGGATAAAACAAAGTATCTTGGTATTATGGTCGATCAAAATTTAAACTGGTATGCCCAACTTAATTTAGTGTCTAACAGAATGAGAAAACTTACCTGGGTTTTTAAGAACTTGCGACACGTTGCTAATAAGGAGTTATTAAATAAAGTATATACGGCCTTGGCACAATCAGTCTTATCCTATTGTATTCCGATTTGGGGTGGGACTTCAAAAACAAAATTCCTAGAGCTAGAAAGAGTGCAAAGAACAATTTTAAAGGTAATGTACTTTAAGTCATACAGATTTCCAACAACCGAACTCTACGAACATGGAAACATTCTATCAGTAAGAAAACTGTATGTTCTGCTCTCCATTGTAAAAGCGCACAGGTCAATTAAATTTGACCCTGAAGTGTCAACTAAGAGACGTAATATTGTTAAATTAACCTCTACATTTCCCCCGGCAAAAACCATTTTTGCAAGAAATCAATTTAAACGACAAGCTACTTATTTGTATGCTAAAATTAATCGTAAAGTTAACATCTTTGCTATGAACACGTATAACTGTAAAAAAACGTTAAAGGACTACTTAAAGGAATTGGATTATAGTGAAACTGAAAAAGTATTGGAAATAACTGCATAAATATTTGAAGACTTATGTGTAATTATTTAAACACTATAACTGACTATCACACTCACTCACTCACCCACACACTCACACACACACATACACACACACACACACATACACACACACACACACATACACACACACACACACACACACACACACACACACACACACACACACACACTCAAACACACATGCACGTTATATGATTAAAATTACATTTAATTTATATATTACCTATTTATATTGTTCTTAATTTGTAAAATAATGTTTACCTTTTACCTCTATGTATTTGATTCCGTTTGTGGAAGAGCAGGGACTCCGAACACAAGAAAATTCCTTTTCTTAAAAGGAGCTCCCTAGCTGTAGCTGTTTGTTTCTAGGTTTAAGATACAATAATAAACAAATTTTTTTTTTTTATTTTTTTTTTATACATATATAATACACTGAGTTCATTTCCATAGAAATTGGCAATCTTGTAAACACAAATGTGATTAGCTGCTATTGACAGACTTTGTCTATGCCTCTAGTGACTAAGTACTTTTCAAGATACATTAATATTAATTATTAGTATTAATATAAAATTACTTTCATTTCATTTGTTCATAAAATATGAATTAAGTATTATTTAGTGAGCTTTTTTTTAATGAGTTTAGAAATGCAGAAGAGTTGTTTGCATCCAAACAGCACAAAATTATTGGTTCCTTGGGAAACCAAGGACCTTAAATACCATGCTATCAAGATCAATAAGTATTACGAGATCATTAAATATTTAAAAAAATGTTCAATTTGTACTTTTTAGCGCTATCTGTTTTGTTCTATCTGCTAAATACCAGAAAAAAATTCAATTTTGATTGATTGACTGATTTTCATCACAGCCAGTTTAATACACTATAGTGTTTGCTATAATTATTTTCTTTTTATATTTGTGAATTCTTTGAAGTTCAAGTAATAATGATTATAAATATCTTTATTTAAAAGTGTCGGTTACACCATTTACAGTTCAAGAACTGCTTCATTGCCTTTAAGGAGTAACAGAGTTCCTTCGGTCAGCTCCGAGTATACATTTCTAAGTTTGAAAGTAAAGTAAAGGAAGTCGCGAAAAAAAGTAGTTCATTGTATAATTATCTTGTACAACACTAATTTTTCAAAGACAAATAGACTTTGATGAGTAAAAAATGATCGTGTCAATTTGACAAACGCAATAAATTTTCGTGTTCAAAAATAATTTTATTAAATAAACATATATACACAGTTGTCTAATCATAAAAATATTGTAAAAAACAGTGTTGGGTTCATTGAGATGTAATTATAATCAGAAGTGACATTTCATTCTACATAAAAGCGGAGTAATCGTGGTCAGTTGCTTTGTTTACAAGATTGCCAATTTCTATTGATATGGACTATACAAAAGTGTATATTGAAACCCTATTGGGTGCTAAAGTAGGTAAAAAGACAATGTCAGGTAGAGCAGTTTATATCTTATCTTATATCTTTAAATGAGCAATTCTTTAATATGTATATATATATAATATATAATTGTAATCTCGGATTCGGCTTCAATAATTATCAGAAAATTTAGTATATAGGGGGTTTTTGGGGTGATAAATTGGTCTAGCTAGAAATTATTTTTAGAAAATGTCATTTTATGAAAAAAATAACATAAAGGAGGCGTTTGAGTATGTAGTCCTAACTTAAAATATGATTCTTCCTGACATCTATTGGCGAATAATAGAACTACTTTTTACTAATTGCTTTTACGACACAATAGCAGATGGCGTTGTTAAGTAACAGGAAGTCAATGAGTGTTTGTTTTGAAAATTTACTATCGGGTAGTGTAGTGTTACTATTCTATAAGTTTCAGTAGTAAGGATACCAATATAAGCACGTTAAAACTATGTGGATATAGTAGGTTTTACTAGTCTATTAGTTGGAACGTGTACATTATATAGAATATTGTATATGTATATTGTTTTAATATCTTTACTGTAAAGCATACAGTTTGTTATTCCTTACTAATAATAACAAACTATATTTAATAATGGAGCTATTTATTTCCCTAAAAGATTCTGCCTTATATTAAGATAAAAATTAATTAAGATTATCTTTGAATAACATAAACACTACATTACATTAAAGATAAAGTTTATAAGAGATATATTCTTTATAAATTATTTTTACAGCTCTGGTTGGATATCACGTCTACTTACAACTGGCCAACTGAACTAAACTGGAACGATAACACCGCTAGTTCAACTCACTCGTATGATAGTAGGCCTGAGGCGGACATACATCTCGACGATGTTTTTAATACGGTTCACAGACAAAAAACCGATAAATGTCAAAATGAAATATCGGCAAAGAAATCGAATTCAGATATCGATACCGAAAAATCGATTCAACATAAAGATTCATGTCCGTTCTCTCAAGCCCTAGTTCATAGACACAGCGAGGCGTCTAATAGTGAAGAAGAATTTGATGAAGGGCCGTTTTTAAAAATGATTTTCAAACTTCTTTCGTCAATGCCGGACCAGCCTTATCAAGTTAATTTGCACCTTACGTCCATTATATCAAAGCTCGCTTTACTGCCACATCCAAATTTACATGAATATTTATTGAACCCGAATCTGCCGACAGCTAAAAAGACTCGCACTTTGTATAAAACTCTCCAAGAGGTAGCTAAGAGATTGACGATGGAGGTTCCACGAATAAAAAATTATAAAAAGATCATTGAAAATACAAGACAACAACTTATGAGTGAAGATCCATCCTATGATGAAATGTGAGTATATTTTAATTAAAAACTCATAACTGCTTTATTATAAATTCATTTCAACGACTTTACTAACCTTCAAAACTAATTTTCTTAGCTCTAACTTCAGATTAAGATATTGCCATTGTTATAATGTAATATAAGTATAGTTTGTCTAATTTTTTTTTTTCCTACTAAAAGTAACGATAAATGCTATGTTCCAATGTAAACTACACACGGAATGGCAGGATAATCTGCAGTGTATATATCATTTTGACATCTAAATTACATTATTGGAAAAAATCCGCTCAGTATATTAAAAGCGAAAAAGCAACTAACATACTTATATCTTAGGAAATCTTCACGTTTATAATATTATGATTTTCGTTTCAGCGGGGAACACAACCAGTTGGTCGAGAGTTTGATAGTGTTGGAAGAATTCTGCAAAGAATTAGCCGCGATTGCCTTCGTTAAATACCAACATATGACTCAAATGAATTGTTAGATATATATATTATTTAATACATAAATGTTTAGCTTTTGAAACACAACACGTATTATCATGTAGGTGTTATTTATTTATTAAATACTGCAATTTTGATTTCATACCTTACCATAGACAACGTTTCTTGAATATTATTCGAATTTTCAAATCCTATGTACTAGTCGTAGTAAATTATTGTTATACTTAATTTCGATTTTAAATAATTTAATTTCAGTGATTCAATGTGAATATCACTTAAGTTTGAAATATGTATCGAATATTTTAAAACATTTTTTTTATGTATGCTATGGCTTCATTCACTGAATTTGTTGAATATTTTGCCAGTGGCAACATTTTTATTTATTGTAAGATCGAATATTTTTGTTATTTATATGAAATGTTTGTCAAAATAGATGTCTAGTCTAAAGAGTATATTTTTGAACATTCCTCGAACATATTTCAAGTTGAAGCTTAATGCTTTATATGATAAAGCATCCTTTGGGCTCATAGCAACTATTACCAGATTTTAGTGTTAAAACACATCTTGTAAATTAATGTTTTTAATGCTATGGACTTTGATGTTTAACCCTTCGTTGCACAACCAACATGCATGTACAAGAAATGGCATTTGTTAAATATATTCGATTGAATTAACTGTCTTTATTTTTACAGCTCCTGAAATCAAAAGTAAATATTTATAATTTTAATTTATTTACTTACCAATGTAATAGTCAGTTGGGTCCTAGTGCTAAAGGCCCGCCTCTCGTGCACGAGGGTGCGGGTTCGATCCTGGTAAGTACCAAGGTGATTTTTCCGAGTCATATGTACTTTCTGAGAGTTTTTAGACACCACTGATATACGGTGAAGGAAAACATCGTGAGAAAATCTGGACTTATATCACAATTATAAGTTTGAAATCACCAACCCGTCTTGAGCAAGTGTGGTGATTAATGCTCAAACCTTCTCAATATGAGAAGAGGCCTTTGCTCAGCAGTGGGCTCTGATAGGTCGATAACGACGAATTTAATAAATTAAAAAGAAAATAAAACTTCATAGTTGCATGTGATTATATTATACTTGAAATTAAATAATGAATATAAACATGAATTAGTTATCAACGACATTCTTTTAAAACTATTTACAGACACGGAATAGTTATTACATCTTGCTATTAAAACTGACTTCGGATGTGTTGGAGATGTTTTCATACAAAAGTTTTAATATTTCATCTTCCATACACATCAGAAACAGTTATTCTCATATAAACACAGTCCTAGCTAACTTGATCGGTTTAAATCTATACATATATTGTACTGCGGTAGGATCTTTAAAAATGACAATATTAATAATCTCTAGTTACTTTTTATTTTGGACTCTTCTTTCTAGTCAAAACATTATACACTTTAAAATGTGTATTAAAACCTGAATCTATTGTCCTTTTATCTAATTTGTCTTTTTTTTATTGGGAATATTCTGAGAAAAATATTTTTGTGCCGAATGACAGTTTTTATCACTATAATTTTAGTACACTAGGGAAGTTAACAATTTGTTATTCAGCACAAAACTATCATTCATCAGTTTTGAGGACTTGAATTTCTATTTTTGATAATATTCATAATTGTTAACTTAATTTTATATTTTTGAATAATATAAGAAATAGATATTATAGTTAATTTTAAAACAATAAAATGAGAAGTTACGCAGCTAATGTGAAGATGAAAATAAAGTTTGGCCAAAAGCTTATGGCAAGACTTAATAAGAAACAAGAAAAGATAATAAAAAGTATTTTGAACCAAACTAAAATTCATAAACATAATATTAATGCGTTTATCACAGTACTGATATTAATAAATACGGTTTATTTTATATATTTTTTATATTGAAATTATTTCTTAAATACATAAGCTAATCGTGGTCCAATATGTTATTATTACAATTCACATACAAATCTCCACACAATATCTTTATATATTGTGTGAACTTTGTTGTACATTGTTTTTGTCACTGATAATCTTTAATCTAATAAAATGGATTGCAATAGCACAATGGTAAAAATTACTTCTCAAAATATTACCTTAAAATCGCTGTCGAGAATCATATTCAATCTACTGAGAGTTAATTTCAAATTAAATGTATTTCTATGATTCAAATCTTATAAACTTTCTTGTAATGTTGAAATAATGATGGCTTAAATTTTTTCTCGACCCAATTTGATAAATATGCTTAATATTAAAATAGCATTCGACTAGCTTAGGTCATAGACCTACTTTTGATGGTACTATTAACTTTTTAATATTCCCTACATACATATATAGAACAGATTAAATAAATAATAAAACTGAATTAATAACACAATAGATAATAAAAAAAACATGTGTTTCACAATAATATTTACAAAAAAACTTTACATATTCAATTAATTATTTCACATTGATTCATAAAGGTTATTGAATTTTGAACTTCATACAAACAATGTCTCAGGTCAACTTCAACAGTGTGTACAATAAACTACATACATGTGATCTATATAACATTACACTTTTATAACCTGTAACAAAAAATAATATTAAATTAAACATTATAAATAACAATATATTTTAAGGCCTAGATATTTATAATATAAAATGTTTCTACGACAAAAAATATTATGGATTTAATATTTTATTTTAAAAACAAAATTTACTAGTATTTTAGAAAATATTTGATATAGTTGATAATGTGTTATTATATAGGAACAAATTTTCTAATCAGTTTGTTGTATAATTCATATATTGAAGGTATTTTTTCTTTCTGTATAATCTTAATGTCAGTGTATGTGTATGTGTGTGTATGTGTATGTGTATGTGTGTGTGTGTGTGTATGTACCGTGACGTCACCACCAGGAGAAGAACGGCGACTTGTGCTGGAACCGCTGCTGGAACGAATCGAAGAAACGAGACGACGTCGAGCCGCTCTTAGACCTGGAAATAATACATACATTATAGATATAGAACTTGTGTGTATACAATAGAAAAATTTTATGATAAATATTATTAATAACAATGTCCAAGTAGGACTTAGGCAAATGATGATGAAGTAGGTCTTAGCAGATTTTAAAGATGTACTAGATATTCAATAAAAATAAAATCAGGAAGAGAATGTGACAAAACCCCTCAAAATTATTAGATATATATTATTTAGGGAACACACTTTTTATTCGAACCGAACCTTTATATTCCCGAACGCATCCGAAGTGATATTATAGCGATGACGCTTGGCTTGTTCTCTTTTAACGCGGGAAAGTATATTGTGAACACGACTTGTATTATTGTAAATAGAATTTAACTCATTTAAGGTGTTTTGGCATAAGATAATAATTAGTTTGCTCTAGTTAAGGTTTCATTGTTATTTAAAAGTACTGGCTTTAAAAGAAAACTATATTTGGATTTTGTTAGTATCCTAAATATATATTTGTCTACATTACTATGTGTGTATCATACCTCTCCACTATAACGGCCGGCATCTGCACTAGTTGTACGGGACTCTTATTATCTTTGAGCGCCTGCGTGAGGTTCAACACTTGACCTCTCATTACAGACATCTGCCGCTCGAACAGACCCTTGTCGAAGCCTTTGTCTTGCTGAACAAATATACATTATATAAATTAATATATTATTACACTTCATCAATATGTAAATATGCAGATTTGTAGTAAATTAATAACTACATGGTCTTTCAGTTCTGTTGTCAAAATAAAAGAATTTTTACGTGCAAAAAGTCAATAGCAAAGCAACTTAGTAATTGGAAAAAAATATAGATATTATTACTAAGTTATATATCATTACAAAATAAATATATTTTGATCAATCGGGCCTGAAAATTTTATTTTTTTTTATTTTCCAAAACGATACTGAAATATAGAATTGTAAAGAAATGTATGGTATTAAAAGTGTTACTTAATATAAAAAAATATAAATGTATGATTAAATTAAATCACTTATAAGTTAAATTATAAAATGAAATTTGAACAATTTATATAAATATGTTTCATAAAACTCACTTTGAACAATATATGTAACTCATCACATAATTCTTGGACAAAATTCATGTCTGATAACAGTGGAAGCACCAACTCCCTGAAAATATAATAAAAATATGTTATGATTCAGTATAGCTATAGAGTAACATTAATAAATAATTTATGTTTCATGCAAAACAGAAAAATATAGTATATGTATTTTTTCTCATACATATACTATATTTTTCTATAATTATATTAATGTTGTATGTTGCTTAGGAATAATACTAGAATTTTGTTATAGGACATGTTTGTTTTGTAACAGAAGATTCTTGTGATACATTTAATACTTTATATATTATAGTAGTTTATATATATAGCTGTCATGTTAAACATTAAACAGATCTCTACTGAGATAGTCCCTCACAAGATATCCCTCGCTATATGTGTGTGTGTGTATGTATATATGCAGTGCCGGCGTTAGAGGGACTGACACTCTGGGCAAGAATATTTTGGCGCCCACTTAGAGAAATCAAAATCGAGTATTAATTTTTTTCTCCACCAATGTGAACACTGAACGTGTATTAAGAATTCTATATTCCATCTTTCCTTTAGCGTGACCCAGAGCTAACGACGTAGACGTAGAAAGTTATGTAGCTCCTATTTTTTTTTTATTTATAAGTATCCTACCTCCACTAATCGCCCCCCCTATTTTGACGCCCTGAGCCGTCGCCCCATCGCGCCACCCCCAAACGTCGGCACTGTATATATGTGTGTGTGTGTATGTCTCACTTAGTATCTTGACTGAAGGGTTTCTTGGCCTGTGGCAGCCACGCCCAGTGATAAGGGTAGGCCCGCCACGAGTCTGGGTGTTTGAATGGGAACGCGAGCCCGTTGTCAATAGCGGCAATACGAACCTCCGACCCTCCAGACCACTCCTGGAAAAAACAATACGTCGAAATTAATTAATTACTGTTGTGAAATGAAATAAAAATTTTCCTTTTCAAATATAAAACAAAAAAAAATCTTCATCTTTTAATCACCAAACGAAATGTTATATAAAAGCCATCTGGTGGCGAAACGGAGTTCGCCGGGTTTACTGGTATTTATATATTAAAGAAAGACGTGTTAGTTACTCCACTTATAACTCAAGAATGGCTGAACCGATTTAGGTGAAAATTAACAGGGAGTTAGTTTAGAGCCAGGAGAATTACATAGGATACTTTTTATCCCGTTCGACAGCATTCCCGTGTGGATTGAAACGTGGTATAACAAAAAATAATCAGACCTGGAATAACAAAACGCAAATGACAGCTATGTAATTGACATACATATAATAACAGATATGTAATGACGTATGGATGACAATTTGATATTTGTAAGAAATCTATACATATATAAAAATGAATTGCTGTTCTTTAGTCTCACTAAAACTGAGAACGGCTGAACGGATTTTTCTTATCTTAGTTTTTTGACATGTTCGCGGAGGTTCAGGGAAGGTTTAAAAGCTGAAAAAATTGATTCATTTCCGGGAAAACCCTAAAAGCAGCCTTTTTCTATTTCCCATACAAACGTTTTTTTTATATTAGATTTGACAACTAACTAATATGTCAATCATTCTGTCGCACTTCAAAACACAGAGATGGCTTTAATAGGTAAACTCCAAAAATATAAATAAAAAAAAGTAACAGATATTTCTTGATTATAGGGTGATACGAAGTTCGCCGGGTCTTCTAGTTATTAATAAGAAAACTGTGATAAAATATACATATATCATACCGTGGGATGCGTCATGTCTCTGTCCGATGTGTCATATTTAATGAGCCAGTTGTCGTTTCCGCGGTCCGTATTCCTTATCATATAATCTAATACGACCAGTCGTTCAAACTGCAACTGGAATCTGAAATTATTATTAAAAATAATGTATTCAAAATGATTATTTTATTATCATTTTTATGTTGTTTATTATTATTGTTACTAATATGTCTTTTAAAATGGAATTATTCAAATTTTGCCTTATATTACTCCTTAATATGTTCCCATGAAAGTTTCATTACTAATTATATTATATGTTTGTATTGGCTTTTATATATGTGTCTTATTAATTTCCTCAATTCGTTTAAACATTACTTGGAAATATTCCAATCACTTGTGTTAATTTATCTCAAGCTATAATTAGAACATTCTATATTTATAAATAGACTTAAACTCTCAACAAATATTAACAAAATTTTATAAGAATAATTTTGTATTTTTCTATTTGATATTCTATATATAAGATCTTTAGTATCTTCTTCTTCTTCCTGGCAAATTTCCCAGCTTTAGCCAGGGTCTGCCACGATACAAGACACAATATAACGCACCTCCGCTCAAATAGTGTCACAACTCAACAAAAGTTGAATTCAATTTTATTGCACTATTGGAATCAGAAAACTTCGAAATCTTATCTCAAATAATGTCATGCCCATAGTTCAACTATTTATCCATAGATGTCAATATTTCGTAAATTATTAGTTTTTTTCATCCGTTATTCGTTATTTTTTTTTTAATATATTCCAAAAGTCTATTACACCATTTTGTTGAGTGTCAAAAATCATTATAACTTACTTAAAATCATATTGCAGTAACTTTCACAGTTTTTGAGTGATGAGCCGAAAAGTAAAGTTAGCATTAACTTCAAACGCGTTTTATTCGAAAGTTGGTATTTTTGACTTATGACACTATTTGAGCGGAGGTGCGATAAGATCTTTAGTATATATGTATATAACTAACTTGTTCATGAGGTGAGCGGGAGGGGGTTCCTGTTCAAATCTTCTCAACCAATAATCAGCATCCTTGTAACCCTCAACGAATAGTTGGAACGAACCCATCTGGAAATAACATTATAATTATTAATAAACATATTTATATGAGACAATTTTTAATTATTATAGTTAGATTAGGTATAATTGAATCTTTGCTTTTTTTAAATTAGATGTATTAATAAGAATATGTGACTGTGGAATTAAAAATATGTTCCACTACACTATTTTTTAGACAATAAGAGAAATAAATTATAAAATAATATTAATTCTCACCATATATGTGTATTAAGCAAGAACCGAATTCACATAAGTGAATTTATATTATTTTAATCATAAAATTATCAATATTTATAGGTTATTTTGAAAATTTATCTCATTTCGTTGGACCAGATGTACTATTTGAAAATAATGTTTATTTTGTTAATATACGGCTCTATTTAATATATCGTACCTCTATTTTCTAGTACTTTTAATATATCTCATATTAATCTAGTTTATATGTTTCTAGTTAATATGAATCTCAAACCTTCGGTGGTAGTCCCATTCTGTTGAACCTGAGAGTGGGGAACTGTTCTGTGATGGCACGTTTAAGACGAGATCTCTCTCTATCTATACGCAGGTAGTTGAATGTCTCTGACACTAATTTAACCACCTGAAAGACAGAATTTGATAGTATCAGTAAATAAACAATAAATAACTAGAAGTTGCTTGAATTCCTACTTTATCATTATAATATATGTATGTTTTCTCCTGGCATTTCATCTCACTGTCATGCCTCGTAAAATTGTTTAATATATCTTTGGAACCAAAATAGTTTAAAGGTTTTAATTCAAAATATTGAATTTGTAAAATATTTGTAATTATTAATATATAGCTTAAGTTTTGCCCTTGCAAAACTTTTTTATAGACCACAATTGACAAAAATATACCAAATTAAATAAAACATGAAAATTGTTTTATAAAAAAGCTAAGTTATTATATTACTGAACTTATTCATTCAGTACCAACTAAAAAAAACATTCTTGAAGATGACATTGACATCTAATATTTTTATAGTACAAAATAGTCTTTACCGAAAGTTTTTGACTATGACCCATATACATATGTACGTATTTTAAACAATTATTTGGCTTTCCGACATAGTATAATGATCGGTAAGAGTGAGTAATTGGTATGTATATAATCAGGGCTGCCACTTACCTTCGTTTTAGGAACGATTTGTAAACCGAGCTTGGTGTCGACTAAGCTCGCCCCGGCTTCAGAGAGGTAGCCCTGGTTTGGTATAAGACAGGATCGTCCAAAGCAACAAGGACAACAGAGCTTGTGCATCCATTTGGTCCATTTGGGATTCAATCTTCCATATGGTTCTTCGTCCTTTGGTTTGAAAACACCGATGATTTTCTGTAATAATACACATAAAATAATCTATATACGTATATAAAAGAAAGTTGTGTTAGTCACACTATTTATAACCCAAGAATGGCTGTAGGGATATGATTGAAAATTGGTGAGATGATAACTTAGAACCAGGAGACGTACATAGGACATTTAATTCTGTTTTATCGAAAAAAAAACTTCATAAATTCCAATAACTGGTTATTTATGGCCCCTAGGGCGGAATATCAGTTACACATGTATTACTAATTCCGAAATTAACGCGGGCGAAGTCGCGGGCAAAAACTAGTAGTATTTAAATTAGAAACAAACAATGATTTGACACAAGAAGTATTTGATCTTGCGACTGGGACATCGCGTTCCACTCGCCTTACCAATTAAGATATTGTGCTTCAAAGTACTTTAATTGCTCTCGTGACAGCAAACAAGTTAAAAAGACTGTTGTAGGTATCTCAATAGACTCGATGACTTATTACAATTATTATTTAAAAATTGAATATTATAAATAAGAAAGCCTACCACTATAGTTTAAACTACACTACTACTATACTCTACTATAGTATAAACTATAAAATACTATAAATAATCATCTGCGCAATTAGTGCGCTATCTATAAATAGGCACACAACTGGACTATATAAATTGAACAAATTATAACGAAATAGAGCATCATTTTTGAATGTACATAAGTGTTTTCAATAATATCTCGTAATTGACTTCTTAATCATTCAGTAAAAACCCAATAAAATCCATTCAGCAATTCTGATGATTATAAAGACTGGATCGCAAAAAAGTCTCATACCAAGTAAACAAAGATAGATAAAAAAATCATTGATTAATTGCATACAAACATACATACTAGAAGAAATGTATCAGTTAAAAATTCATTTACAGAATTCCAAAATATATATATATACGAAGTTAAGAATTTATTTATTGTTTCCTTTACACCAAATGAGGAGACGAGATTTCGTGTCACCCTCAACCCCGCAATGGATTTTATATATGCTCCATAGATATCAACCTGTTACATTATCAATTCACTGATGCGAATCGGATCACAGATTGTATTTCATCGAAGGAGCAAAGAGATAATTATTATAACAATATATGTGTATTATCCTCTACAAATAGACATTTAATTACTTTAAGTGATTTTCTATTATGTGTTAAGTATCTAATTAATATAGATCAAATAGTCTATGTTTTTTTCTTATTGAGACTCAACTAATGTTTGTAATTACATATTTATCACAAACAATGACACGAGATTTTCATAATTTTGGAGTGATCTAATTCAATATATTTTTCGGATCAAAAGATATATTTTTTTTCCAAAACTTTTCTGTTGAATGTCAAAATTTTTGACAGTTATTCCAAGTTTTACATTTATAGCGTCTATCAACTGACAGCTGTCAAGCATATTTTATTTTCATTACACGTCAAAGCGAGTAATTTCATGATTACTTCTGAATTAGCGTAACTACAGCTGCGTGCAAAAGTATTAGGCACCCCTATTGTTAGTCACTATCTCATTATATTGCGGTCAAGTGTGTGTTTTATGGTTTAGCTATTGTATTAGCGGCAATTTTTAACCAAATTAAGATAAAAGAAAATATTTATGACATCCAGGTGTGCTCCTAAGCGGTGTTTCTTCGAATTTGCTTTTTTGCGTTTCGGGTTATAGTGTGTTATCAGTGCTTGCAGTGAACATACACGTCTTCTACGCAACTATTCCTATCACAATTCTAAAGACTAACATTTAACGTGTTAATCATGCCGAAAAAATCTGAACTTAGTGCTGAACAGCGTCTAAGAATTAAGATTTTACATGAACAAGGCATGTCTCAGGTTAAAATAGCCCGAGAAGTGAAGTGCTCGCGATGTGCAGTTCAATATGCTATAAATCGCTTCAAAGAGACTGGCACCCATGAAAATAGACCAAAAACAGGCAGAAGAAAAGTTACTACTGAACGGGAAGATCGATTGTTGATTAGGCAGTCTCTACAAAACAGGAAAAAAACTGCTTTAGAGCTCGCTGCAGCATTATCTGAGGCAAAAGGCAGCTCAGTGAGTGTTTATACGGTGAGAAGAAGACTTCTTAAAGCTGGATTAAAAGGATGTAAAGCAAGGAAGAAGCCGTGGCTGTCAGAACACAATAAGAAAAATCGGTTGGAGTGGGCACTCAAACATAGAGATTGGTCAGTGGAAGATTGGTCCAACATACTGCGGTCAGACGAATCTAATTTTGAGGTATTGTTATTTATTTTATGTACAATATTAAAACACATAAATGTTTTTAAAATAACGTCCTGCAAGAAAAATAATAACTTTGAAAATAAATGTGTTTTTTTCGTTTGGCATAGGTGTTTAGAACACCCGGTGTGACTTATGTTAGGCGAAGGGTTGGCGAAGAATACAACCCAGAATGTGTGGTTCCCACTGTTAAGCATGGTGGAGGCTCAATAATGATCTGGGGCTGCATGGCTGCCGACGGAGTGGGCGAAATGGTGTTGTGTGAGGGACGAATGAATAGCGTTAAATACACTGAAGTTCTGGAAACAGCACTAGCAACGTCGATAACGCAAATTTTCGGTGATACAAACACCGATGGCCTGAAATTTCAGCAAGACAACGCCACTTGCCACAAGTCCGCGCATACCATGAAGTGGTTTACTGAAAATCATATTGATCTTTTGGACTGGCCACCACAATCACCAGACCTCAACCCGATTGAGCATATTTGGTCCATTTTAAAGAAAAATATCCGCAGGCACTCGATTAGCAATAAACAAGCTCTATTGGCCGCGTTACAGCAGGAATGGAAAAATATATCAAGAGAAGAATGTTTCAGGCTGGTAGAGTCAATGCCAAAAAGAGTGGCTGCGGTTATTAAGTCAAAAGGTGGACCTACAAAATATTAATTATTTTCTTAAAATAAACCATTGTAATCATAAATGTAGTTTTATTTACACTCGCTATGCTAAAACACCCTAAAACTTGTCTTACTGTAGGGTGCCTAATACTTTTGCCCGTGGCTGTAATACAAATTTTATAACATATTAATAACGTAATTTCGATATCTACAATACATTCATTTCTCTTACGGATTAGATAAGAAAAGTCAATGGACGTATAACCCAAACAAATATTACTATAATAGTTATAATTTTTAAATAATTCTTGTGTGGTCTGATAATTTTCACAAAAAACACATTATGTGCCGATATAAAAACATGATAAAAAACCAAGTTATTTTGGGAAAAGTTTAAGTACATAATCTGAGGGTAAAAATGTGTTTTTTTCTTTGTTCGGAAAAAGCTTACATTTCATCAAATTAAATGTAAATAATTAACTACAATATACATATAAGAATAAATTGAAACAAAATACATTTAAAATTATTTTAAATACTTTTATAATGTATCATTCAAGAATTTTTCTAATATTTTAATGTATTAAAGTGAAAATAATCGCAATGCTATGGACGTCTTGTAAATAACAATATGTACGAGTCACTTGCATGGATATCACAATATATTATTTTTATTACAATTTATTACATTATTTCGTACTTACTTATATAAAAAATGAAATTACTTCATTATTTTAAACGGTTATGTAATCGAAAGTAATTATATTTTTTTTGGAATCTAAATAAACTAGTTTTTAAGTTATTTACCATTTTAATATCAAATTATGACTTTTTTATTTCATATTAAACAAAAATGTTTTTTAGTTATGAATGAAATTGATTTGAGTCTGTATGCATATACCAATGATGTTTAGGTATCTTGAAAATTTAGGCTCAAGCAACATGACTAAAATCTAAACTAAATTATATGTTTAATTTCATTGATATCATAATAATAATAATTTATGTGTCAGCCTTAACATTCAAATGTTTGTATGAAATGTTGTGTTATTTACACACTTACATTTATTACCATTATGTTTTTTCGTTACTAAGCATTTTTGTGTACAAGAGACGAAACTTTTTATTTAATGGATTCACCGTAAGGGTTTTGGGTCTATCGTTGCAGAGAGAGGAGTTTCAATAGTACTTGCGACCCAGGTGTAGGTTTAAGAGGCCAACCAAGGTCCTCTCTACCTAACCAAATTTGAAAAGAACCTACTAATACTGCCTTCGAAGTACGTTCCAAGAGTATAGAATAATAAAAAGTGTAAAATGAACCATTCAAGTTAACAACGCGATCGACAAAAGTTACAATACATAATAAAAACCGTAAAAAATTTAACACAATTTTAAGAGACGTTTCTTTTCTTCTAACATAATAAATTGTTTGAACAAATAAGATCCGAACAAAATTCAAACCTTTGTATACCAAACAATAATTACGATTTAACCATAGAATTTAATGTATGAGTTTAAACGTCGAAACTGTCAGTAAAGGTGACTTACGAAACGAACTAGTAATAAGTTATCAATTAAAAGTAAATAACAATTGTTGTATTTATGGTAAACTAGCGTTCCGCCCGCAGCTTCGCCCGCGTGGAGTTCTGATATATCGCGTTTCTAAGAGAACCTTTCAAAAGTCTGAGATAAAAACTATCCTATGTTCTTTCTCAAGGCCAACTCTATCTCTGTACCAAATTTCATTAACATTTTTATTAAATTTTTTTCATTAAAGTTCAGTGGTTTAGGCGTGAAAGCGTAACAGTTAGACAGACAGAGTTACTTTCGCATTTATAATATTAGTAGGGATCTATTTATGACAAATAATTTATCTTTTATATATTTAGTGACACCAGAGTTCAAGGTTCAAAAGATTTCTGATATCAGTTACGATGGTTTGAATTGTGTAATAAGAATCAGTGACATTTTTATTTCGTAATAAGTATATCTATATAATAAATATAGGAAGTGTGATAATTAACATATATGTATTAATATATTCTTAGGTTTCATAGAAATACAAGTTTTTATGAGAAATTATATTTTCACCTCATAATAATAATCTACAGTCAGTTGTGGCCTAGTGGTCAAAAGGACCGCCTCTCATGATTGAGGGCGCGGGTTCGATCCTGGCCCTGGCAAGTACCAATGTGATTTTTCCGAGTAATATGTACTTTCTAAGAGTATTTAGACATCACTGATTAATGCATTCCCAAAGAGGGTTGATGTCAGGCAGGCGGCCGGTAGTAAAAACAATAAGTCAAAACTATTCACAACATGTAAGGCAGACCCTGGCAAATTCAAAGGTAGCAGAAGAATAATAATCTCAAAAGTCGAAAATTTTATAGTTTCAATATCTAAACTTCATTTTTATCATTCGTAAAGACGAATCTAAAATTAAATATAAGCAGCAAAGAACTTTTCGATTCAAAAATAATAAAAATTATTTACATACAATTAACTAAAAAGTTATTGAATTTTTTATATAAAAATAAGGGCTTTTATAAAAGCCCCATATGTAAAGGTTGAAGACCAATAACAAGATATAATTCCAAAAAATATAAAAACTTTTTTCTTGACAGTGACATAAAATAACACACACATCAAATATATTGTGTTTATGTGTGTGTGTGTGTGTGTGTGTGTGTGTTGTATATAAATGTACCGCAGAATGTCCTCGAGGCATACGATAGGTTTACCTTACATTACAATCTCGTATACTGAGTATGAAACTGCAATGTCAAGTTACCGACATAATAATGAAATCGTAATTTTTTTAAGAGTACATATTAAAAAAAACATAAATAATGTCTATGGTTAACTCTGTTGCATTTCAAACGTTGAACAGTAAATAATAAATTAGATCCCTATTGTTTATCAATTTAAAAAAAATCTTAGTTTTTTCCCCCTATATTTTTCTATAATTACACTTCTAGTGGTTAAAGGCCCGACTCTCGTGCATGAGGACGAAGGTTCGATCCTAGCAAGTACCAATGTGATTTTTCCGAGTCATATGTACTTTCTAATAATATTAAGACATCACTGACAGAAGTTGAAGGAAAACATCGTGAGGAAACTTGGACTATAATTTCACAATTATAAGTTTGAACTTTGAAAACGCCAACACGTCTTGAGCAAGCGTGGTGATTAATGCTCAAACCTTCTCCATGTGAGAAGAGGTCTTTGCTCAGCAGTGGGTTCTGATAGGCTGATGACGATAATTTATATTTACATATATTTTACTTACGCCGCCAGGATTTTTGACGAAGTATGATCCACTGGAACCTTGATATATCCTTTCGGGAAAGATGCCATTGTCGATAGCGACCTCCGCCTGCCACACCAACTCACTAAACTGAGGGTCATCTGGATTGATCAACAAAAAACATAGCTATAGTAAGGATATTATTATATGAGCATTAAAAACCTTCGTACTAATTTATTGATTTATTCATGTACGAAAAGTATAAGTAATTATGTGGATTGAGAAAAAAATTAGAGCCAAAATTCCTATATTCGAACATACGAATTAAAAATCTTTGTATTAATGTATTTACGTAAAGGAGGATATAATTATTACAGTATTATAAAAGAAATGACACATAAGAATAACTTATCTAATAAAAAATATCTCTACTAGAAACACTTTTGCTAGATTACCTATTTTAATTATTATGGACAATAAATGATTATTGAAAATTAATAATTAATTTTCAGGTAGTGAGAATTGTTTTTGAGATGTAATAGCCTATACATAAATAAGATGTTATATTGGCTTCTAAACTGGTTAGTCAACCAGTGAAGCGCACACTACGAAAAGGCATAATATATATATGTATATGCATGATAGATTTTAAATCTTTATTATATTATAGACAAGTATTGAATTTGTGATTAAGAGAATATTAACATACAAATCACATTTTCGAATGATTGATCACTTTTTCTTTCTAATATAATTATTTTTTTAAATGTTGTAATATTATTAAGATTTTTTTTATTGCTAACAATCTTCAAATACGGTACCATATCACTTATGTTTTCTGGATATACCACTTTCTGTGTGTGTCATTGTCATTTACTATAAAGTGAGTACTAGATGCTATTTGTAAAATTAAACACATGCTACAATTAGGTAATTAGGTGACAATTAGATATATCTTAATAATAAGTTATAACAAATCGTATTAATTATACGCTTAAATGAAACTAATATTTTCGGAATAACTACGCGATTGTTTATTTTAGATTATAAACTACATACTCCCGACGTTTCGGCTACTTAACAGCAACCGTGATCACGGGCAGACGAGATATGACTCTTAAGTAGTAAATCCGAAAATATTAGTTTCATTTAAATGAGTACTCGCGAAAATCTTAGAGCTCAATAATTATACGCTGTTAATTAAATGGTATATCTGAAAATAGTTTTCAAACAAATCACAAATACAAAAAGTGAACTAAATAAATATAGTGTGATGTTTTTTTTTTAAAGATTTTCATAATAAGTGAATGCTTATACAATATGTTACATAATATAGTTTATGTTTGTATTAGTTTTCATTATCTTGACCTTGGAGATGAGTTCCTCTCACGTAACGAAAGAATCGAAATACGATATCATAGTTTTATTGATTTCTAACAAAATTTGTATTAAAACACATATTATGTTACGGATTTTTGGATTTCATAGATATATTGATAGTTTTGCTTCAATTAAATTGACTTTACGTAAATTTTATTACAATAGTGACGACTTTTTATTATGAAAAATCTTGTTTCGTTGGAGGTTATTGAATGAGAAACGGGAAATTCTTAGTATGGATTTTGACGCAAACTCGTTCTAAGCATACTGTTGAAAAGAAAGGATATTTTTTTTTTGTTTTACATACACTGTTTAAAAAATCATTCATATTTAACTCAAAGAAAACTGCAAAATATTGTATTTTTTTCAATATATACATTTTAAATATGCATGGAAAACAAAAACTGTAGAGTTAATCGAGCGTAGTATATTTTTAAACGAAGTTAACGAAAGTCTTAGAATTATTGAAAAAAAAAAAAATACACTACAGTTTACAATTACTATTATTTTAAAAATAAAAGTGGCAAATTTAATAATAACATGATTAAATTGAAGACATAAATCAAGTAAAACATCCTATTCAATTTTCTTAGTTAATCAAAATGTTGTTAAATACTAACATAATGCTCCAATACTAACAAAATTATTTTTAAAATAACCGTAAAAAACACACAACCCGTTTATAATGAGAATTTAAATTCAATAACACAAAAAAGCATTTACATTCATTAGGAAATTTCCAAAAAATCTCAATTCGACCTTCAGATTCCACCAAATTTTACGACCCAAGGGTACATTATTGACATAGCCGTCTTACCTATTACGAAGGCATAGTTTTCTTTAAAACCAATAATATTTTTTACACTTAGCATAAAAATATTATTTCTATATAAAAACTGAATATTTTTGTGTATATATTTTAAAAATATAACTGAAATATGCATATCGTCATTAGCTTACAACACCGCTTAAGTAATTTTTACCAACTTTACAGGAAACGAAAAAAAATGTCTAATCTCAACTATCTGTATTTTTTTTCTATTGCTACTTAATACATACACTAGTTAGTGAAGAATCAATTATTTTTACTTATTTTGACGATTTCGGTTCATCCATTGCATTAAAATATAAAAACCGCCAATTTACGACTTGAGCGGTGTTGTCAGCCAAGGGATGATATCAAATGTTAATAAAATAATGATGTATTGTTCATCCAATAATAAAATTGCAATACAATACTTGCAACACTCGCGTAAATTTCATAAACATTAACAATGATGGCTATTGAGAAATTATTTTGAATAAGATTTGGTTAAAGAGTGACTGTTAAAAGTCTTATCCTGTTGTTGCAACATTAATTCTAAAGAATTTTTGTAAAAGAACCTTGTGTTGAAAATGTATAGAAAATGTTAAGCGTGTTTTGCACATCTTATCGCACGTGTAGATCAGGCTTTAACACTTCCTTGTTATGTATAACCTACTTTAAAAAAAATACAAACATTTTTACCACTAGCTTACCAATTAGCTTAAACATTATTCCTATTTTTTTTATAATATTATAACATAATATTTACAAAGTGTTTGATTTAAAAGCTATATACTTTTGAATATTATTAAATTGATAACACAAGTATATTCATAATGAAAATGTCAGAAATATGATGTCTTGTCATTACTCATTATAATAATTATAAATTCACCATTATTTGTCCAACATATAAAAACATTGACATTGGCAAAATATTCCATGATTCCAGTGCAAATGAAGCCTTAGCATTAAAAACACAATTAATAATTATAATAATTAATAATTGGTTATTAATACTAAAACCTATATGGCATTGAGAGTGTGTGGGTGATGAATATATTTTATAAGCATTCAGAAACTGTTTTGGATCTATTTAGACTAAGAATAACTTGTTATAAAAAAAACTAATTAATACATTTTACTGTACAATAATTAAAATTAGAGTGGCTGTATGGTTTGTCAGTTGGACAATAATTTAAGGATAGTTTTACCATTATAAATAATAATATATTATTTTAATTACAATGTATAGAGTAACTATTGGTTAAAAGGAAATTTTGATGTTTATTAATTAAAAACAGAATTTTATTAGTAATATAGTAAGATATTTTTTTGACAAAAAATTTATATTTCTCCTTTATACTACAATCTTACATATTTCTAAGAAAATTGTATCTTAAAAATTACAAGCACAACATCATTTATGGAAACTTTTACTGTTAAATGGAAAATGAATACCATCTATAATAAATTCAATGGTGACTTCCTATGCAAAAATATAAATAAAAAAATAAGGAGATTTAGTTGTTTAAATTATTAAGTCAATTTTCTACTTCCCATACAAACGTTTTTTTTGAAAGATTTGCTATGAAAGCATTCTGAAAAACTTCTTGTAAGAAGAATAGAAAAAACTCATGACCAAACTAACGCGGACGAAGTATAGTTATATATATAATAAATAGGAGTTGTTAAAACGTTGAAATGTTAGACATGTTTATGTGCTATAAATATGGAAGTATGGAAATATGTTTATTAATCATTGAAAATTAATTTATTTTACATACTTATTAAGTATACAATATGAAAAATTCTAAGCAATACTATCAAATACAAATACCAAAACTCCAAAACTTGGTTTGTATATAAAGATATAATATATTTAATAAATTTATAAAAGATTCAGTGGTGGCCTAGTGGTTTAAAGGCCCGCTTCTCATGCATGAGGATGCAGGTTCGATCCTGGCAAGTACCAATGTGATTTTTCTAAGTCATATATACTCTCTAAGAGTATTTAGACATCACTGATTAATGCATTCCCAAAAAGGGCTGACGTCAGGCAGACAGCCGGTCGTAAAAACAATTAGACAAAACTATTCACAACATGTTAGGCAGAGCCTGGCTAAAGCTAGGAAAGTGCCAGGTAGAAGAAGAAGACGTAAATTTATAAAAAAGTGAAGATTTGGAATGGTTTTGTATGTTTGGACTTTGGAATTACTTGCATACCTCAAAATATAAAAATTAAAAAACAGATATTTAAAAATGTATTTAAGTTTTAAAAATATTTATTTTAATGATCAAGTTTTTTGAAAACAAATTCTAAGTATAGAAATAGTAAAATAATAAAAATTATTGTTTTTTATTATGACATATTAAAAATATTGCTTATATCAACTGATAAAAAGATTAAATGATATATATATCAATAGTATTACATATATTACAACACTATAGCATTATCTTACTATTCAGTCTAAACATATGGACAGTTAATTTGGTGCTAAAAATATAACAAAAAGAATTTTAATTAAATGTATATATATAAGAAATGATTAAAGAAAATTGAAACTTACTACATGAGAATGGAAACCACAAAGTCATATTCACTTGAATTATAGTTAGTTACAATATGGACACATCACTGAAAATTCATGTGAAAAATTTATCTGTTGCTAAATTCACTACGGTTGTTTACAGGAAAAGTACTTTCTCATCAATTTAGAATCTGAAGTTTGTTCAAGTTTAAAGTAACACAAAACAGACAATGCACGCTAGTAATGCTAAAATACAGTCCAAGGTAAGCATTAATTGTATCATAATCAGCGTAATATTACGATATATTTTACGTTGTTTTTGGAAGCCGTACAAAGAACGAAGTCTAACAAGTGATGCACAGATAATATTGTCTATATCGATAAACATATTTCATGAAAACATTATACAGATGAGACGTGTTATGTATGTATTTACCTGGGAAATGATTGAATGATACTTCTAAGTCGCCGCGGCCGCCGAGCAGCGGCTGCGACTCACGGTTCACGCCTGGAGAATCCACGTTTCCTTCGAACCCGACCTCTGGCACTAAACAAATGTCCTCAGCACTGCTAGAGAGCGACACCACACCGTCATCGGGAGGCGTAATCTCGTGCGTGCTGGGTTTGTCGAAATCTAGATTCAACAGAGTCTCTTCCGTACTCATGAGTATAGTTAAAAAGGTGGTCTCTACCGAGCCTCATCTATTTGAAATTGTTATATTCTTTGTTTTACAACCATTAACACAAACACTTCTACTCATTTAGATAGACAGTGCCTATAGATTATAAGCAGAAGATTATTGACAGCAATGACATCTCAATGTAGCATAGATATTATTATTTTTTGTCGGAAGTGTATCTTGTCTTTACCATTTTCTTTAAATGATAATTGTAAGTATTCTCAATAAAACATATTTATTAACTTGTTAAATATTTTTATTTACATGTATTTTATATTATCTTTTTTAATGTTTTTATTAATTATAGTATTTTGGATCGCTGTAGTCAATTTCTACGGCTGAGTCGGATCGTCTTGATTTAAATTCCCATGGACAAATCTCATTCAGAATAACGTTAAATTCTGCAATATTTTTGAGAAAGGTTTAGATTTGTATCTATCAATCATTTTATTTTAAATTATTACTTTTTCCATGTTCAAATCTGAAACAGATAATCAAGAACAATAATAACAAACCTGTATCGAATCGGCAGTTGTGTTTCTTCACGTCACAATTATTTTTAAATGTTACAACATTGCCTGTATTATAATTGCAGGCACAGACAGCAGTTTCGGAAATTTCATCAATACATGATATTAAAGAGCATTCATAAGCCTTTACAGATTCCGGATTTATTTCTGGGGTATTTGAATATGGCGAAGGCGTAATTACTCCAAAACTATTTTGTTCATATGATACGGGATCTGAGTCTGTACTCAAGAGGAGTGCTTTATTTAATTGAATCGCTTTATTATTTGAAATGTATTCAGGCCTGAATACAAGGGTAATGATCCGTAACCACAACACGGAGTCCGCGTTAAAAACGTACAACTAACTTGTTTTTGGACCTCTAAAAGTACAAACACTGAAAAAAATACAACACGAGATTTTGAATAAATATAAACTATTAATTTATTGTAATTACTGTAACGCTGTATTATGACTTACCATTGAATAAATATTTAAAATTCTCCCTAATGTCCATTTTTATATTTTTATTTTATGTGTACCTAGAAAGTTACCGATGGTAGAAAGTAATGAGTTAACACACACATCTTTTATACATCCCAACTACAATAAGCTACGGATAAAAAGCATTGCACATTAATTTCAAACGCCGACTTAATTTGAGTGATTTATAACGGTAATGAAAACATAGCAATAAAAAAACAACTCTTTTCATTTCATTGTAAAATATTTAATATTCGATTAATGTACATATGAATCATATTTTAATTTAAATAAATACTCAGCGCGCTACATAGAAATAACTACTCTATTTTATAGTGCCTAACAAAATAATGCTAATTTATTGCTTTTCAACGTCAAAATATTCTTCAATTCCGTCGGAATCCGCGTAACCTTCATAATCTTTATTAAGATTTCCTACATCAGAGAAACCAGTTTTTCCATATAAACCTTTAGCACGGTTGTGTTTGAAGTACCCTTTGCCAATTTCAGCTCCTATACCACTCTTAAAGCCGAAACCTTTTGCACCCACTTTCTTTATAACACCGCTAGTTTCATCTTCGTTGTAAAACTCTTTATCCTTCTGATACTCATCCTTGTGTGAAATTCTGTGACATCCTTTTGTTTTAAAGCCCTTTTTATATTTTTTTTCTTCGTTACCAGTTACACCAAGACCTTTGGCCGTTATGCCCTCTGCTAAGGCGTAAATAGCTCCATCGTCGTAGGAACCAACATCTTTTAAACCAGCCTCTTTCAAAAATTTCTTTAAATCTTCGATATCATAATCAATTTTTACACCTAGGTTTTTTGATTTCTTTTTTCTAAATCCTGAAGCGTTAATTTTTGTTTTTGGCTTACTTTTTGTTTCGTCGTCTGTTTTAAAAAAATCTTCTAAACCGCCTTCATATTTCAAATCGGATATGTCAGTGTCAAGACTGTCAAACGCCAATGATCCGCGGTCGACCGGCGAAGATTTGACCCAATACAGAAATGTCAGCGAGAACACAAAAAATAATTTATTTTGCATTGTAATTTGTAGCCGTTTTTTTTTGTGTTACGCAATCAAAGTAGGTTACGACACTGACATACATGCGGATTCTTTAGTTTATATAGCTTTCGTTATAATTTGGTGGACAAGGATAAGTTTTTCATTACCGATCCTTACTTCTTGTTCCGCGCTGTTGAATTTTAATCGATATAACTAATCGAATCACTGACATGGATCATTCAAGGTTTTAAGTACCGAAAGTGAAAATGTAATAGATATACAAATTAAGTCTTTTATTTCTGTATTTTGTAGACATTTTTCTTAACTTTCTTAACTTTATTGATAAAATCGAAACGATGATTAAATAAACTCGTCATTCTTTCATTCTATTAAAAAAAATCGATTACTTATTATAATCAGGTTTTGACATATTAATTAACGTACTGTTGTGGTCATGACACAATATACTTAGTATATAAATATTGTAATAATAGGGTGATAACTTGATTAGGGATACATTTATAGGGTTGCAATTATAGAATAGGCATTTTGATTTTTAATTTTTTAATAGGCAGGTTTGAATTTTTTAATCAATTACATGTTTATATGAAAAATAATTTTAATATTTTAATTAAAAAACATAATACATATACATAGGTAGAGATTTTAAAAAACTAAGTCACTTCCTACGAAGACCATTGTTCATAATGTTTTCAGTCAGTTTTCTTTCACGATCTAACCTATAACAATATGTATATGAGACTACAATCTACATTGTCTAGTGAGAAAAAAGCGTTGCATATGCTATTCAAACAATGATTAAGACATAACGAGTCATATATGAGTCTAAGAATATAAAAAATACGTTACTTAGAATATAATTTGTAATAGAATAATTTAAATTTAATGAGCTCTAAGACTTTCGTGAGTATCCATTTAAATGTAACTAATATTTTTCGGATGCACTACGCGATTTTTTATTTTTATCAAAAACTACATACTCCAAACGTTTCAGTTAGAACACAGCAAAGTCTGTGATAATAAAAACATTTTTTTTAAATATCTTAACAAAATTTACAACGATCGGTATGACTTTGAAAATATCATACTCTATTTTAATAACAAATAATAGCTATAAAGGAAATTATTACATCAACACTTCAAAATGACATCTTTTATATTGAAGAAAAATAATAGAATAATTGTTATGGAAAATATTTCGAGAATGTTCTCGCAGTTCCGCCCACATATTTACGTAATGTAATAAATATTGTAATAAAATGAAATGTCTTATGCTTTTAAAGATTTGTTTTGGTATATAATTTACATTCCTTTGACTTATTTCTTTGACTTATTTTTCAAAACCTATTTAGTATCGCTTTTATCTATACCTATAGAAACTAAAACCTGTATTTCTCAATATCCAGAAATGTGGGGTATTTTCGCTTATGGAACTAGTGGAGTAAAAAACGGGAGAAATTATTTCATCTTTGAAATTAGCGTTGAAAACGGTTCAAAACACGAAAAATATGTGTTTTATACTGTTGTTTCAGATCTAAAAAACAGTCCGCGAAGTATAAGTCTATCTTTTAGGTGAACTATATCCGTTTTTATGGTACTAATTTATCGAAAGGTATTTGTTTAAGTTGTATCAACATAATAATATAATCTTTAATCATATAAACAAACAAATATGTTATTGTTATAATCATTGTGAATTAAAAAAATACATAGATTATCCTAAAATTCTTTCTTATACTATTACGCGGACGAAGCCGCGGCAAAATACATTTAAAAAATACATAGATCAATAATAGTTTCTTATTAATATAATTTAATTGAAAATATTTTAGGCTTTAGACTTGATATTTGGCTAAGACTTGAAAAAGTTAAAATCGAAGATCGAAAGATGGCATTCACGTCTTAAAATTGACAGAATGGCGTACAGAATGCCCGTTTCCCGAACTAACCCGTTCCGCCCGACGAGTTTGGTTATATATACATACTTTTCAAAACTAAAAAATGTCCTATTTGTTGTTTCTATGTATTATTTAATATTGCACAGATAAAATTTCAGTGGTTTAGGCGTGAAAGTGTAACAGACAGACAGAGTTACTTTTACATTTAAAATATTAGTTTTTTCGTAACATTCTGATTTTCACTTTTACCATTTAATGTGCATTTGTTTAGCTAATAATAATCTAATTCTTGTGTTTAATTAAAATTATTATTTTTTTGAAATAAAACTCTCTACTTGTGAACTAGTAACGAAAGTAAGTATATTTATCTAATTATTATTAATAAAGGTACCTTGATGATGTCACAATAGAATGATGAAGGTCATCTGTAAATTGATTTAGTGATGCTAAAAATATATCCAAATGGTCTCTAAAAACTTAGACAGCATTTTACAAAACAAATTGCAGGAAATAGAGAGAATAGTATGATGTAATTCATGTAATTCTTTAAACAAATTTACCTACTTTAAATGTTTATAGGTAATTCGCTTTGGATCGTGCATTCAAAATATACAAAATTATAAAAAAAAGTAAATCAATTATGTTCAAAACATATTTATTTATTGACTCTACAAAAATATTTACATCATCACCGTGTATCAAACATAACAAAATTATTAATTAGTTGAATAAATTACATTTAATTAATTAATTTTATCAATCATTCGTAGTGGTCGTCTTCTTTGTCACTGTCATTGAAGCCGTACTCCTTTTCGTAATGGCTGCCTGCTTTCTTACCGTAATCTTCGCCATGTTTGTAATGACTGTCTTGACCGTCTTCCTTGGAATGGCTAGAATCAGCTTCATCAACGTAATCCTTGGATTTGAAGCCAGCTTTTCCGAAACCTCCCTTGTTGTAACCTGAATCCCCGTTTCCACCTTCTTTATGAGCACCGCCTTCTGAACCATGATGGGCTGAATTGTAACCATGTTTCTTGAAGCTTCCACTGTCATCAGCTACGTCATAGAAGTCATGGTCTTTCTTGAACTCGTCCTTGTTGAATACTTTGTGATATCCAGTTATTTCTTCGCCTTTACTGAAGTGTTTTTTGTGTCCGTGGTCCCCGCCTTTGTAGCTTTCGCCAGCCTGGTGATGCTTTCCATGTGCGTCGGCCTCATCATGATGAGCTTTATGGCCACCTTCAGATTCATGGAAGGATCCTTCTTTGTGTTGTTTACCGTAATGTCCAGCTACTCCCTTTTCGTGGTGTCCTTTGGAGTGATGCCCTTTGCTTCCTTTTTCGCCGTTAGCTGAATGATGTTCGACATTGTAATCATTACCAGCCCCGCTCTCATGACCGTCGTCGTGACCGAGGTATTCATCATCACCTTCATCAGAATCTTCTAAAGTTGAATCATCTTCTTCAGCATCTTCGATTACTATTGGTTTAGCGGCTACATACGGCAGTGGCAGCGGTGCGATGTCGTATGCTTTTACAGGTAAGGGTGCGAAGGCTTGAGGTTGTTGGTATCCGTGTGAGCCTACTTCTATGACATGAGCTGGCCGTTACTGTCACTACGATAAACATAGCTCGTCGCAGCTGGTAAGTAACCAACCTGGACTGCTGCCACACCAGCTACCACACACAAAACAACGATTGCTGTTCTCATGATGAGATGTTTGCTTCACAAGTGGCTGTGCTGTAATAATTTCATATCCCCGTTGCCCAATATTTATATCTAGGTTAGAACTAATGATAGGACCGTGAGTGCTCTAATAGAACCTTTCTAGTAGCCATGTAACAGTTTGTCTCACGAGGTTATAGGTGACAAAGAAATCGATAATGAAAAAAATTTGGTTATTGTGCAATATTTTCAGACAAATCACCGCAAGCAAACTAGCGTGAAGTTTTGTTTTCTTTGTTAATGAACCTATGATTGTATAATTTAATTTGCGTCTATATTGTAAAATTTATGAATTTAATTATTTATTTTTACAATTAACAAATAAGTTTACTTAAATATTACTATATTGTATTATTAATGAGATCTAAGATTTTCGTGAGTTTTACTCATTTCAATAAAACGAATATAAAAATATTAGTTTCATTTAAATTGTATTATTATTTTAAATCATATGTACAATTGGGCTCAAAATGTAATGTATTTTATATATTTAAATCACTTTATACCGTGCTGGAATTAGGATCTTGAAAACTATTTCCTAATATCAATAATATTATTCTGAAATATAATTTCAAGCTTTTTTTGTAAATACTACCGTATTTTAATTATTTGCCAGACAGTTTTTAATATTGTTAAAGTTTTCTTTATAATATTATTAAAGTAGAATTAATTGTATCATTTATTCTTCTTGACTGAAGACATATGTGTGTGATAAAAATTTGATTGGTTTATTTTCAGACTTCTCTGGAGAGACTTCTGCTTAAGAGAAATATTATATACAAAAGTGATTATTGTACCTAATCAATTTTCTTGCTTTTGGAAAAATTATTTCCGACTTTTTAAAATTTTACTTCAAGCGTTGATAGGCTTTTGCATTGTCACTGATCTAAAAACCTGTGTAGACTCGCATAAGGATACTTTTGTTCATGGATGAGATATCTCATTAAAAATAATATACCTACATATTCCTTGTTGAAAAGTCGGGCCTGGAGGATAAAGGGACGCCTTTAATAAAAGATGGCGCAGGTTCGATCCATATTTACTTTATAAGAGTATTTAGACATCATTTATAGGCGGCGAAGGAAAATATTGTTAGGAAACTTAAACTTGTTATTTATATTGTAAGTTTAAAATCGTCAATCCGCCTTTTAGCAAGCGTCACCACGCTTGCTAATCACCATTAATGCTCTTCCCTTCTTCATGTGAAAAGAGGCATTTGCTCAGTAGTGGGCATCGAATGTTGAATCATGAATGATGACATATTTCTTTTAGTAAAAATATATTTTACATTACGATTTTTTATTACGATTTTAAAAGTTTTAACTACTTTTATTATTTTATTTTTTTTGGAAAAAATATCCTAATCAAATATTTTAAAACTAAAATAAAAATCAATTTGTATTATGAAAAAACTATTAAGTTGATCAGAATCTACAAAAGATATTATAGTAAAAAAAGCGGAATTTTATTTTTACATTAATATATGTAATTTGGGTTTTTTATATCAAGTCATTTCTAGAATTATAATTTTATTTGATTGACTTAATGGATTTTCTATAATATGCTCTGCTATCTATGTCTCTGTTATACACGTATAAGTAATGTTGTATAAAAAAATCTTCTACTTAAAATACATAATATCGTTATTTGTTAAGAGATATAAATTTAATTTTGTTTTCACAATTAGACATTGCGACGTTTTGACTTTGTGTTCCTGGTAAAAAAAGGATATTTATTTATAAAGCTGGTGAATTAAACGCATTTATGTATGTAGTTAATTATTCTTTAATTAATATCAGTAATCTACCAACTGACATGTCACAGTTAGAAAAAAAATGTTTAATTGTATTCAATATGATTTATTATACAAGAATTATCTATAAAAACTTTATAGGATTTTTGGTTTTAAAGAATAATACTTACTAGGTTTATTAATCGTCCTATCAGATTGTTTATTCAAAAAATAAGATAAGTAGTGCAAGTGGCGAGCTCGTAACTAAAATATTGTAATTACTGAAGATTTTTTTCCTATAGAGAACTTAAAAAATATTTTAGAACCAAAAATTCAACACCAAACTATTCAGAAAATTATCAATAAGAAATAAATTAGTTTTGATTTAAAATGTAAATAATAATAACAATAGAATAGTATTAATTATAACTTATGAGATATAAAATCTATATAACTTATAAATATATTTTTAATTTGATAATATATTTACTTTAGAAGAATTTTTAAAGTAATTACAAAGAAAATGAGGTTCTAAGAAATCATTTTTCATTTATCGAAGACTTGTTATATCGTAGAGAAGAAATTTATTAGATCAAATAAAATAGCTGAAAGGAAAACATTGTGAAGCCAAAATAAAATCAAATTATTTGAAAACATATTTTTATCTAAATTTATTTAAATATTTACAAAATTTAACAAAATTATAACTAAAATAATTAACAGATCTCGATTAATGATTGATTTTGAAGCCGTAGCCGTTGCCGTAAGTTTTTCCGCCATCAGATTTGTAGTATTCTTGTTTTTTATCACCTTGTTCTTCAGCTGAATCTTTGGCTCCGTGGATTTCTTCATGAGCTTTTCCCGAGTCACCACTTTCGTGGGAATCATCATGTTTATGTCCTGCGTCATCTCCATAATACTTGCTGCCTCCGTATTTATAGAATGCGAATTTGACTCCATCGTCATTGTCATATAATTTTCTACCTTTTTGGTCACCTTCGTATGCTTTTTGAAATCGGATATTACCTTCATTATGAGCATCTGATTTCTCTTCTTTATTTAATTTATCATCTTCGTTATTGTATTTGTTATTTTCATCACTTTCTTTCTCCCCATTTCCTTTGTGTGAATGGGTATAGCTTGAATATTTTTCATTATGATAATCACCACTGCCGCTGTCTCCATAATGTTTTTTATAATTGTCGTATAGTTTTTTATTGTCCTTATTACCTCCATATCCATAGTAATCATTGAAATCGTGAGGATAATGGTCATGTCCATCGTGATCATCAAACTTAACACCGTATTTCTCAAAGATCTTTTTAAAATCATCGTCATGTAATCCATCAACTTTTTCATCAGATTCTTCCGATACTGGTATAATACGATCCTCTTTCGAACCATCTTTAATGTTGGCGCTATTTTTATCAGCTATTTTGGGTTGTTTATAATATTTTGATAACTGTTCCATAACTTCGCTTTCCCCCATTTTAATGACGCTTTCTTCGCCATCGTTTTTCTTTTTATATATGTATCCTGTGGCCGCCGGTTGAAGGTCAGATCCTGATGTACGAACCATCACCATTCTCTCAACAGTCTCCCTCATTTCCATACAGGAGCCATAAAGACTCACCGCTATTAAAACAGATATGCGCAACAGCATTTTATGCCGCCCAAAACAGAAATGATAAATGAAACCGAAACAAATCTTTATATAGCTATAAAAAGTACCAAATAATTCAGCTCTATTATATTGTGCAATGCTCTTCTGTGTCAATGATAATGAAAAACTTAAATTAAACAGGCCGTTGGTATCGGAGTGGAATGAGACACGTCGTTCTAATGAGAGTTTTCAATTATGAAGGACGAATGTATAAATCAGAATTTAATGTAACAGTTCGATTTCTAATCAATCTAGGCTATAGACTAGTCTAAAATGTATATTGTAGTCTAAAAGTATAGCTTTAAACGTGTTTTAAAAACCCTTTTTTTACGTATTTCCTGAAATCATTTAAAAAAAATCTTATATTTTTCTTGTGATTTTAAAATAATTAATGTCTTCTAATTTCATATATTTGAAATTATTCTGCAATTATATTGGTGAATGTTTCAAAAATATACTAATGTATTTCATATATTTACAAAGGCATAAGTGATTATAATATTGCAAGTCATTTTTATAACGTCAGCCCTAATTGTTAAAAAAAACTTTAAATACTCACTGATTTATTGAAAAATTATCGGTATAACAAATAGAGTATAAATAAAATAACAAAAAATTATCCATCAAGTTTTTATTGCAGTGTTTAAATAATAACGAAAACCTTTGAGTGAATAAAATTGTGTCTCTTTATCGATTAATGCCGTATTCGTATGGATATAAATGCATTGAATTAGTTTTGAGTATTTACGAAAGATTTTTTAAACTTATCGTCAGCGATCTCGAAAGGCCGAATAATTTTCAGTTTTAGTATTGGACGTAATAGTTTTGCTTTTGACTTTATCTTCAGAGTAAGACGTCATTATATCAGTTTTGTCGTTTACATCAGTCAGGATTTCTTCGATGGTAATTTTTTCTTGATTTGGAGAAAAAAGGTCCTGTTTGAGCTACATTATCGTGATTCATAAGATAAAACAACGCGTAAGGCGCACCGTTACTTTCTTTAGTAGGGTCAGAACTATCACTTCTTCCTGGATACTTACCCTTCTGATGTTTAAAACTGTGGGAAGGAATATCTTTAATATTATATTTATAATTATTATTTGCATCATCTTTCTCGTTTTCTTTTCTCTGATGCATAACATTATTAGTTATAGCGTCTCTTTTCCTATTTTCCTTGTTCTTTGGTTTTTTATTTTCTAAAAATTTATGTGCTATTTCATTCAGCATATAATTCATATACTGGGCGTTGTGTTCGCTATTTATGTTCGCCTTGTGTAGAATTTTATTTTTGACACTCATGCCGTTAGGTTTTTGATAATAGTTCTGGTCAAAGAAGTGTTGACGATTGATAAATCTGTTCCATTTCTTTTGGGTGATCGTATGTACTGTGGGTACAGATTTAAATTGATTTCTTTCTTGGTTTTTAGATTTCTCTATAACGTTTCTATTTTCCAAATGTTGTTGGTTATTAGTTTGAATAACGCATCATTGACACGTTTTTTCTGGTCGTTTAGATCTGTCACTTTTTTCTGCTCAACTTTATGTGAGTCGACTTTCTTCATAGAGGGCTGAGTTTGATTTTTTTTATGTTGAATCTCAATTTTCTGATCTTTAAAGTTAATTTGACGCGGTGGTTCCGTATCTTTTCGTATGTTTTTCGTATCACTTTTCTCTATATTAGGTTTAGCTGCAAAAGACACAGGCGACGTTTTCGATATTTGGAAATGGGAATCCACAGCTCGTTCGTTGACTAACTTCATGTTCTTTTGATTATTATTACCAACGAGATATTTCTTATGTACCGGCTGTCTGTTTTTACCGTAAGCCCCGACACTTGTAGGCGATATAAAACCAACCATAGCGTTCTCGTCATATATATAATACATTAAAACCGGCGAGAAGCAATTCAATGAGAATACCACTGCGATCAACTGTAACCACATCTTCACAACGAATGTGGGAACGTATGTTCAGCACCAGTTTACATTGTTCTTATAAAATGCTATCCGCAGCTTTGTTGACAGAATCTCCGATATCAATAACATCAACATAAACTAATGACTCACAGATCTTTAAAATTATTTAACTATGAAATGGGTTTTATTTTTTTCTATATTATTGAATGAGAATACAAAAATTTTATACATATTATTATTACTAGTGAGAGACGTTTATCATACGCCATTTCACTTTTATAGACTATTACATTTAAAGGGAATTAAATTGATTGTAGTTAATTAGTACTATAAAATATATAAAGATTTTGTGAAAGATATAAAAAATAAAGTGTAACATTTTAAATATTTAATTTCAATAAATCTATCGCTTTCCAATTCTAAATAGGAAATTAATCAATAAAGGCGTTAATTTAATTAGAGAATTACAATTGCTATTGTAGACATTTTAACATAAAAAACCAGACAGGTCTAATAATCGTGTAATTCTGTGATTTCTCAATGCTCAGTACTCGATCCATATTTTTTTTTGTAATTCATAAATGAATGTTGCATTGCGAAATTATTTAGGGAATTGGAATCCTGATAGAAATTATCTTATTAAAAAATATAATTGTAAATTTAATTAAGGAACCCTGAAAATTTAAATAATGTTGTGATAACAGTAACCAAAATAAATTCAATTCATACGAACATATTATCATTTCGATCATTGTTTTGTTATGTGTATTGACAATAATTTAAAACATTTTCTTGTTTACGTTCTGTTCGACACAATGAGAGCTCACTAGTCTCTGATTAACGACAGCAGAATACGCAAGGATGAGAGTTCTTTTTGTCATTGGGATCAGCTTCCTCCAATTTGTTTTTATTTCCCAAGCAAATTATATCCCTAAGAGAAGCGAGGATAGTTTAAAGGGCTCTCAAGAAACTTTTAGCGAAGTTTCTAAAGAAAAATCTGAAGGATACAATGATTTTGTTGAATCAAAAAAGAATGTTAGTCGCGTATCTAGAGGAAACAAGGAACAAACAGGGAGAGTCAAAAACACAACGAAGGTTAATCCAATAACGAAGTCTAAAGCGACTCTAGTAAAGAAGCCCATTCCGAAGTTTGCAGAGAGCGATGAAGATTATCAAGCAAAAGCCAGGTTTCCAAACAAATTCACAGACTCCGTGGAACATGAAGATGAAGATTTTAATCTCGACGACTACGAGTTTGATGTGAATCACGACGAATTTTCAAGCGGCGGTAAACCTTTGGAACCACGAAAGAAAAATAAAATCGCTAAACCCAGAGTTCAGTTGGAACAGTCTCCAGCGAAACTGGAATCGAAATTAAAGTCCGAAACAAGCCAGAGAAAAGTGGTAATACCTCGTAACGTAGATAAGGTGAATTATAAACTCACGAGAAAATCGGTATACAAGTTGAAAGAAGAAGAGTATGATGATGAATTTTCCACAAGCACTAAAGAACCAACATCTACTAAATCTTCTACGACCGAGGATGATCAAAGCGAAGAAGGCGATGAAAGCAAGGAATATATGCAAAAGGGTTCAGCTAGAATAATCAGATCTCCACTGAGTTTCGGTACATACGTCAATAAATGGGGAGAGAAAACATCACATTTAATGAACAAAATATTAACCTACCTGCCACTATTCCCACAGGTTCACATGCCCAAGAAAATAGAAGAAAATGATATGGAGATGAACCCTATGGATGATCAGTGGAGTAGAAAAGTTAGTGTGTGAAACTTATAAATCCAACATGTATCAAAATAATATGTATTTGATTGGTCTGTCACCAATATAAGATGTATATTATAGTCAAATTGGTTTCGAGTACATGGGTTTAAAACATATTCTGTGGTTTTCTTAAATAATACTTTGTATAAATACATATATCGTCCATTTAGTGATATAAAATAAAGATATAGTATATATTTTTGTAACGACTTTAAAAACAGTTTTTATTTTAATTTTACCTTTTTCTTTAATATAAAAAATATCAATAAAATATTATGTAATAAAAATAGTAATGATGATCATAAAAAAAGATTACACACGGTATCAAAAGTTTTTTATTCAAATAACAAGTTGCATTGACAAAATTAATTCTTCATAGAAGTTTGTTTGAATTAATTATATCATATAGTTATCGATATAATCAGCGTTGTTGCTCAGTACCGCATCTCTTGCGACGTCTCTGTATTGTTTGAAGTCCGGTCCATTATTTTGTGGTTGTTCCGTTTTATAGCTTTTATTAGATCTTTTTCTGGTCTCACTTTCTTTTAATTCTGTACTAGTGTTATTACTGCCAGAAGCCCCTACTGCTTGAGCGTGTGCTACTTTCTCTACACCACCAACATTCACTTGCGAGTCACTGTTGTTATCTACACTAGCTTTTTCATTATTATTATCGTGGAACTCCGTCTCTTCTTGATATTCGTCTTTATGGTAGACTTTCCTAAAACCTTTCTTATTTTCACCTTTATCTATTATCTTATTACCGTTATAATTAATCTTATTGTTATGATTCTCTGATCCAAATCTAGTTGCAAAGTAATCCGCAAATTCCTTAAAACCAACATCATTATCTCCTTTAAAATTACGATACGACTGTCTATGTTGGCTTTGGTCGTCTTCTTGTTCAGAATCAACAAGAATTGTATCAGAATCTAAAAGATTATTGTTATTATTTCTTTCTTTTGTAGTATGTGAATATTTTTTCACTAGTTTATCATCGGAACCGTAAACATTTTTACGTCTCGGCACTTCATTAAAGGGATGGAAGTCTTTAGAATAATCACCTATATCAGGTAATGGCATCTCTTGATCAAATTCTTTGCCCCAACTTAAATCTTTGAATGTTAGGGGGTCGTAATCATTCGTTTTATCAAAATAATCATTCAATACATATGAGAAAAATGGCTGCTCTCCAAACATTGGATTGTCCGTTGTTAAAATCATCTTATTATAAACATCAGCTTGGTCGTATAGCCGATTATCGATAACATCGTCTTTTATATGTTCATGAACGGGGATTACTCTTTTATCTTCCTCTACCAAAAACCTTTTGTCCTTAGCTTTCTCAATTTCTCTGGTAAACTTCATTGGTTCATATTCATATGGTCTGCGGTAAAAGAAAGGCCAACCATCATAAGAAGTTCCTTGAATCAGTACGTACATCTTCGTGATCGTTGAGAAATTCATTGTCCTTCTCGTAGTTTAAAAGTGTATTACTTGTTTCCTTATCTTCAAACACAGCTTCTCGTTTAGGATTTCTTATAAGCATATCGTTGTTAATATTCTTAACAGCTTCGAATAGGGGTCTATTGCGCGTTTGATTGGCAAAATTGTTTGTATGAAAACTTTTCATAGCCGTCGCATCCCGAAGATCACTTGCTTTGTCTCCAAACTGTCTCTCACGCCCGCGTTTATTAGCAAAGGACAATATCATCGGCGGCTGGTTATTAACTTGTTTGTAAACATAACCACTTTTAATTGGATACGAATTAGGTTTCTTCTCGTGTGTCATATAAAAATGACGTACCCCCTGCATTTCTAGACTAGCACGACATATTACGCACAATAAAATGAAAGATCTTCTCATTTCTGTTGTGAGACGTTATTCCGCAAGCGATCATTTGTTTGTAATGGAAGTCATTGACCGTTTCATGTTTATATCAACTGTTTATTATTTCACTGTTAGAATGGTCATTGTTTTAAATGACAATAGCTTTTAAGACGCTAATTTATGAAATCTATATTGTATCGGGCCACTAGCCAGCGTTTATTACAAGTTGCGACAAAACATTGTTTGTATTGATTGTTGAGATCGTATTGTGGCTAATAAAAATACGTTTAATGTTTATTGATGATATGAATCATTGTGTGTAAAGATAGTGAGTTTAAAAAGAAATTATATGAAGCACAAGTGTTATATTTGAAAATGGGTAAATAAAAATAATGAAAATCCATTGATATGTAATCTTAATATATCCTAAAAATCATTCAATTGTTTTGTTCGATAATAAATTTTGGGCAGCATCATGTAAAGGTATGAAAAAATGATATATTTTTCACAAAGTAAATATTTTTCTTAGTATTTACAATTTCGAAGATTATAAGAACATGGATCCAAAGAGCTTACTACTCATACAATGATACTGTCACTTTTTTAGTATGGACAAATGATTTATACATAACTTTATTTTAAGCCTCTTAAGATGTATTTATTTTATATAAATATCTCATTAAATGCTTCCAATGAACCAAAAACTATTTTGCTTAACCAAAACATATTTTTCACAGTAAATATATAATTTTACAGGTTTTAAAGGATTGTAAGGTATTTTATAATAAATGAAACTATATATAAATTTTTGATCATTTATTTCATAAATAAAAAAATATTCGGGAAATACAAAAATATTTTGACATTGACCCAACAAACGTCAACAATTGTGTGTGTTGCCATTACAGATAATACTTGTATTATTTTTATTTTTCGAATGATATCAAACAAATATTTTATTTAAAACCGAGTTTTTTTTTCAGCGGGAATGTAAAAAAATATTAAATTATCAAATAATGCCTGAATATGGTAACATTAACGTCCATAGACTATTCTAGAACGCAGTAACAATATTATAATTGAATTTCATATTAATATCAAGTACTGTGAAATTATATTGGACGGTACGACAATGAAATTGCATACATTCATTGAACACTGTTTATTGCACTTTATAAAACATAGAAAAATATATGATTTACTTTGAATCCCATTTATATTTATTTTATTGGAAATCATTGTAAAAATATTTACCAAACATTCATTCATCTTAAACCTATTGAGATTAGACACGATTTAACTCAGATGGTTGACGGAAAATTTTGCTTCACAATTAGGTACTTATTTATTTATTACTATGATAAAAATTTTAAATTGAAAAATTCACATTTATGATAAATATATCGAGAATCGCATCTATTACTATATTTATCTAACAACTGACTCGCTAACAAAATTCACCTAGATTGAAAATATTGACAATTTTGTTAAAATGGGCCCGATTTTCATAAAGAAACACTGTAAAATACAGATTAAAAATTCGAAGGCAGTTTTTGAACTTGGTTTGATCAAACAATTTATAATTTTTTTTTATTTTAAAGCACACACTTTAAGACTTAATCCACATATACAGCCGATCACATTAAATCTTTGATATTGCAAAGAATTTACGAAAATATACCATTGCTAAGTATAATTCGGTTTAAAATTGGCTGAAATGTACATAAAATATGTACTTAATCGTATATATCAACTGATGGATGAGAAAAAACCCTTAAGATAGTACAGTGTGCATATAGCCTAATAATTATTCTATTACTAGTTTAAAAAAAAAGAGGTTTTGCATCCGCTAGACTAGACACAAAGGCACGAGACTCACAACGAAAAATAAGTGAGCGATAATATTATATTATGCAATAATATTTGGTATATACTTAGTAGTAATGAGATTTCATTATAACAAAAGAAGATATATATATTTATATATATATTAAAATTAATATTAATTCTAAAAGTGAGCATAGTAATGTTTGTCTTTGGTACAAACAGAAAACTATAATTTTCAATATATTCTAAAAAGAATTTTGTTTGTAATAACTGGTCAATAATAACACATAAATTGTACGAACGAGAATCAATAAATCTAGAATAATTAATAATTGCAAAATAAACATTAAATTGAGTTAAGACAAATACAGAATCATGTCAACTTAAAATAATGTTATATAACTAAATAAATTTTGGTTCAGCAACCAATTATTAATTACAAATAACATGCATATTTTATAAGCAGTGTGGTTTATTAAAAATATTTCGTTTAAATTTTAACATAATTAATTTGTTTTACATGTAATTTTAACTAATATATTGGCTCTACAATGAAAAAATATATCAGACAATTTTAAGCATATGTGAAACAAAATAGAGTTAATAAGTTCTATAAATAAAATGAGGTAATTTCATACAAATTACTCATCTGTCGAAATAAAAATTAATCAAGAATTATTTTTTACGTACTTTACACTATCAATATAAAAATATATTGTGACATTAATGTTAAAAATGACTGATATCAACTTAATATTAGCAGATTTCGCATAGGAAAATTCCTAAATTAGTACACACTTTTTTCACTAGATGTCGCTGTAATTAAAAATAATTCGAAATCAAAATTTACTTCTATTGACACATGCATTGAAAATTTACAACATACAGCGACATCTTGCGGTCGAATCAGAAATCTAAACACTAAATAAAACAAATAATCCCATATTAATTAAAATCGGATGAAAACCTCTTTGCATTATACTACTTAGTCGTTTAGAAAAATATCTTTACCTACAATTAATTTAACATTAAGTAAATATAATATTTGAGAGCTCGTTTTTATATTAACGTATCGTTTGTAGGCACCTGTGCTTGCCTGGGGCCTGGAAATATATAACGATTATATAAACACATAGAGAAATACAATTTGAAACATACATTTATATGGATCCATTATACAGGTAATGCAGCTGAAAGCGCTAAACCGATTATGATGAAATAAAACACATTGTATATAATAGAATGTGGATAAGTACATTGAGTTATCTTTAACAAAAATAAGAATAACTTTTAATAATAGAAAACAAAACACATCATGGAACGCCATAGCATTTGTTACTTTTCGAAACAAAATGAATATTCTCAATGTATTTATGTTATTTACTGTGTGTATGCAACATTATTGAGTATTTAATATATTACTTATACATATTATAACAGTTTTTGTGTATGATTTGGTATACTTGTATCTTCTTCTATATGGCAATTTCCCAGCTATAGCTAGGGTCTGCCTTACATGTTGTGAATAGTTTTGGCTATTTGTTTTTACGACCGGCCGCCTGCCTGACATCAACCCTCTTTGGGAATGCAGTAATCAGTGATGTCTAAATACTCTTACAAAGTACATATGACTCGGAAAAATCACATTGGTACTTGCCAGGGCCAGGATCGAACTCGCGCCCTCGTGCATGACAGGCGGGCCTTTTAACCACTAGGCCACCATTGACTTACTTGCTTGTATGTGTGTTATTAACGTGTTAAGTGTGTGTTTGTGTGTGTGTGTGTGTGTGTGTGTGTGTGTGTGTGTGTGTGTGTGTGTGTGTGTGTAGTATTCACCTGTGTGTGTGTGGGTAGTCATGGCGCCGCGCCCCCACAGCGGTCAGCGAGCGAGCCGTCCCAGGCCGCCTCCTTGTGTAAGGCCGCTTGACGCTTCTTCTCTGAAACATTATATAAAAAATATATCATATATGAGGTATACTTGAAATTTATGTTTATATAACACTAGCTTTCCGCCCGCAGCTTCGCCCGCTTGGAGTTTGCTTATATCGCGTTTCCATGAGAACCTTTCAAAAGTCTGGGATAGAAACTATCCTATGTTCTTTCTCAAGGTCAACTCCTCTGTACCAAACTTAATTAAAATCAGTTCAGTGGTTTGGGCGTGAAAGCGTAACAGGCATACAGACAGACAAAGTTACTTTCGCATTTATAATATTAGTACGGATTAAGTTGCTCGGGTTATTGCATTATTGAGTAGATATATATTTTTTATTTTAAGTTTACAATTAAATTTGTAATTGTTGTCTAATTTGAGTCCAGGCAAAGAAAAGGGGAAAATCATATTATTTTTAAGTTAAATTCCTATGAAAATTATTATTATTTTCTTATTAATACAGATTTAGTTACAATATCCTACTGCTACTAATAATCATCCCAATATTCCGTGTAATGTATTGTAACACACCATGATACTCGTGTTTGGTTAGTAGTTCCGTGACAGACGATAGATGCCATTAACGGTAGGTTAACATGTCACTTCTACCTGGCAATTTCCCAGCTATAGCCAGGGTCTGCTTTACATGTTGTGAATAGTTTTGGCTCATTGTTTTTACCGCCGCCTGCCTGACATCAACCCTCTTTGGGAATGCATTAATCAGTGATGTTTAAATACTCTTAGAAAGTACATATGACTAAGAAAAATCACATTGGTACTTGCCAGGATCGAACCCGCGCCCTCGTGTATGAGAGGTGGGCCTTTAACACTAGGCCACCACTAACATATCAACATGTCTATCATATATACAGGGTGACTGGTGAATTACTATCAATATTTAAGGAGCATACTCGGTACATGATTCTCATTTGAATTATGTAAAAAAAATAGGTACTTAATTTTTGACCAAATTTCCGTATAAATAAATAAAGTGTGTACACGTTCCAAGTGTTCCAAGTGTGAACGCGTGCGGCGGCGTGCTGATACAACAACACGCCGCCGCGCGCGTATGTGTGTGTGGGTGTATACCTAATCTGTAGGGTGTTCACACGATGCGTAATTAATTACATAACTTTTGGTTAACTTTACTTAGAAGTTTATTAATATTTATGTTATATTAATTTTTATTTTGTCATATATGATCGTCAAATATCACGTCCTCAAATATCGATAGTAATTCACCAGTCACCCTGTATATTAAATACTACTAATTTCTCTCTTTAAACAGTAATATTTGTATATAATCGATAATATTGTTGTATATATAGTTACCTCTAGCCAGTGTGATGAGTCTCCTCTCCTCGGCTCGTTCCTGCCTCGCTGTACTCAGTTTGACGCCGAGCGCGCCGGAGACTAGACGTCTGGCGAGCGCTGTGCATGTCTCTGGACGTTGGCTGATGAGAATAAAATACAATATAGAATATAATGATATAGCTTTATATTCTAAACTAAAAACAGATATCTTCTATGACGGTCTTGGTATAGCTTTATATTCAATGACATAGCCTTTTACTCTATAACATATATATCTGCTTTGAAAATTTTTTTATTATCAGTCGTAACAAACTCATCGACATGACAATATTTTTTTAGTGCTGAGTATTAAGTGGATATTGAGTACATGATATACATATATGATCATAATATTCTTTAATTAATATTGAATTAAAACAAAAGTACAATATGGTACTCTAATTGCATAAGTTATGTATTTGAAATTATACTAAAGATCACACAACTTAATTAATTCGATTGTAGATCCAGAAAAGTATTAACAAATTTTGTCTTATTTTTTTTTATATTAGTTCTCAAATAACAATAATACATTTTTGATAGTATCTATAATGTAAGAAGCTATACCATTTGTAGAAGCTTATATAAGTTAGTAGTGGATATTTCTTTAAAACATACTACAAAATACTCATAGTTAGAAAGAATTAGATGAAAACAATATTATTCAATACAAAAATCGTAGATTCTTTTATTATAGAATATTTGCCAAACAACTTATTAGTCTCTAACATCATCATCAGCCTATCAGAGCTCACTGCTGAACAAAGGCCTCTTCTCACATGGAGAAGGTTTGAGCATTAATCACTACGCTTGCTAAAGACAGGTTGGTGATATCAAACTAATAATTTGAAATAATAAGTCCATGTTTTCTCACGATGTTTTCCATCACCGTCTAAATACTATTATAAAGTACATAGAAAAATCACATTGATACTTGCCAGATTTCGAACCCGAACCCTCATGCACGAAAGGCGGGCCTTTAACCACTAGGCCATTACGTCTCATACATATTATCTATAAAAAACTATAAACCTCACCGATAAGGTTGCAGGAATTCCGCGCATTTTTTCGCCTTGTTCCTAGATTCGATAGTAGCGGCGTGCAAAGGGCGACACTTGACCAACGAACGCTGGATTGAAAGTACCTCTGCAGCTGAAATGATAACACGATCACAATTATATATCACAACTATTATATATAATTATATGAAAAATTCATATACACATTGAAATAAACTACGAAATTAAAAAGCAAATATAAATAGATATTTCTAAGGTTGCAAGGTTAAATTCTTCTATATATAATTCTTTAAATATTTCTTTATATACATGATATTTTAATAATATTATATATATGTAAGTTTTATAACGTGTATTTCTTCGTATGTTTCGCTTCATATTAAGTAGTGTATAAATTTCAATAGGGTTACCTTATAAAATATTATTAAAAATCGAATAACTGTAATGAGAGTTCGTTGTTGAAACTATCTATACTAATATTATAAAGCTGAAGAGTTTGTTTGTTTGTTTGAAAGCGCTAATCTCCGAAACTACTGGTTCGAATTGAATAATTCTTTTAGTGTTGGATAGTCCAGTTATCGAGGAAGGCTGTGGGCTATATAACATCACGCTACGACCAATAGGAGCAAAGATATAGTGGTAAATGTGTAAAAAACGGGAGAAAATATTTCATCTTTGAAGCCTTCCGTTGCGTGCGCCGTGAAAACGGTTCAAGATACACAAAAAATATGTATTAAAGAATAATAGCTTTTTTAATGATCTAAAAAACAGTCCGCGACAGTATATGTCTATCTTTTAAGATTAACTCACAAAAACCGTTTTTATGGTACCTAATTTGGTCGAAATAATTTGTTTAAGTTGTACCAACATAATAATATTAATCTTCAATCAAATAAATAAATAAATATATTGTTGGTTAAGAGTACTTCATTGTGAATAAAAAAAATAGGTTTTATCCTGAAAATTCTACGGGAACTCGACCATTCCGAAAACCCCGCAAGAACGGGAACTATGTGGGAAGAACCAAAAATCTGTCACTATTCCACGCGGACGGAGTCGCGGCAAAAGCTAGTTTTATATATTTCGAATAAATTATTGATTATAAGCCTTATATATAAGGGAAGGCTTATAATAAATAATTAAAAAAATATTTCTTATTCAATTTAGACGTAATAACATGTGTCATTAATTCTTAGTTTACACGAGAAAATTCTTTCTACCAAGTTCATCAATACCAGTACACAATTAAAATAAAAAATATGTATCAAAGGACAAATAATATGAGATGAAAAGTCAAATATTGAAAAATATATAATCAATAATCACAAGTTTATGACGGCACAATCATTAGCATTAATTAATATATATGTATATATTAAGATATTTAAAAACTAATAAAAGTCGTCGTTTTAAGACCCAGAGACTTTTGACACACATAATAATAATATATTATATAATTATTTATATAACATACTTATTGACTATAGTTGGTGAATAGAAAATACGATTCAAAGGATTCGATCTTTTTTGATAATCCCTACTAATATTATAAATGCGAAAGTAATTCTGTTTGTCTGTCTGTTACGCTTTCACGCCTAAACCACTGAACTGATTTTAATGAAATTTGGTACAGAGACAGAGTTGACGTTAAGAAAGAACATAGGATAATTTTTATCCCAGACTTTTGAGAGGTTCTCTTAGAAACGCGATATAACCGAACACCACGCGGGCGAAGCTGCGGGCGGAAAAGTAGTTTTCAATTATAATTTTTAGAAGTACCACGAATGATAATTTTGATACTTTCTTTATAAGAATACGTTGTAGGACAAACATAACTTGAATTAAGGTTTGGTCGGACAGAGAAATTGCTCGATCATTTGTTCTTTTAAAGAATTTTCAATATAACTTGAGAGTTAATTTAAAGCATAGTTTTATATATATTTATATCAATGAATAAAGACCGGTTTAAGTCACAATCTTCAAATGAAAATTTATCTGTACATCCAAACTACCCCTAATTCTGTTAGTTACACCTCTTAGATTTAAATTTAAGGGTACAAACTGTTACTAAGGTGTAATTATAATCGCCAAGGGATTAATTTTATTTTTAATAATTTTTTTCATGTAATAAATATCGAATACAAACATTACTAATTGTTTACGTGAGTAATGTAAGTATACTTCGCCTCTTAGTAAACGCTACTGTCTACTCAGGGGGAAAGTAATTAATGGAATATATTAAAATATATGGACATAATTTTATTTAATTAAAACTCATATACTTATAACATAAGTAGGGTTCTGTACGAATACAAAAACCATAATACATAGTAACAACTTAAATATAAAAACCAATGACTATAAGCTATCAGTATGCAGTGTGGTTATGCAAACTCGGTAATTTTATTACTAGTAATTAAAATATAAGTTTAAGTTATTTCTTATCTTTCATTTGGTTTTCCTTTTATATTGATTCCCGTCTCCAAAAGTTTTATTCCACTATTACTAAATCGATCCTAGGACTCTATTATAACATAATTTTTCGTGTTAATTTAAATACATATATGTCGAGAAATAAGTGAATATTTAAAAACCTACTCAACAATGTAAAGGGGAATACATTAATTTAACTTGAACCAAATACAACATAGTATACTATTTTATAGCATAGAAAGAAAATTGATCGATATGAACCATTGACATAATAGCTCAGTTAGTAAAGCGTATAAAAACCAATATTTCAAAAGTCGCAGGTACAAATCATGATCTTCATAAAAAATTATGTTTATATTAAGTATCACAAATCATGGATTCAAGTAATTAGCTATGTTTTTTCTCATTCATTTCTTCAGGCATAAGGCATAAAGAATATCTTTGCGTTGTAATAATTGCAACATATTTTAATCTTTGTGAAATCACTAAGTACTGATAAATCACATTACACAGACGAAACTGGAGTGCGTGTGTGTGTGTGAGTGTATGTATGCGTGTGTATGCGTATGTATTGGCTTCACGTATATGTACTTGAAGTCAAGTGTAAGAAATGTGAATGTATGAGTTGGGCATGTGTATGTGTGTGTGTGTGTTTGCGTCATGTATTTGTGTATGTGTGTGTGTTCCAGTTACTCAATCAAGCGGATGAAAATTATTCAGATGAACGCATAGCAAGTAAATAGTTGAAAAGAAAACAATTGGATTATATATCATGGAATTATTAACATTGTATATCAATAAATATGGATATTACATTGTTTTGTTAATTTTTAATAGTAATATTATATTTTAAACTAGTTTTTGCCCGCGACTTCGTCCGCGTTAGTTTGGTCAAGAGTAATATATGTAGGTGTAGCTGACCAGTCGAACTCTATTCCGTCTTACAGGCCATAAATAATCAGGTTTTTCCTGTTTCAATCAAACAGAATTGACATATTTGTTAGTTGTCAAATCTAATGTCAAAAAAAACTTTTGTATGGGAAATAGAAAAGGGCTGTTTTTATGGTTTTCCCAGTAATGAATCAATTTTTCTCACCTTTTAAACCTTCCCTGGACTTCCAGGAGTATTTCAAGACTAAAATTAGCCAAATCCGTTCAGCCGTTCTCGAGTTTTAGCGAGACTAAGGAACAGCAATCCATTTTTATATATATAGTATTTTAAATTATATTTTCAATGCTTGGCGTTTTATTCCTTTTAAATATCGCAGACGGGGGTTAAGTTGAGGAAAGAAACTAGCATATACAACCAATATATATTAATTGTAATAAAAAATACTTTTGTAGTAAGCTATTAGAAAATGAATCAACTCTATTGAGAATATAAGTAATGTGACATATTGTTAAATCTTAAAGAAAAAAAATACTGAAAAATTTAATATTTCCCACAAAAACAAAAATTATGGATAGAATACTTTAAAATGAATCTCAATATAAAAAGGACCTAGCACGATACAATGTATAAAACCAATCAATGTACATATTTCAGTTGTTTACGTAATTTTTACGTCAAACGTTCATTATAATTAGTAACGTTAATCGAAAACGTAAAACGGCTACCGTCTCTCGTAAACGTAATATTTTACCGATATATACAATATATATTGTTTTATAAGGGCGTAATAATATTTCTATTATTATTAACAAACAATACACAACAACAGAAATATTTCGAGGTATCCTAATTTCATACAAAATTTTGGCAATATCCCAGAAAAGCAGCTAAAAATGAAGATTATTTTCAAAACTATTCATTTTACTCCATATACCAATACTATACGTATAATGTATGCCAAACTGCCCGTGATCACGTTTGTTGAAAAGTAGCCGAAACGTCGGGAGTATGTAGTTTATAATCAAAAATAAAGACGCGAAGTATATAATCCGAAAAATATTAGTTTCATTTAAATGAAATAAAACCCGCAAAAATCTTAGATCTCATTATACCAATCTAACTGTATAGTCTACACAGTGAACAAAAAATGAGTCTATATAAGTCTAGACCAACAAATAAATCGCAACCAACGTTCGTTGGTTGACGCGTTACGTCACAGCGGTCATTGACCTCACAGACCAAGTAGGTTGTATCAGCTATGTACGAAATATCGTTTGTTTAATTCTGTCAAGGTTAAAATGTCATATAATTCAATGAAGAATATCAATTTGAATGTATATATATTTGTGTGTGTGTGAGTGTGTGTGTTTCAATGGAAAAATCTCTGTCACCTGCATTCCATTGATACATGGTGTGCAGTTTCCCAAGAGTTACGTCACAGTAATAAGCTTCCTGTACACGAAACTATGTTGCCAACTCCGATCGAAGATAACTCCTTAACAGATTGATTACGAAACACAACCGCTAGGTGGCGTAACACCAGAACTAATAAGTCTATGGCGATTGAGACAAACAAATATGTATGAAACGAGATAAAAATGTACTGAAATGATAATTTTATGGTCTTTTTCTCATTAATTGAGTGAGTGGGTGAATTGAGTTATATAATAATATGAAGATAGTAAGTAAAGGGTAAGAACAATAAACAATAGATACATAAAATTTCAACATATAATACCTTCTTCTACCTAGCAATTTCCCAGATTTAGCCAGGGTCTGCCTTACATGTTGTAAATAGTTTTGGCTAATTATTTTTACGACCGGCCGCATGCCTAACATCAACCCTCTTTGGGAATGCATTAATCAGTGATGTCTAAATACTCTTAGAAAGTACATATGACTCGAAAAAATCACATTGGTACTTGCCAGAGCCAGGATCGAACCCGCGCCCTCGTGCATGGGAGACGGGCCTTTTAACCAACATATAAAATAAATATATATATTATATAAATCAAGCCTGATATAATATCATTTTCATCATGTTCTGTTCATAACTGCTATATGTACATGATAACTTATACTATAAAATTCTCGTGTCGCGGTGTTAGACAAAGAACTCCTCCGAAACGGCTGGACAGATTTTTATGAAATTTTGTGAGCGTATTAGAGTAGGTCTGAGAATCTGCTAACACCTATTTTTCATACCCTAAGTCATAAGGGTTTTTCGCCCTTAATTTTTTTTCGAATGATTTTTATAGCATTAATAATACATACAACCCAATTTTTTCAATTTTTTTATCACCCCTATTTTTTATATGGCAAAATAACATTTGCCTGGTCATCTAGTTACCTACCTATATTTTATTATAATTCCATACATCTAGACTCTTGAATTCTAGTAATCGCTACTAGTATCAACTGATATATCTGTGTTGTGTAAACTGCCATTGTTGCGTACATTTCCGTGTGTTCGATCGTCTTTGAGATATATCGCGGATGTTTGATACATTCTTCCTTGTATTCGGATATGTTACATGAGATTTATCGCTACATAACATTGAATATGAGGTTTGATAGTGAATTTATTATGAACAAATAATGACGGCATTTTCTTTTTTAATATAGCATACTAAGATTAAATGTATAGATAAATGAAATTGGATGTTTGTGTAGTGTTAAAATAACGCTTAGAATTTTTAACATGTTCATGAAATATTGAGATAGTACGTATAGTATTAAAATTTTAAAGCTACACCTTTAATTACCATTAGTAATTATATGAAAAAAAGTAGTAACAGTATATTGTATCTAATATAAATACGTATAGATTTGTAATACTTAAAGCTGTCTGTCAGTCTGTTTGTTCATTTTAATCTCTGAAACGGCTACACCGATTTTGACGGAGCTCTATGTAGTTGGCCGATAGCTTATGTATTAAGGAGTAAATTTGGCTACTGTTATTTTCGTTTTTATAAAAAATAAGCGGAAAAAATTGTTAATACAGCTATGTAAATAAATGTCATGGAAATAAGGCATAATAACTAATCACACGAGATTGATCGTCAGACTGCATACTACGCGTTTTTAGTATTAACTTTGTTAACATAACTTTATAGTATCCTGGGCGAAGAAAAAACGAAATATTGGAAAAGATTAGTAAGCACGTAGTTCACCGTTGCTTAGTGGTAAGGGCATAGTTGTATTTTGTGTATTGTTACATAAAGCTGTGTGTATAAGAACAATAGTTATTTTACATATTCTAAAACAAAGACACAGATTTTCGTTATTATAATCTTAATTTCAAACTCGAAAAATTATCTCGTCGCAATAATTATTTGTCAGTTGTAAGTGTAACTTGAGTCTTTCAGGACCATGGATTTAAATTTAACTGTGTAAAAAAAATCGATAAAAAATATCACCAAATCTATATATTAAAATGTCAAAAAAATTCATATGAAATTTAAACACCAGTCCCTCAAAATTCACGTATACACACATTTTCAATAAAAAATAATTTCGCAAACAAAAATAATTAATAAATGTTTGTTGACAATATTAATAAGTTACATAATATTTATATATTTTCATATTCAATATACATTACGTAGACACGAAGAAGTACTGGTATCGAAGACATAAAACACTTCCTAATATAGCAAAGCAACATCGTTCAGACACTCTTAACCCACTTTCAAAGCTTTTGCAATTCGTGCATCAATTATTATGTTATATGGAATAATAAATTTCATTTGCTTGACATCTTTGAAAAAAAGACATAGAATTATATATTTTTTTCGTTGACTTTTTCTGTTTTTGTTCACAACATTCTGTCAATATTCCGTATAATAATAATTAAATTAAATAAAAGCTAATAATAATTTCTTACGAATATTAGAATATGTAAATAGAATATTTATTAGGTGTTCATATATGTGACAAGAATTTTGTTATTTGGTCTTACTGTGATTGCCCCCAACGTTATCGCGAGCGTTTCTATGAGAGCCATAATACGATTTTCCTCATATGGATGTTTTGTTATGACCACAACACATCAGATATTTTTCCGCCCACTGAGCGTTTTCGATCTATTGCATACGTATATACAGGGTGACTGGTGAATTACTATCAATATTTAAGAAGAATACTCGGTACATGATTCTCATTCGAATTATGTAAAAAAAATAGGTACTTAATTTTTGACCAAATTTCCGTATAAATAAAGTGTGGATACGTTCCAAGTGTTCCAAGTGTGGACGCGTGCGGCGGCGTGCTGATACAACACTACGCCGCCGCGCGCGAGTGTGTGTGTGTGTGTGTGTATACCTAATCTGTAGGGTGTTCACACGATGCGTAATTAATTACATAACTTTTGGTTAACTTTACTTAGAAGTTTATTAATATTTATGTTATATTAATTTTTGTTTTGTCATATATGATCGTCAAATATCACTTCCTCAAGTATCGATAGTAATTCACCAGTCACCCTGTATATGTTGAAAATTTCAAGCTCCTTATTATTTTCTATACTTATTATTATTAATATATAGAAGACCCTACTAATTACTATTATCGTAAAACGTAGTATTTTTTGTACTAAAACTTACAAATCTCATCATTTAATGAACTAACAAGACCTTGTTCTGTAATGTCAAAATATAGTTTGTTTTTAAAACTATAGATCACGGATTAAAATTCTTCTTATTACCAAGTAATAAAGCTCAAGTTACAGAAATATTAAAATACGTACTTTAGAAATATGAGTTCTTCGTAAAGGTTATTTTAAATGTGTGCTGTCTCAACTACTGATAGTTATCTAAAATGTGCTAAGCAAAATTATATTAAATATTGTTTATAATAAAATCAATTGTAATTTTTTTAAGTTTAATTATTTTCTAAATTATTTCTTTCATAAGAATCTTCTCCTTATTATAAACAAAACTATAAAAAAAAAAATTGTGAAATCGATCAAGTAGTTCACGCGCGATGGCGTGACTGATGGAAATATCAATTCATATATACCTATACAGTATATATATATATAATGTAAAAAGTATATATTAAATGGCAAATAAAACATAAAATAATTTATTGGAATACATCTACATTTTAAATATGACATGAATAAATGAGATAAAGACATTGATTTTGTGTATTAGATAATTTTGCTACTACATTATAACATATACAAAGCCGCGGACAAAAGCCTAGTCAACTGTCAATCATATGCAAATAGGGTAAAATATTATATACAACGGAAAAAAGAGGTCTCTATATGTATAAATTGTGTACACGAAAAAAATATAGTTTCTATATCACTGAGCGTAAATCGTCGATGTCAGGGTACATACCCCATAATAACATCTTAAAAATAGACGTATTATAACAATGATCGGTCTAATGGACAAATAACTAGACGTAACAAGCAATAATACCTTCATTTTCTAGTCTAGAATCTAGACTAGACTCGTGACCGTACTAATTCGTGACTCTAAGTCTAAGTCTCATTTTTACTTTACATTTCGTTGTTAGAAGCTTTTTGTTTTTTACTAGTACTATAAAATTCTTTGATATAATTTAACGCAATAATTATTAATGTTCACTATAAAAAATATATAAATTATAAACAGAATTAATACAAAAATTTAAATTTAATTGAAATCTAATCAATGTATCGTTAATCAACCAAAGTACGATCGGTTTGAAATCTACGCTTAATACAAGTTCACATCGATACACTACATACGATATTTCACGTTTCTCGTTCAATACCTACGTCAATACTGTACAAATTGAGAGGAACTACTAATAAAAAACTGTTATTGTTCCGTATTAGTGACGATGCAAACTTGTCTTAAGGATAACATAAAAAATATTAAAAACTTACCAATTTTGGCGCTGCTGAACACAATAAGCGCGTGCGTGTCGTCAACCCATTTAATTTCAAAACCAGTATCTTTGTATTCACTGAACAATGACAGGAAATCGTTCGTTTTAAACTCACTCGGGAAATCGTACACTTCAACCACATGACCGAAAGTTTCGTCGTAAGGTCCATTAAATAACGCTTGACCTTTAGTTTGGTACTGGTCGTAATTATTCTTAGTCTTGCTTATATGGACTTTGCCCACTGTGGATGTTAGTTCTTCGAGTAATGAAGGGTCAAGGCATTCACCGCTCTCATCAAAAACAGCATCCCAATCATTTTCCTCTCGTTTCAAAGAAACTTTAGCTTCCAATTTAGGTTTACATTTCTTTTTTTCTGGTTCTTTACTCTCTAAAACTTCTACATCACTCTGACTATTCTTCTTTGGACTAGCATCTTCTTCTATCGGATCAGATATAACTAGGACATCAGAATCGAAACTCTGCTTTATAATTCTCTTACTGCTTCTATTAATCTCTTGCGATGCTCTTTTCAACTCTTTCTCCTCAACATCTTCGTCTTTGCTGTATATATATTCATTATTTATAACATTATGCTGATTATCTTGTACCGCCATATTCACTTCGTCTGAATCATTTGATCTCCAACTATCCTCGTAATTGGTCGTACCGTAGTCGTACAATCCAGGTTTATACAGACCTAACTGACCGTTAGTAAAATAATCTCCGATATAAAAACTGCTATCATCTGTATAGTTATATATATTATCACTTAAATGTATTGCACTATCACTAATTGGCACTGAAGGCACGGATTTAGTATCGTTGGTCGCTTGGCTTGTGTTTTGAGATCTTTGATTCCTTAGATGAGGTGGTGTATAGACGTTACAGAATTGTTTATCTTGAGATCTTTTCGGTGTAGCCTGGCCAGATTTTTCTGCTGGTGATTTTGGGCACTTTGCATCAATATTCTTCTTATCTTTGTCTTCTGTGTTCTCGTTGGACCTCAACGCTCTAGGTACGTACACAGCCCTGTCTGGTCGACGCGGTTTAGTTGATCCGGATCTGGGACAAAGAGAATCCAATCACAAACAACCCACTTAAAACTTACCTAACGCTTGTGCAATCGAAACACAATTTTCATCACTACGATACAATATTTATTTACAAAAAATGAGCCTTTCAGAATGGATTTAAAATAACATACATAAACACTCAAGAAAATGTTACTTAACTACATATGTTGAAGAACTTTGTACATAAACAAAATAAAGCAAGTTTGAAAATGTTTCGTATGCGCAATTTGTTTAGTTGCCATTCTTACTACGAGTACGCAAAAAACTAAACAGAGACATTTACTAGTATTTAATTCATATAACTACGTTGTTAGTATTACTATACAAACATGTAACTTTGCATAAAAAAACATAGACAAAAAGCATAAATTAGTGCTAATGTATCAGTAATATAATAAAAAATCATATTAATTAAAGTTCATTGGGTCATCAGCGTAATAACGATTAGATGGTTGGCTACTAACGATTACAAAACAGTTATCTGATAGTTGCAGCATCGTTACGGCGAGCGGCTATCGTTAAACGCTACGTAAGGGGGGCAAGGTCACATTATACCTCTCACCGGCACATGTTTTGATTTGGACATCGCTCAAACATGATTCAAAACACGTTTAGTTTATCATACATACATATTGAAACAAAAATTTTAATATTTTTACAAAAACAAACATCTCGTCTGTCCGTAATCGCGGTTGCTGTAAAGTAACCGATACGTCGTGAGTATGTAGTTTATAATAAAAAAATAAAAATCGCGTAGTACATACGAAAAATATAATTTCATTTAAACATTCATCCTATCTAGGAATGGTAGGGATTTAGACAAAAATATATACAAATGTACATATGTTAATTTTGTTACAATATGTATGTATAATTGATAATTAACACGCATCTGGTCAAAAACAAAAATATAGGTGGAAAAATTGCAGCCCAGAACTAGAAAACCGTATTTACTTATATATTATTATAACATTCATTCCCTTATCGATTTGCGACTAAATATAATCGATATTATTGAATATCGATTATTCATTGTACATAGAATAAATGGAAATTTTTAATATATTATATACAACAAAAATAACTTTAATTTTTCTATATGTGTATACAAATTTAATTACCTTTGTTCAGAAATTTGATTGTTCAACTATCTGAAAAACTTTTATTTATAATACTATTTTATAAGAATCTTAAATTAAGCACAAAACTTCATAACTACCTTCATTTCATACTCTATAATTCAGTTAAAATAATATCTAACTTGTTATCAGTCACGGCAATTTCTGTTATCAGATAAAACGCAAATTAAATGTAAAACAAAGAACATTTTTCACGAACACTACAATTCTAATCGAACAATTATTCTAAGCAAAGGTCAATTATTACGCAATGAGGAATTACCATACTCAATTTTATTGTAAATAAGGTAAAACAAATCGAGTATATAAAAACGAATATTGTAATATTTCTATTCAACTCACTGTTTATCGTTTATATTCAAGGTCGTCATACAATCACTTAGGTATATAAATCACAACACGTCCACACTGGGCGACTCACAAACGACAAATGAACGTCGAATAAGGAAACGATATAACACTTACCTGATCTTTTCCTGAGGCTGCGCCCGCGCCTTGCACTCGGCGTCTATTACATAAAATACATTTAATAAATGAATTCAATTATATATTATATGAATTACATTTAACACTACATTTTTATTATCGTTTGGGAAATATTTTTGTTTTCATTAGGTATAAATTATTTAAATGAAACTAAATAGTTTTCGGATTACTACACGAATTTTATTATTTTTAAAAACTACATACTCCCGACGTGATCACGGTTGCGAAAAGTAACCAAAACATCTGGAGTACGTAGTTTTTAAAATAATAAAATACGAGTATGTAATAATCCGAATAATATTAGTTTAATATGAATGAATACTCACGACAGTTATAGATTTCATTATTGAGTTAGATTTTAAGACATTTGGAGATGGCCTTAAAAGTACTATGAGAATAATATTTTTTGTATAGAATATAAAACAACTTGATCATTTAAATAACTTTAAATACAAAGTGTTTTTTTTTTCATTTACATATCAAGTTTACAACAAGTTTGCGTGGTCATACTACATACTGTGAGTTTACAGTTTATTATAAATCTTCATACATTAAATCGTGAACAGAATTCTATGAACTATAAATTCGCTTCATACGGATAGTCCGTATGAAGTACGAAAAAAAATGGAGAAAGAATTGCCTATTGGTGTATTAAAATAAGTTCTAATAGTATGTTTGAGTGTAAAAATGATATCTATTGACCTGTCGAATACGGTATCTCGTGATATGAATCCCTACTAATATTATAAATGCGAAAGTAACTCTGTCTGTCTGTGTGTTACGCTTTCACACCAAAACCACTGAACTGATTTTAATGAAATTTAGTACAGATATAGTTGACCTTGAGAAAGAACATAGGATAGTATTTATCCCAGACTTTTGAAAAGTTCTCTTGGAAACGCGATATAACCGAACACCACGCGGGCGAAGCTGCGGGCGGAAAGCTAGTACTAGATATAGATAAAGATTATCAAAATCAAATTTATAATAAATAATCTTAACCGATAAGTCTTGAGGATATCTCCAGACTTGGGGCTTAAGATTATGATGACGCGGTACGCAAGTAAGTATTGGTAGACACAATATGTCAGATTAATATTACGGGTTCAATTCTCGTCTACTTAAGTGTTTTATTGAAGTCGAGACAAATTCAAGACCATTTCTAAGGGCTTAATAAAAAAGTACTCTAAGAAAAATAACATATGATTCTAGTATATACAGGGTGACTGTTGAATTACTATCAATATTTAAGGAGCATACTCGGTACATGATTCTCATTCGAATTATGTAAAAAAAATAGGTACTTAATTTTTGACCAAATTTCCGTATAAATAAATAGTGTTGACACGTTCCAAGTGTTCCAAGTGTGGACGCGTGCGGCGGCGTGCTGATACAACACCACGCCGCCACGCGCGAGTGTGTGTGTGTGTGTGTATACCTAATCTGTAGGGTGTTAACACGATGCGTAATTAATTTCATAACTTTTGGTTAACTTTACTTAGAAGTTTATTAATATTTATGTTATATTAATTTTTATTTTGTCATATATGATCGTCAAATATCACGTCCTCAAGTATCGATAGTAATTCACCAGTCACCCTGTATAGTGCAGTAGACATTTAAGACTTCACCAAATTGGAAATGACGGCCTAAGCTTAGTTCATATGGTTTAAATATCTGTACCTCAAATTCACCTTATACCAATAAATTTACAATACAAATATCGTCGGAAATCGATCCACGTAACATTTCATACAATCCAAGCAACTCTATCTCCAAACATACATATAATCACATAATACGTAACAAAGGAGATAACTCAAGGTCAGAATTAAAATACAACATTCTGACTTCTGTTCTATTAGGAAATCTGAGCAAATATAAAAAAAAATTAGGCTCCAACCAGAAATCATTTAGTTTTCACAGTATGTAATAACATGTTTATACACAAAATTATTATTATTTTAATGTTAAGGCTTCACTCGTACTGGAATCGTAATTCGTGATATATGTAGTTTGGCAATGTCAACGTTTTTATTTATTGGACGAATTATAATCACTATGTAGTCTTATACCATTTGGTATTTGAAAAGTAGAAACATGTTTAAAATGTCATTGCATGTAAAATGCTTTCTAACGAAATTTGGACTAATTAAGAAAGAAAAATCCTACTGACCTAGTCTGAACTCATACCTTTTTTATACAGAGTAACCAATTAAATGGACAAGGAAATAAAAATTCATTAAATCTTTTTAAATCATTAAAACATTCTACGTGATCGATAATACTATGGAACTGATTTTATTTAAGCCAAAATAATCTACTCGATATCAGTTTTGTCCATTAAAATCTATTCAATATTACAACTTCTTCTATCACATCATCTCAACGTTACATACATCATCATTCGAACCCTTCAACATCATCAGTCAAATCCTCTCAACATCACAATCATCATCAGTCGAATCCCCCCTCAACATCATCATCATCAGTAAATTCCTCTCAACATCATCATCATCATCAGTAAAATCCTCTCAACATCACATCATCATCAGTCGAATCCTCTAAACATCACAATCATTACCAGTAAAATCCTCTCAACATCACAATCATCATCAGTAAAATCCTCTCAACATCATCATCATCAGTAAAATCCTCTCAACATCACAATCTTCCTGTAACCAATCCTCACAGTATTACCGTAATATGGTCCACACAGAGCGTTGCACGTCTACTCGTGCCACTTTCACTATCGTCGACCTACATAGCCAACACAGCCGGTCATTCTTGCGCCATACTATTATATCACTGACCGGCATTGTGAAGGACGAATTCAATGATTTATTTGGTCATATATGTCAACAACATATACATATTATACAATACAGAACAATATATACAATATACAATAATATAAATATAAAGCAATATTATATTTATTGAGTACTAGCTTTCCGCACGCAGCTTCGCCCGCTTGGAGTTCGGTTATATAGCGATTACAAGAGAACCTTTCAAAAGTCTGGGATAAAAACTATCCTATGTTCTTTCTCAAGGTCAACTCCATCTCTGTACCAAATTTCATTAAAATCAGTTCAGTGGTTTAGAAAGCATAACAGACAGACAGACAGAGTTACTTTCGCATTTATAATATTAGTAGGGATCTCCATATGTGATTGTTTTAAAATACATTTTTCAACCAACAATAAGTTTTTTCATACGCAACTCCTAACACATATAATTGATGCAAGCATTCAAAGATTGGTTCCTCAAACACGACCATACAAGACAATTCAATATTCATACAAAGAATATGTATATACAACAAAAATATTTCCCAGCACTCATAACAGTCTCACGAGTAAATGGCATTTGCGTAATACTATTATGTATAAAATTGGAGCGTTATAAAATTGGTATATGATATAACGTAATAACTACTCGTAAAAACTGCCATAACAAGTGGATGCATACGAAACAAATAATAATATGGAATCAAAAAGTTCAACGACTGTATTCGAACCCGCGACTCGCGGTAGGTAACAACCTAGACACTTTTACATTTAAACTATCGTGTCTCAATACAATTAGAAGTATGTAGCATCCATATTTAAATATTATTAAACAGTTATATTTCTTTACCCAAACAATATATCATATTATCAATTTAAAACGAAAATATGTTTAATACTTTTTGAATACAAATGTTCTTCTAAACTTTGTAAAGTGCTGCTTAATGTTTTAATGAAATTAATAAAAATCAGTTATTTCAGAATAAGCTTTTCTATTAACAAATAAACAACTTTAAAGTATATATGTAGATGACTTCGAAACTAATTTCAAGTCATATGTACATCTAATAACTTCTATTACTTGTAAAAAACCATATTTAATCAATCTTTTCCCATTTGGTACTTCTGAGTTAATTATCGGAATACTTTATACAAATAACCTATTCACTTCTATCTACAGATATTACTGTAAACATTAATTAAATCAATTATTATTATAGTTTAATTAATAATATAATTATAACTTACTGATCGGCTGTCCTCCATCGTTTCTCTCCTGTGTCAGGCCCATGTTAGGTCTTGCGCAAGCTTCATCACTGATAAAACAAAACATATAGATATATTATATATTTCGGGAATAAAATGAGTCTTTTATATATATACATACATATAATATTCTTGATATTATGCCCTGGTCATTCATATTGTAAACAAAATTAAATTGACACAATAATCTCTAATTATATAAATATATAACACAGTATATAATTTTTAACATTTCAAATGACACTACACTACTTCAAATGCTGTAATTTTTATATACATATATAATATACATGAATTACATAAAAATATATATAATTACCTTAATAGCTGTTCCCTGAAACAGACGACAGTCCGTCTTTCATTATTGGCACCGATGGAGAAGGTTGCTAGTTCAGGAAGAGCGAGTTCCTCGACACAACGATGGATCAGGAAACGACGGTAGTTACTTACAGGAGGAAATACTAACACACTGTGAGACAATGAGGTTAAATTTATTTAAAATAATGTAAGATATATTGTGAATATACAAAACTAAATTATATCAAGATTATATAGATGGCTCCTATGTATAAGCCAATGTGCAAAATGACAATTTTTCAGTATCTAATGCATCTTTTACATGTGACAACTGATGATACAGTTTAATACAGTATTATGAAGTATTTAAAGCAAAATGAATATGGCTAAATTGCTACATTGGCCCTTATACATAGGATCCATTGATATACTGAACTTATGACAATTATTTCTTAGGCCAAGTTTCAATTATTGCACTAACTAATGGTAGTTAATAGTTTTTAACACAAAGTTTTATACATTAAAATAATAATTTAGGCTACTGTGTGAGAAACTGAAATGTTTTGTATTATGACAATACAAAGTGGAGAATAAGAAGATGAGTCTGTTATTATTGGATGTTAAGGTGAAAATAATTATTTTTTATAAAAAAATATCTATAAAGTCATGTAATTATTAAGTTTTTTTTATTTATTTCAAATTTTCTTGTATTTTTTCTATTACATATTATAGTAATGTTAAATAATGACCTGGAAAACATAAAGATGTTGCTTCAGTTTTACAAGCTTATTTTGTATAAGTTTTTAATTACATAAGATCACTTCCCTATATGGTTACTAGAGATTTATTGCTAAAGTAATAGCTTAGTATAATAAAATGTTCTTATATAGGAAGTTAGTTTCAAATATAACGTTAAAAAATATCATATGGTACAAAAATAAATATATAAAAATTATGTTGTTATATTTAATATAAGAAAAGTATATTTTTTTAAGAAATATATTTAAATAAATATATAAACAGAATTTAAATAGCCACAGATTATAATAAAACACATTTTAATATATTAGAACATGTCATTACTACAGATTGAAGCACTCATTCACATTAAATATTATCTATAGTCTGTGTTATTTTAAAAAGCTAATATATTTTATATAAAATACTTTATTTGGTGTAGAACTTGAAAATACAATCATTAATTTATTCTTTAATGTAATATTGTATCATTTGAATTTCTTATTATTTCAGTTTTAGTAAATAGATAATATTATTTTATTGTGTTGATACATAATTTAGTGTGGAACAAAAACCTTCAATAAATATTCATCCATATAAAAAATTCTTTGTCAAGGAAGTTTTTTTATTATTATATATTCTATAGTAAATTCATATGAATGCTCTGAAAAATTCTAAAGGAATTTCAAATTTATTTTAATAATCATACAAATTACAAATATTAGTTATATTATTTAAATGGTCATAAAAAATTATTATTTTGAATTTTATATAAAAAATTCCTAATTTCAAAAAAATTATATCAATTAAATAAATTAAAAATGAAATTCGAAATTCGCCGATTACGTTTTTATTAATTAGCAAGAAAACAATTTTAATTAATCACGGACCATAAATCCGGCTAAGGTGGTGTAATAGTTTTTATGCACGAATACAGTTATTACCGCGACTCAAGAGGCCGTCTTATAATGCTCTATTTATTCGACCTACGCCTGTTCGCTAACTTTTATAACCTTGAAAAATATATAAATATAACACAATCACACAACTAATTCACTACCACTATGAACTCTGAAAGGTCGCGACTATCAGAATACGAGAGATATAAAACAATAACAGAATTAATATTATTAATATTATGTTTACCTGTCAACTTTTTTTTCGGCAAGAAAACATTTTAAGTCTTCGCTGACATCTTCGACGAAGTGGTCGTCGGCAAGGTTTAAGAACCTCTCCACCGTTTTGGTACCCAGTTTGACGGTCAAACTTTAATTTAATAAACAAAAAAATAATAATCGGATTCACGTGCCAAAAGAAAAACTAGCGGTCGTCCATTTTCAGTTTTTCATCACGCTTGACATGAACTAACACAATGGCACTGACAGCTGACATTGGATTTCGCAGACATAAACTCTATTTAATAAATCACAGATTAAAAAGAAAAAATCGTTAAGAGTAACAATCGTTATATTCGAGATATATCTCGAACAAATCGATATGTGGACAAATCGATTTTATTGTTAATCATTCGATTTAAAACAATTTGGTGTCTTGCGAACGAATACTTTTTGTTATAATTACCATTTTTTGACTTCCTTAAGTAATTCCTTTCAAATATCATATATTCATTATACATATTAAGTTTTTATGGTTGTATTACATAGCAAAAACACGGGAAAATTAATAATATGAACAGAAAAATTGGTAAAATATATATTTCACATATACTCATTAAAATAATTTGTCTATACATACCTAACTAATATTAATAATAAAAATAAACATATGAGAAATATACACTGTTAATGGAAACAAAGAAAAAATAACTAAAACGAAACAACAATTTAATTGAAACTGAAATCTACCTCTGACTTTTTACAAAAAAAAAATGTGCAATAATTATTTATAAATAAAATTCTATTACTATACAACAACTAAAAATGAAACTATATTGTCCTATTTAAAATAAAATTCAATCTAGTATTGACAGTGAAAAATTCATACCTTCTCATAAACTAATCAAATCTGATTTTTAGTAACAAAATAATTGAATGTCAAATTATCTAGCAGAATTGGATATGACATTATAATTAATAAGTATTTATGAAAAGATCACTTAGTAAAATAATTATTTTCATACAAAAATGTATGTATGTATCATTACAATATCTTACAAACATTGTTATAATGATAAATTCATAAATGTTTTGAGTGATATGAATTTTTTTAGTACAAAAACTTTATTTACAAATCAATCTTAGGTCTATACTGTAATCTTAGCGGCGGATCTCTGAATCTCCATCGCGTTACATAAACAAATTTCAATGTGTGATCCTTGCCTAATAATTCGTCGTTGCATAGTATGTCAATCTGAAAAATATAAGGAATATACTATATAGTTAATTATTTAAACCATGTCTATGTTTATACATAATAGTGCAGTTAAACTACTGATAAATACGTTTTGTTTTTCAGTGTTCCTGATAGTGGTAAAATCTGGTGTTACCAAAGTAAAAAATCTTAACTAGTGATAAACCAAAATGGTTTTATGGATACAATATTTTTTTAATAGATTTACACTCTTTAAAATTGCCTGCTTTATATATATTACTAGTTCTTAAATTACAAAAATCTGGTGGAAATTTTTAAATGAAATTTGTTATATCTATTAGAATATATGGTGTAATGAAAAATTAAAAGCATTAACATTTGAAAACCTAATTTCTTACAAGTGATACAAAAACAAATAAATATCGTATTCAAACATTAAATTCAAATTTTATTCAATACAATCATATACTATTTAATTTTCATGTATATTCTTTTCAAATTTGTTTAAGTAGAGAGAGGAGCTTGGACAGTGGAGGTGAGCGTATTACGTTAGATAGGGTCCCTTAAACCTACACCGGGGTCACAAGTCCCAGTCACTGTTGAAGCTCCTCTCACTACAACGATGGACCCGACACACACACCGTGAATACATGGAATGCTGAGAGGTTTAGTCTCGTATAAACATAATGATACTCACTTCTCTATACTTTTCCATTCCATTTAAAACTTTCTTAGCTACAAATTTCTTGAGATGTGTTATGGTCGCTTGGGCCGAACACCTTATAAAGCTCCTCTTGAGTGTTCTTAATGAAGTTGATATACATTCCAGACATACATTCACCTAGAAATAAATACATTAAATTAAAATTATGTAGTATTTCATAAAACTATATTAAATTCGTCATCTATGTATTATGTTAAGTAACAAAATGAATGACAGCAACTGATATAGTAATCTACCTACATTACACTTGACATCATATTATTATTTTAACAATACCGAGCAAGCATAACTAATACTTAACATTTTATAAACGAAATAAATATTTAAACTATGTATACAATTATTATTAACTGTGTATATAATTATTTTATTAACATGAGAAATCTTAAATAACAATATATACCACAAAACTGGTCTAATTTGTACCAATTCTATGTATTTTTGAATATATTAGCTATTTTTATACTAAATAGAAGTGATGGCTACAATTTATTCATAAACCAAATATACACTAAAGTCTATGAGTATTAAAAACCTATTAATTATACTTAAATGAATATTCCCGAGTCTTAGATCTCATATAACATACCTGTTCATCTTTCCGATGGCAGTCAGTATTATCTGGCTGTTCTGGTTCATCGCCAGCTCCTGGTTTATCTGCGGCAAGGGCTGCATCTTTAGGACACGGCAGGCCTCGGGCTCGGTAGAAATCTCTTTCTCTTTTTATTTCATCTATAATATATATATATATAACTTTATTATCTAAATACATATCTGTTTGTGTTACTAAGAATATTATATTGAGCTAGTGGTATTTTTGTAATTATTCTCTTGTAAAATTAAAATATGTAATCTTGTTTCAATTAATTATGTATTAACAGAAAACATAAAGAAGTACAAATAAACAAAACTAATATTTTCAGATAGCTAATAATAATATGAAATATTAGTTTCATTTAAATGATACTTGCAAGTCGTAGATCTCATTAAGTAGAAGTAAATTTTATATTATTTTTGTTTGGTAATTAATCTTTAAGTTTTAATCATGTACTCACTGTCTTGTAAATCAGGGACCAGTTTGTAAACAATATCTTGCATGGTTCTGTCGAAGCTGATGTATTGAAGGGGATGTGACTGATGTATCACTATGTTGCATGTTGGACACGTATTGTTCTCTTCTAAATGCTTTACTAAACAACTTTTACAAACTGAAAGAGGCAACATACAATAAGTAAAGTTCTATAGAGGTTATAATTCCTAAAACACCCAGAATTTCGTTTAAATACCAAATTAATTAGTATTAATATAAAACATTATATATGTAACAGTATATATCGTAACAAACAAATTTACTAACACGTATGTAGGCACTCGGTGACTGTGGTCGCGTCAATGAAATATCCGCGGCAAATCTTACAAGTTATATGACTGTTTAATGTTTTTAGTTTTATTCTCCTTTCCATTGTCATTATAACGCTGAGAACTACATTTACACCAAAAAGTTTGAGGAAAAAATTAAGGGAAAACAAAATAAAACATGAACAGAAACTTGATAGAAAATCACAATCACCAAACTCAAAATGAAACTGACGTCAAAATTATAATACAGATAACGAAAATGTAAATATATAATTAATTCTATCAATTTCAATGACTTTTTACATTTTTGATAAATTATTTGGATAACAATAAAATAGAATAAAAATTGTCATTATAATTTATTGAAAAAAAAAAATCAAGTAGTTAATTTAATTGTACTATAACATTAAGTCCAACCTAAAATACTCGATAACAGTAATCGATTTCACAATGTTTTTAACATCATAAAACTGTTTTCCACCTTATTTTAACTTTGCATATTTGTCCCAAAAGAGTTTATAGTGAATTGAAATTAAAATTAATATTCTTTTTTAAATCCTATGAAAAAAAATTTGTGCAATAAAAATGCTCATTATAAAGTCACATTTAACAATAGGCCGATTATAAACAAATTTACACCTGTTTAAAAAATAAGTAAAAATTAAGAAAAAGCTAAAAAAAAATTACAGTGAGAACATGAAATATCACTGTTACTTTTTAAAAGTTACTTTGAAAATAATTAAATTTCTGGAATAAAAAGGGTCATTTTAAACACTTTACACATAACTGGTACAATTTTAACAATAGTCAATTACTATCGAATTGTACTCAAAATGGACCTTAAAAAGACTGAGCAAAAGCAACTCCTTTCTTAAATATCAAAAATCACCCTTTAAGCATCAATACCCAAGTATAAAGATGGATTGATTTTAAGAACTGTCTTTGAGAAAATTATAATAATTTTAAAAGTTGATCTTCCTCGGATCTTTAGTGGGTATGATATAGTTTTCGTCTATTGGGTAACCATACCAAGTATAAGATTGAACTCTACATACTTTTCTATATGTAAAAAAAATTCTAACGTTAATACTGGCAGGCTACTAAGTTTTTGGTTTATGTTTTCATAATACTATACTTTGAAATAAGTGAGGCGATGACGCATTAACATTTAAACATTGTGCAGCTGTGCGTCATTTGCCTACTACTTTTTTTAATTTCCACTATTTTTAGAGAGTTTTATTGTACATATATACGTCAGTCCCATAGAGAAATTTTATAAACAAAAACCCTTACAAGTGAATTAATAACTTACACAAGTTAGAAAGGATCAACTAGAATGTGTTTGTTTTAAAAGGATCAGTATCAAACGATCACACTTTTATTGAGTGAATTGAGAGAAGCGCATGGAACGCATAGCTAACGACTCAGGGCATTCATCGATGATCGAGTCACTATTTTTTGTTCAATAGTTCAGTTATCTGGGGTGGTTTTCATGAAAAAGTTTTAGAGCACGAAAACGGAACCCATGTCCAAAATATGATTCGGTACCGAAACGCTGAGGTCGCTCCACTCATCTAGTATCAAGATCTTTTTTACGAGGTAGTGAGAAAAAAATACCAAGGTGCATCTCCTAGTTTTATAAAAAAACCAGCTTTCCGCCCGCATGGAGTTCGGTTATATCGCGTTTCCAAGAGAACCTTTCAAAAGTCTGGGATAAAAACTATTCTATGTTCTTTCTCAAGGTCAGCTCTATCTCTGTACCAAATTTCATTTAAATCAGTTCAGTGATTTAGACGTAAAAGCGTAACAGACAGAGTTACTTTCGCATTTATAATATTAGTAGGGATAATAGTTTCTGGTTCTGGTTTTTGATAAAATAGTAAAACCAAACCCAAATAGTTTGATGTACGTCCAGTTGTTAGTCTATGAGCTACAGGAACATATGTATAATATATTTTATCACGAAACCAAGGTATAGGAGAACACTGACTTTTAATAATTTGATACAAAATTACTCCTAGTTTTTCATTATATGAACAATTATACAGAATTATCGAAATGCACATTAATTTTCCTTCCTATTGCTTTATTGGTCAACCTCCTCGTTTCCACTAATACCGATATGTAATGGAATTCATTGTAAAAATTAACATAATGAACATTATAAGCAAAAAGTTGCATTTTGCTCTATAATACTAATTAAATTAAAAAAAATCTAATTAAAAAATATACAATATATGTATAGTGACCTGAATTGCAATTTCTAAAAGTTTAAAATTGTCTATTTTAAAATATAAAGGAATGAAATGACTATAGAATATTATAAATAAAAGATCTTTTATTCAGAGTAATTTATTTCTTATTACAACATCAGTTATAAACATGGTAACGTATTTCACATAAAACTAAATCTATAATAAATTACATGATTTACCTGCCATGGCATACTTAAAAACTATCGAGATTCAAAAATAGTGTATAGATTGAACGTAGTGCCAAATATCGATATTTAAATCGTTATAAAAATAATCGCTCCAAAATCGAGGTAGATAAAACATTATTTTAGATGTCACGTCACTCGGACGCTTTCAATTTTTCACTGTCAATATCTGGCGCCATTTTTTGTATGTTGAATAAATTACCGCATTTGTTTTCAGGTAAAACTATTTTATAATGCTCTGATGGCGGCATTGGCAAGTTCGGTTTAGAATGATCCCTTCTGAAATGGCGGCTCAAATGGCTGGTTTGAGAGAATTTCCTTTCGCATATCTTGCATTGATATTTCTTGATTCCCGTATGAACGACCTTGTGTTGTTTGAGTGCTGACGATGTGTAAAACGTTTTTCCGCACTCGCAATGATAGTCCCTTTGTCCTTTGTGTCTTTTTAGATGGACATTGTACGCGCTGCATGTCACGAAACCGCGATGACATTCTTTGCAATTGTACCTATATAAATATATGTTTTGATTACTCTATTATATATTCCTTAGTCGTTGAATATTTATGAATTAGATAAATTACAGAACTATCGGATTCTAAGACAGATTATTATCTTTAATTATTGGATATTTCTATTTATGCTATAAGAAATTAAATTAATTAATGTATAGAAGTTTGAAAATAAAAAATCCATAAAAAATATTTTTTAAGACTAGAATGTAAAAGTAAATATGCTTGGAATATTGTATTCTACAAAGAGTATTAAACATGTATATAATATTTTGTTAGGATTCAAAGTAATGAATATAGAAAAGACCTTAAAAATCTATGCTCAACTAAATTTATGATAAAAAAAAAGCTTATAAAAAAAGAAATCATTTATACATACAAAAAAATACAGTCAAATTTTGAATGTTCTTTTTTTTAAGTTGGTTAAAAACTATTCAAAGCAAAAGATGGCAACATTGTAATTCTCACCTAACTTCTTTATTGTGAATCCTGATATGTATTGAGAGGTTGCCGGATGTAGCAAAAGTTTTATCACAAAGGTGACAGGAATAAGGCTTCTCTCCATTGTGAGTCCGTTGATGCACTTTGAGGTCAGCTTTTATTGGAAAACCTGGAAAATAATGTTTAATTGTACATTCATAATAACAAAATAGTATATGAAATAAAAAATAGTAGGTTAATCTTTCATGAACAACTAAATGATTCATAAAAATGAAACTAACATTTTTCAGATCTGCCCGTGATCACGGTTGCTGGAAAGTAACCGAAACATCGGGAGTATGTAGTTTTGACAATAATAAAATACGCATAGTATAATCCCAAAAACATAAGTTTCATTTAAATGAATACTCGCTATAATCGTAGATATCATTAAATGTTTCATAATATTCATTCTAAGAATAAAACATTTTATAAATAATTTTCTTGTTAATCAATTTTTATATTGATACCAGTGTTTGCCCGTGATTTCGTCCGCGTTAATTTCGTTATTAGTAATATATGTATAGCTGACCGGGCGAACTCTATTCCCGTCTAAGAGGCCATAAATAACCAGGTATTGGTATTTATTAATTTTTTCCTGCATCGATCGAACACAATTAAATATCCTATGTCAGTCTCTTTGTTCTAATCTATCTCTCCACCATTTTTCAACCATATCCCTAATGTCGTTCTTTTTGGCAATTTCCCAGCTTTAGCCAGAGTCTGCCTTACATGTTGTGAATAGTTTTGGCTAACAGTTTCTACAACCGGCCGCCTGCCTGACATCAACCCTCTTTGGGATTGCATTAATCAGTTAAGTCTAAATACTCTTAAAAAGTACATATGTCACTATCACAAAGGATCACAAAAGTAAACAAAGTTCTAGTGCACGTAGCGGTAATCTTCACAAAGATAGATGGATGCACTTATAGAATATCGTAACACAATATCATCAATTGTAATACTTTTTTCTTTGTTCTGATTTTTTATTTATATTTTTGGAGTTTACCTATTAAAGCCATAAATCTCCGTCTTCTGAAGTGCGACACAATGATTGACATATTAGTTAATTGTCAAATCTAATGTAAAAAAACGGTTGTATGGGGAATAGGAAAGTAGTATTTTAAGCGGTTTCCTTGACAAGAATCAATTTTTTTCAGCTTTTAAACCTTCCCTGAACATCCGCGGACATTTCAATAGACTAAGATAAGATAAATCCGTTCAGCCTTTCTCTAGTTTTAGTGAGACTAACGAACAGAAATTAATTTTTATATATATATAGATAGATTGACTGTATGAGATTAAATTTATTAAGTTAAATATATATGTATAACCTTTTCCGCACTCCTGACACAAGTAAGTCTTGTCACCTTTGTGTCTTTTCATGTGTATAGACAACTGGGCGCTCTGAACGAAGTTCTTGAAACATATGGTGCAGTTGAAAAGCTTTTCACCTGGAAAATATGGATAAGTTACATGTTAATGTACTTATTAGATTATCTTCGAAAACAATGTGTTTGGTTTAGAGTGATAGATATTAAAAAGTGATGGTTAAAATATTAATGACTACTTTTGTATTTTAGTAGTTCTTATAACATATCTTTTAGTAAATCCTTAATTTATCTTTATTTAATGTTGGTATTAAAGCTCTCAGAATATTCAGTGATGTGTTCTCTTATACATAAAAAATCAATGTTAATTACTTAATATGTCACACATATTTCGAGATATTACTAAAAAATAATGATTTCAAAACTTAAAACGCAGAAAAGAGAACATAGTATATCTTAATATTGTATTATATTTTATTAAAAGATGTCATTTAAAATAAATATAAATAATTCCTTGTAAAGACAATACTTTTATTGTATTAAGTCACGTGACTAACGATAGATGGCGCTGGTGATAATCTAACATCTATAATTAAAGTTTTTAGTTGTTTAAATTAGTTGTTTAAATAAAGGACGTGAATTATTTAATATTAAGATAATATTATTTTATACAAATCTGTAGCTTCTTGCATCAAATAGAACCGTTTAAGTTGATGTAATACAGGTGTTTAATTTTGTTAATGATATTTAATAATTAAGATCTTCACACAAAATAAGAGACAAAACCTCTCATCATTCAATGTATTCACCGTGCGTGTGTCGGGTCCATCGTTGTAGTGAGAGGAGCTTCAACAGTGACTGGGACTTGTGACCCAGGTGTAGGTTTAAGGGTCCCTATCTAACGCGCGTTAAATGCTCACCTCCACTGTCCAAGCTCCTTCATATAACTATGTTTATATGTATATATATATATATATAGTATTTATCTACATACCTGTATGTACCCTTATATGATTAACCAGCCCTGTCCGTCTGCTAAACTGTTTTGAGCAGTACTCGCAGTGATAGGGAGTCTCACCAGTGTGGACTTTCTTGTGTTGAAACAATGCGCTGTGACCTCTGTGGAGGTTTAATATATTATTTTTTATATTGGCATTATAATTATGCGCAAAGTCAAAATGTAGTATATATATTTTTTTTTTTATTTATATATTTTTAAAATCTAACAAAAGGTACCCTATAAGGGAATCACACTAAGAGCTATAAGTAGCAATAAGAGCATATATTGTGAAAATATTATTCATAAGAAATAGTTTTAGTGAGTAAACTAAGTAATACTTAAAAGATTTTTTTATTAATTTTGGTTTGTATTGTGCTCAGGTAAATATATGATCATTAATGTATAGTCTTATCCAACTCGATAATATATAGTTATTAATCCCTACTAATATTATAAATGCGAAAGTAATTCTGTCTGTCTGTTACGCTTTCACGTCTAAACCACTGAACTGATTTTAATGAAATTTGGTACAGAGATAGAGTTGATCTTGAGAAAGAACATAGGATAGTTTTTATCCCAGACTTTTGAAAGGTTCTCTTGGAAATGCGATATAGCCGAACTCCACGCGGGCGAAGCTGCGGGCGGAAAGCTAGTTTTCATATATTTATGAATATTACCTGAATGCTGACGGGCAGAATTCACATTTGTAAGGCCGTAGATCAGTGTGACATATTTTGTGAGCCTTCAAATTACTTTTAGTACTCAATATCTTGCCACAGACGTCGCACTGATGTATTTTACTGTCACCTTCATATTCTGTAATAAAAACATAATAAAAACAGCTGGTAAAAATATATCTTGAGTCTTCTTAATATAATAATAATAAAATAAACGCCTTCATTTGATTAGACAAACTCCTTTGTGTTTCCTCCACACATCACTCAAGATTATGATTTCATCAAACAAATAATGTTGACGTTGATGCAAAATATATGAAAATATTCCACAATTAATGCAAATGAATCCATAGTTTTAAAAAAATATACAACAAAAAAAGCGAGCATATAGTAGATCATAACATATATATATATATATATATATATATATAGTTATGATCAACATACTCTAGTTATATATATCCTCTAGTTATATATATCCTGTACCAGTCACCCTGTATATGTGTGTAAAGATAGAGATAGAGTTATGTTAGTCACTAAAGGATAGAAAGAGAGGCACACACATATATTTTATTTCTTTTTTTTCTTTACAGACAGTTATTCTAATCTATAGAGGTTTACTTTAAAAATAATCAGTATATTAATACCACAATTTTTTTAAACAAACAATCCATAGAAATGAGAAATTATTTAATATTAACATGTGAGTGATTATTTAATGTTTTGTTAAAATTATTAATATACATATATATATATACATACTGTTTTTTATCAGTTTTTAAATTATAAATTAGTAAAAATAAAACCATTCCTTTATGAATTACCTTTTTTCTTCCTTCCCCTTTTCTTTTTTGGTAAATCATCACCATTGATAATTACTGAAAATTGATTTTTTATATAATTAATTAGTGATACAAATATGTTTTAATAATATTCTTTAGTTCTAGTAAAAATTCAATTTCATATTAAACTATAAGTCTGTAAAACCGTTATTTTACTTTTTCACACAAAATCTATATGATGGTACATAAAACTTTTCAAATATGTGAATTATACATATATTAAAAAGATAACATTGCTTTAGCTAAAAAGATTTTAATTATTACAATATAAATGATACCTATTGGAATAAACTATAGTAATAACCAAGTAACTTACTTTAAATAGTACATTATGTAATAAATAATACAAGTAAATGTAATGATATATATGAGAATATAGTAAATAAACTCAAATAGTTTTATACAGAGTAATACCTTTTAAAACCCTCTCCTCTTTACTTAAAATATTGTTAATATTTTTTTGTTCCCAGTAGTTAGTTTCATTGGAAATTGACTCTAGAAAAAAATATAAATTCCATATTTTTAACTCCCTATTTAATATATAATATAGTTCACAATATAAATGAATATTATGTTTATATACCTTTTAATGTTTTCTTTAATTTAATCTCTCCGAGTAACACATTATCGTCCTCGGCATCCCAAACACTGTCATCGTGGTCATTGGTTGGAAATGGCTCTAAAAAGTGGTTTTTAATGAGTAATTTTTCGGTATTGTGAGTTATGTATTTTTACTTTGTGTTAACTAATAATATATGTTTTAATGTGATGATATTACCTAGTTTAACATCTCTCTCTAAACTACTATCTTCTCTCAGCATTAGATTAAAATTCTCATTTTTCACTTCAATATTTTCACTTTTAATTTCATCATTGACATCTTTTGAATCAGTTTCAAGTGCTGGTGTTATTAATATATTGTCTAAATAGCATTTTAGTGTTTTATCGCTTTCCTCGCATTGAACGTTAAAAGAATAACATCTTTTTAGTTGGCGACTACATTCTTTACATATTATTCGAGGTAAATGATCGTCTTCTTTGGGCTGGAAAAACAAACGCGTATTCAAAACTTTAATGGAATTCTAGCCATTAATTGCATTATAAAAATTTGTAACTCACTTTAATTTTAGTGCAATATGAGATCATTTCACAGTACAACGTATTTCGTTTAGCATAGTAACTTGTATAAATATCAAAATTCTGTTTATTATGTTTGAGACATATTCTACAAATGCTTTTAAAATCCATATTACAACCATATAGAGAATAGCACTATTTATAAATTTGATGCTTAAGATTAAAAATAAATCTTGTATAGCGTCCAAACACTTTCTTGTTTATATTTGTCTAGTACGATTTGATATTTGATATTATCTTTTGACTTTTGACGTAATTTTGAAATTTCAAAATAGTGTTGTATGCTCGAGTATAATAATCGATATTAGAACAACCAATGTCTTAATCGATTAAGAAAATCTATAAATGTGTTGGATTTTTGACGTCATTGCTTCTTTTTCTATACAATTGAAAGCCACAGTCAAACACTAATGACAGATTACAACTAAGATGTCGGCTCTTTAGTGTTATTGTTTTTAATTGAGAATCTTAAGGAGACTTGGATATTTTATTATTTCATAAGTGAAAAAAACAATACTGAGATGTCTTCATTAGAGAAAAATATGATGAAAAATAGACTACCACCCCGAATGCCGAGAACGTCAGGCATTTCTAAGTGAGTACATTGATTTTTTTTGCGATAATCATAATCAATTAGAATAATATATCGCGTTCTTGGAAAAACTTTCTATGAATTTTATAATATTTAATATCAATCTGTTAACCTAATATTTCAAATAATATCCTATTAATACTAATATCAATCAATTTATTTGATAGACTTGCACCATTCGGTATTTCTCGCCGCAAAGATTACACACCTGTGTCGTGGAAGAATTATTTCGAGAAATACGTTGATATTGAGATAGACGCGGGAATCTTCAGAGTGTACCTGTCCCCTCAGCCTGATCATCCACAAAGGCCTAGAATCGTGACTTTACACGGCGGCGGATACTCTGGCTTAAGCTGGTCTCTATTCACAGTAGGTACAGCTAATATACTACAGTATCTAACAAAACATATTAGTTACGTAAACAGATTCATATATTAAACACTTCATATATCTTTATATATATATATATCCCTACTAATATTATAAATGCGAAAGTAACTCTGTCTGTCTGTCTGTCTGTCTGTCTGCTACGCTTTCACGCCTAAACCACTGAACTGATTTTAATGAAATTCGGTACAGAGATAGAGTTGACCTTGAGAAAGAACATAGGATAGTTTTTATCCCAGACTTTTGAAAGGTTCTCTTGGAAACGCGATATAACCGAACTCCACGCGGCGAAGCTGCGGGCGGAAAGCTAGTATATATATATATATATATTAAAATAATATTATTACTATAATATTTAAAATTTAGCTTGTGGTTACTCATCAACTTGTAAGTTTCAGTTCGCTCATTCTGATTAATACTTCATTGTATATTTGAATTGTATTATTTATTTGAAACTTTGATCAATATTAAAACAAATTTATAAAGACAATAGTTATTTTAATTTGAGAGTTGTTTAAAGTATAAACATGGTATTCACTTCAAGTACTGATAGACAAGATTGTTCAATATTCCATTCTTAAATACATATAATTATTGTCTTGAGTATTACATAATTCTCATTTATAGATTTTGAGTACTCAATTAATATTTTTTACTTAACTAAATCTCATTTATAGATAATATATGAGCAGGGTCTGCTGAAATATCAATATTTTACCTCCCAATAGTTAGGTACTTAAATGTTAATTTCCGTATAAATAAATATGGACAGATCCAAATGACATATAACATATCTAATTTATGTTACGTAATTTTATTTAGGAGGAAATATTTTGTCATATAACAAATATCACGTCCTCAAATATCGATAGTAATTCACCAGTCACCCTGTATATCTATATGTACTTTTTGTTTAGGAGGAAATTACAAACATGATACACTGTCAAGTAGTGTCTATAGACATACGAGGACACGGAGAAACAAAGGCCATTGACCCTGATGATTTAAGCATTGACACTTTGGTCAAGTAAGTATTATCTATATACTATATTATAGATTCATCACAATATCTCAGAAAATACAAAGCATAGAGACTTTAATTTTGGTAGAAAAATTCCTTTTGCTGCATAGAGTCATTTTAGAAGGTATTTTATGAAATTCCATTCACAATGGGTGTTATGGGGAGACAGCAATGAAAAATTCCATTGTTTTAAAATAAAGATCTTGCATTTTTCAAATATGGTAGGAATCTATATAATATGTATGATGTAGAAAGTATTTGTGAGCAAATTCTACAATAAGTCATCCCCCAATTATGTGTGTGGGACTTTGTTTTATAACATTTTTTGTTATTTTCAAGCTATATTTCCTACAAAGTACCAAATTTCGTATGCATTTTCTGTAAGCAGTATAATCATAAACAAATTTTTCTATATCACACCCTACACTATGTTCCAGGTGTTAACAATGAAAATGATTAAATTTCCATATTTTAATCACTTCATATACATATAATCAGATCACATTTAATATAAATCATTATTTACTATATGTTTATGAATAATTTCAGAGATGTAGAACAAGTTCTTCATAAACTATTTGGTTCAGAGCTCCCACCTCTAATTCTCCTCGGTCATTCAATGGGTGGGGCCATCGCTGTTCGTACTGCTCATATACCATCGTTACAACTGGCAGTACAAGGAGTCGCTGTGATAGATTTGAGTGTGCTAAAAAAAATAATTCTAAAATGACTGAAGGTATTGTATATGTATTTAAACGTAATAAATATTTTTATTTCTTTTCTGAATCGTTTACATAACCTATATGTATACTTTAGATAACATATTATAGTTGTGTATATTATGGTTTGTTGTTATATGAGAAATAGTTAAATTTAATATAAGCAGGATTTGAATTGGTTACTCCTAGAATAAGATTGCAGTAGCTTTAACAATTCAGCTATTGTGTCCTGATTTGGCATATAGAATTAAGCTTTCTATGTATTCTATGTGAATTTTAATTAAATTATTTTATTGTAATTGTAACGTAAAAGAATTTTCGTTTAAAAACTTTAATAAATAACAATTTCTTGGTCATTAAAAGTAGTAAAAAAACGATTACTTTAAAAAAGAGTTCATCATAATTATAAATTTGTGCAATGTGTTCCGTTAAACATACTTTTGAGAAGTTATGTTTGAATTATATCAAATATTTCATAGTATTGACATGCCATTTTGACCATATATACAGGGTGACTGGTGAATTACTATCAATATTTAAGGAGAATACTCGGTACATGATTCTCATTCGAATTATGTAAAAAAATAGGTACTTAATTTTTGACCAAATTTCCGTATAAATAAATAAAGTGTGGACACGTGCCAAGTGTTCCAAGTGTGGAAGCGTGCGGCGGCGTGCTGATACAACACCACGCCGCCGCACGCGCGTGTGTGTGTGTGTGTGTATACCTAATCTGTAGGGTGTTCACGCGATGCGTAATTAATTACATAACTTTTGGTTAACTTTACTTAGAAGTTTATTAATATTTATGTTATATTAATTTTTATTTTGTCATATATGATCGTCAAATATCATGTCCTCAAGTATCGATAGTAATTCACCAGTCACCCTGTATAATAATTTTCATACTACAGGTACAGCAATGGAGGCGTTGGCTAGTATGCAGAGTTTTCTAAGAAGTCGACCAACACACTTCAAGAGTATAGAACATGCTATAGAATGGTGGTATGTATATACATATATATATAAACTAGCTTTCACCTGCGACTTTGTCAATATATTAGGTTTTCTTATACACTAGATTAATTTATATACAAGTTTCCGCTGAATATATTAAGTATAAATAAGTAAAAACATTAATTATTTATCTAAGAACTTCATGAAGTTATACTTGATGTTTGTTGTATTTCAGTATTAGGAGTGGTCAAGTGAGGAATGTCGAGTCAGCCCGGGTGTCCATGCCTAGTCAAATTGTGAAGTGAGCTTCTATTAACACAATTTTTTTTAGTTTTCTATTATACAGCTATTATTATTCTTAATAATACATTTTTATTTACATTAGAGGATTTTTAAAACATATCTTTAAAAATAGATATTGACATCTAATCATAATATTTTATTAGGTGCATTCAAAATTTAATTGTTTCGGCACAAGAAAATAAGTAGACATTAAATTAATTAATATATTATGTGTATACTTATAGCTGCGTCACTGGTGAACTAGCGACCAACGAAGTTGAAGATTACAAAGCCGTCGAATCCCCGCTGGAGCCGGGCGTGAGGGGGGGCAGGGATGACGTCATAGCCGAGGAGGGGGAGGGAGACGTGGAGGGAGCGGAGAGGGGGGAGGGGGCGCAGTTCACGAAGCCGTCACCTGTAGATGGAAATATGAGGTGAGATATATAGGCCATAGATATAATATACTTCTTATATCAGGGAGCGTTCAAGTATTACGTAACGCAATTTTTGAAGATTTTTGACCCCCCTCCCCCCCTCCTAACGCACAGTAACGGTTTTCTGTAGCCCCCCTTCTCAAAACGTTATACGTAACACTCAAGTGATCAATTTCATACTAGTCGTAAAACAGTATGTAATAGTTGGGTATATTTTTAATCTATTACATGAAAAAAGATCATTAATACTGGTCAATATACTGTCTGGTCAACATACTGTAACGTATATGAAAAGAGTTGCCAGTTTGGGGGTTTTTATTAATATTTTTTTTGAAACAATGCTACGTAACGTTTTGTAAGAGACACCCCCTCCCGCCCCTGTAACGCATCGTAACGTTTTACGAGACACAGGGGGTGTCCCCCAAATTGCGTTACGTAATACTTGAACGCTCCCTCATGTGTTTTTAGTGTTTGTGAATTTGCTAGAAAATATGTACATTGTTCAGAGACAGATATATGTTTATAAATTCATACATAATGAGATCTGAGATTTTCGCGAGTTTTATTCATTTAAATGAAACCGATATACTGTGATCGGGTTTGCTGAAAACTAGCTTAAACTAATGTAGTTTTTTACAAAATTTAAGTTGAGTAGTATGTCTGACCAAAATATTTAAGCATTAATCACCACGCTTGCTCAAGACGGGTTGGTGATTTCAAACTTATAATTGTGAAACTATAAGTCCAGGTTTCTTCACGATGTTTTCCTTCACCGTATGTCAGTGGTGTATAATACTCTCAGAAAGTACATATGACTCCGAAAAATCACATTGGTACTTGCCAGGTTTGAACCCGCGCCCTCGGCAACGAGAGGACCCTTTAACCACTAGGCCACCACTGACTTTTACTACATTATTCACTTATATATATGTTTGTATGTGTGTGTGTGTGTCAGGTATCGTTGGCGTGTTGATCTATCTCGTTCTGAGCGTCACTGGTCGGGTTGGTTCAGTGGTCTATCAGGATCATTCCTCTCTACTCCCGCCCCCCGACTTCTGCTGCTGGCTTCCGTAGATGGATTAGACAGGGACCTCACTGTCGGACAGATGCAGGGTATAACATTTATATATATATATGAAAATAATTAATGTATTTATGTTGCATGTTATAGGTGAAATTATTCAATTTGATTTGTGTATAAGATATATCTGAAATATATATGTTATAAATTTACAAAATATAAATTATGATAAAATAATTAATAGTATATGGTGGACTAACTTTGATTTTAAATTAATTAGTATATATATGTATATTAATCTATATGTTTATTATTTCCTTTCAGGCAAATTCCAGATGCAAGTTTTAACGAGATGTGGTCATGCTGTTCATGAGGACACGCCTTCAGAGGTATTGCATATAACAATATACAGGGTGACTGGTGAATTACTATCGATATTTGAGGACGTGATTTGTGACGATCATATATGACAAAATAAAAATTAATATAACATAAATATTAATAAACTTCTAAGTAAAGTTAACCAAAAGTTATGTAATTAATTACGCATCGTGTGAACACCCTACAGATTAGGTATACACCCACACTCACACATACGAGTGCGGCGGCGTTGTGTTGTATCAGCACGCCGCCGCACGCGTCCACACTTGGAACGTGTCAACACTTTATTTATTTATACGGAAATTTTGTCAAAAATTAAGTACCTATTTTTTTACATAATTCGAATGAGAATCATGTACCGAGTATCCTCCTTAAATATTGATAGTAATTCACCAGTCACCCTGTATAATATGTATATAGTCCTATTTATAAATAGTCAAAATATGTTTACTTTGAATTAAATACAATATATATGAAAAATGTAAATGTATCTTATAATATAGTGAAGAAGTTTATTAATTCTGTAGAAATTTATTTTGAGTGTTTTAGAAATGAATGCATTTTATTTGTAATAAAACTCTTTAAAAATAAACAAAAATCAAGACAGTTTATATGAATACTTTAATGTGATTGATGTAGATTTGACTTGTTAATCAATGTATGTTACATAATGATAATAATGATAATGATATGATAACCATGATATCTCCAGGTAGCTCGCGTGGTCGCGTCGTTCGCGTTACGTCACCGTCTCACAATCCCGACCGAGTCCGGGGAAGAAATGAACCTAATCTCAGCCCCCGGATGTTAAACATTATTATAATAAACTTATTTATATCTGCATGCTTTTTAATACCTATCTGACTGTTCTAAAATGTCTATATTATGTATACAGATAATATATAGTAGAGTACTCGAGTTATCACCACAGATAAGAAATATAAAGAATTATTGAGATACAAACTATATAGTTATTTTTTCAATCAAAATGCTGGTTTATAGTGAAATTGAGCTCAGTATAATATGAAGTATTTTTTAAGAAAAGATTCCTAAGATTTTTTTGATTCGAATTTTAAAATATATATATAGCTTCTACTCTACTGTATTATCTTAATTGTTGTCTTGACTTTGAGGCTTTACTTCAAGCTGTGCTTAGGGCGAGCTTGGATTGTCACATCTAAGACTTTTGGACGTTTTTAATTCATAAATTTTGTCAAAAAAAATACTAAACTTAATTGGAAACAATATCAACACATCGAAAGTGATTTAGAATTTAAGTTAAAATAATTAGTTATCTATATGTCGTATGTGGTCTTCGTTCAGAAATATATAATTATGTATTTCTGAACTCCCTTGTCAGTTGAAAGATTTGTTAATGTTTAGATTCTGTTAAAACTAACGATTGAATGCATTTTGTATTTAAATATTATTTCAGTTCATTTATAATGTAGTGATCTTTTGAAATACATATTTATAAAAAGACACTAATTATTAACTCACTATTTATTTATTTCATCGGTTCGTTGTGTTAACAAGGTTTGTAATAAATTTTAAATACGCTTTAAATTAGTTCAACAATAACTTTCACATAATTAAAAAATATTTTCACATAAATTCTACAATCTCGAAATATGCAATTATTAATGTTTAATTTAAATTCACGTAAATTCTTGTAATTACAAATCTAGATTGTATAATTTTATTTGTATAATTATATTTTTATTTATATAGTTCTTAGCATTTTTATTCATTTATCAGAGGTGCTATGATTTTCATGAATTAACAAGAAATTTCAGTTTTTTTTTTTTTTTGCTAAGTTGATATTATTTGTTCTAGTTATATTCAATGATATTATATTAATTACTTCTACAAATAGTTTTAAAAAGGAAATTAAAAACCAATAAGTAACGACGGTTGTAAATTTATTTACTATATAAATATTTTTAGAGCAAAAGGTTTGTAAAAGGAATATTTTTCTGAAATTTTATGTATTGAGTACTTAATCAAATATTTCTTTGTATTTAGGTCTAATAAAAGCTAATCTGTCTTTCAAACAGTGTTTTTTATTAAAAAATCTATTTATTTTTCTATACTTACTATTTGACACAATAAAAGAATATTTTTGTTTTCAAAACATTTATTCACAAGCCCAGTTAAAATACAATTTCGCTATAACAATTACACATAGATTATTACAATCTATTTTGAATTTAGTGACTGGCAATAAATACAATAAATATTTATTTGACTAGCAAAAATTTCACTCAATTTGATTAAATGGCGGCAAACTTTGACATGGCGTTATAATAATTTTAAGATATAGTTTATAACAATATAAGACAAAGATTATAAGATTACAGGAACCAAAATGGCAACACAACCACAAAAATAATATTAAAAAAAGCTTTTTGTTTATGTTCACAACATTTCTTAAAAAAAAATCAATTATATATAATAAAAATAAATATAAAAAAATCATTAGTATAGCATATGCTAAACAAAAATATGATATTGTTAATAACTTATTAAGTACAATATTAAAAAATCTAATAAGTTTCACTTATATTTGCTTTGCAAACAATAAAATAACATACAACTAAATCTCAACTCAAACGAGTACATATTAAGGTTTACATTTCTTTGTTACAAAATCTGTTTGTGGGGAGATAGATTAGTGCAAAAAATTACCAGATAAATTTATATGTATAATGTAAGAAATTTAGTTTTTTTTTATATAATTATTAATAAATATCGTGAGAGATCGTTATGGTGAATTTATTATTATTTTATTATATTAATAAATATTAATAATTTAACTTTGGTGTGAGTTTAAACAGCACTCTTCATTTCTTGTTTGACGCACGTCTTGAACGCTTCCCAACCTTCGTTCTTTGCGTACGACTGAAATAACATATTATTAATAAACACTTAATTAAGTTGAACTTATAAGAGATCAAGGTAATTTTTTTATATTAATTATGTAAGTATATCTTCTGCCACTAAGTAAAATAATGAAATCATTAATCAATATACGAAGGCAGTTTTAAAAATAAATATTATTTAAATGTTCTTTACCAACAATTGTTCAGTCAAAATTAATTATTATTTATTTATTTTTATAAAACTTTTATCTCTGCCAATCAACTTTACTTAGTTTAAGGCATCGACATATACTAATGGACATGCCTTAATATAGATGAGAATTGTGGCACTTCCAAAGAAAGAGAGGAAACGAAGTTTCGGTCTATCTTTATCTCTCTCAAAATATGTAGTACCGTACTTTAGACATTATGAGCCCCTTCTGGATAATTTATTATTTCTTTTGTCATATACAGCTTTACGTTTAACCTCAGTTTCTCTGATTTTTAGCATTTTTAGTATTAATAACGTATGATTTATACGGTTAAATTAATTATTTTAATCAATAAATTTAAATCCGTGTATACATCTATGAAATATTAAATTTTTTAATTTTGTAGATTTAACTCATTACTCGAATATGTATACAAGAACGTTCTTAAATCTATCTATAACCATATAAAATGTATATTAATAATTATTAAAGGATCTATTTAAGTTAAGGGCGAAATTAATTTATATGCCGTGCTTGTAATGAAAACTGTGCGCCAATCATCTATGAGGAAAGAGATAGTGCTAGACCGAAAGCATAGGCCATCTCTCTCACTGTTTTCAAACAAAAAATAAACAGATTATACGTGTACGGCATGTCCATTAGTGTATATCGATGGTCTACAGTGTGTATCATACTTTGAACCCCCTGTGTAGTCTGTCCTTCATGATCGCGATGAACTCCCTGTAGCTGAGGAAGCCGTCCCCGTCCTGATCGAAGATAGCGAACACCGTGCTCACGAGGTGAGGCGACTGAGATATACCCGTACAGATCTTAACCGCGCGGTGGAACTCATCTTGATATACAACAAATATATAAGATTAATACTAATAATATGATAATATATGAGTGAATGAAGATTGAGTGAGTGAATGAAATACTACTACAGTCTACATACATAACATAGGAAGTATGAATGAATGAATAACTGACAATATATACATATAATTGCGTTTCGTTTTATCAAAATAAAATACATAACATTACGCAACAAGTGACATTGAATGATAATTTTTTGCTTGTCTCAGCTTTATTTTGCTAAGGAGATCTAAGTTCATCGGATCGGTATTTATTTAAATTAAACTAATATTATCGGATGCACTATGCGTTATTTCATTTAATCTTAAAAGTACATACTCCGATGTTACGAATGAAGATTCAGACAATCACATTTCATCTTAATGATCACGGTTGCTGCGAAGTAATCGAAACGACGGAAATATGTAATTAAAACATTAAAAAAAACGCGTAGTAATCCGAAAAATATTAGTTTCATTCATTTCGCCAGCCATTTTTTCTTAAACCAGAAAATAATTATAATCGTAGATGTTTATACCTTTCGATATTGGATGATCGGCGAGCGTGTACATTCTCATGGCTATAGTGAAGTCTTCCAAGTTGTTGAGAAACTGACAGAAGGTTTTAAACTCCGTGAAGCTAATCCCGCTCTGCTCCACGTCTAGTAGTCGGTCGAGGAAGGCGTCATATTCATCTGTGTCTAAATACGTGTAGCGGAGAAGAATCTTCGCGAAGTCTACTTCAGATATCGTCTCATGTCCTATTGATAGTTTTTGAAGAAAGAAAGAACATTTTTTTATTTGGGACCGTACAAAAATGATGAAATATCAGTTATTTCAAAAATAGAAAAAAAAATTGGTTGGTTAGTCGTTTTAAATTTGGCTTTTATATGGTCTCGTGTCCTATTAAGATGGTATATATAGCTTTTGGTTGTTTTGAATATGAAAATCATCCGTGCAAAGACGTTTATAAGTGTATTTGTAAGCGTAGGATATGTATTTGTTATATTCTCTAGTTGGTATCAGAAATTTGTTGTTAAAGTTGATATAATAATGATTATAACTGTATATGTAATATTTGTCATGAATTGACATCATATCGACAGTTCTTTATTATGAAAAAAACAATTATTATCAATATAATATTTGAAACTATAAAGTAATATAAACTGAAATTATATTTCATATGACTTGTTCGTAATTTGTCAATATATGTAAGGTTTTAAAGCCAGCAATTTACCAATATAAGTTTTTTCTATGTGTAGAGCGATATATTTTTGTTTTATTCGAGTATTTTTGCATAGAAAAGTCGTTACCTTTAGAGAACTCGTGAAACTCTAGCTCCAACACCTCAGTCTGTAAGTTTTCCATGAATTTTCTGAATCCTTCAAACTTGAGGTCGTTCGTGCCCTTCTTGCCAAAGAAATGAACCTAGAACATATTTGCTTTATTACAATACAAAATAGATAACTTTATGAGACATTTTTACAAGAGTCTAATATTAATTCCAGAGCATTTATTGAAGTCATCATGATCATCAGCCTATCAGAGCCCACTGCTGAGCAAAGGCCTCTTTCTCACATGGAGAAGGTGTGAGCATTAATCACCACACTTGCTCAAGACGGGTTGGTGATTTCAAACTTATAATTGTGAAATTATAAGGCTAGGTTCCCTCACGATGTTTTCCTTCACCATCTAAATACTCTTATAAAGTACATATGACTCGAAAAAATCACACTGGTATTTGCCAGGATTCGAATCTGCACTCATGCCTGAGAGGCGGATCTTGAACCATTGGCCACCACGACTAATTATTTTAAGAATCAGAAAGTTACTTATAGTACAATGATCCTTATAATGTTACTAGCTTTCCGCCCGCAGCTTCGCCCGCGTGGAGTTCGGTTATATCGCGTTTCCAAGAGGACCTTTCAAAAGTCTGTGATAAAAACTATCCTATGTTTTTTCTCAAGTATACTCTATCTCTGTACCAAATTTCATTAAAATCAGTTCAGTGGTTTAGGCGTGAAAGCGTAACAGACAGACAGATAGAGTTACTTTCGCATTTATAATATTAGTAGGGTATTCTAACCTGTAACAGCGTGTCTACATTATGTCTTCTCTGTAGTCCCTGGTCGTCGTCAACATACTCGTGAGTTCCTTCGGCGCCGGCTGCTTCATCCGTCATACCACGCTTACCTTTCCACGCGAAACTGAAGATCTTTTCCATCTGAAATATACAAAATATCAAACCTTGATAAATCTATCCATTTTTTGGTGGCAAGAAATTACATTTAAATTCTTAGTTATATGTTATAATCTTAGACGTATTGAAGATTTTCTTTTGATTTCAGCCTTGGTAACGTTAATAATATTTCGAAATTAGATAGACCCAAAAGCGAGAAAATCAGATTTGAGAGGAAATTACGTAAATAATATTTTATTATTATTTTATATTATTAAATAATATTTTGGTAAACGTTTATTCTGCTAAAAGTTCGATTTGAATTATAATATAGACGAATGTTTAATTGTTGCTAAATTTTATAACACACATTTACAAAAATATTGGCTTTTTTACGCTATTTCAGCAACATATTATATCTTAAGTAATTTCTTAGTGTAGTCATCATAATTATACATATAACCAAATTGTGTTTTAATGTGCATTTACGGTACAAATGTCGTTTTATTAAAGTATTTTATCGGCTTCTACCCGTCTATAGGGCTCTGAAATTAGCAACTAATTATGCAAAACAAGTCACAGGAGTTGCAAACCAACACACACAAATGTAAACATACACACAATGCAAATTGAGAACCTTCCTTTTCGAAGTCGGCTGAAAAGATGGAAAAGAGGGTTCAAATGTTTTTTTTACTGAAAAAATCAGTACGAGTTAGAGAAAAGTGCAAAACAGGCTTTGTATGGTAACACACACAAAAATCTAAAGGTTTTTGCTTAACAATATACATTGTGTAATAGTACATTAATTAATTTTTCGATAACTATTCAAAATCACTCAAAACAAACTCAAATAAACATGGAAATATACGAAATAATATTAAAGAAATATAACACTCAAAATAATACAAAAAAATGCAAAACTTACCATACATCGAAAGCATAGATTATATAGAAATATACAGAATAAGAATAAAAATATGACATTAGGTACAAAGAGTAGTAAGTGTTATAAAGCGTTCACACGATTTTGAACTTACAGTGGTAGGTTTAGGTCTGTTTTCTGTTTGCTCCAACTTGTGTCTGAGCGCGCTTGAAGATACTAATGTAAGCAGCTACAAGGCGTTTATAATAAATATATATTAAATATAATAAAATAAAATATAACAGTTAAAAATAATAATTTACTTTTAAGTGTTTTAACTGAATTAGGACTTGTTAGTCTCATATATGATTGTATTTGTACATGAATTTAATTTTTGTTTAAACTTAGTTCAGAACCAAAAGAAAAAAAATACTAATCATTGTCAAGTAATTTTTAAGCTGATAATTTTGCACAATAAATCTATATAAATAAGTTATGAATTAATATTTTTTTTTGGGACAAATATCTTTTTTTCTATAGTGTGTTATTATAGGGCCATATAAAGCTCCCTCCACCATATAACAAACCATTATCACTCAAACTCACTGCTTTCTGACTGTGTACATCCAAATCTTTCCTCTCCTTCATTGAACCACCGAGTAGACGCTGTATCTATACCAAATAAACTAATAAAACAAAATACTATAAAACAAAAAATACCAAAAAAATCAAACCAGTGCCTGCTACTAGTTAAAAAAAAAAAACAAAATGGCGGTCCTTTTCACAAGGCATCCGCTGTTAATTACTGTGTACAAACAACTAATACAAATTCTACATAGTAAAAAATCTTAATCTACACACCTTACCAATTCACCATTGACATAAATATTATTAATCTATAATATGACAATTTGTCATTCATTTTGACAGATTATTTTTTTAATTCTATTCGACCATAGACAAGATGTCTTATCTGTACTTACAACTAGGAACTCATTTTTGTCAACTCTCTGGTTCCCGTCTGTGTCGAACATGTTGAAAGCTATCTGGAAACCGGATGCCGGTTCTGAAAATTAAAAATATATATTATAATCATTTTTTAAATAAATACCTCTTTTCATAGATATTCTTCTCCTATTTTGCACAAAAAATCTTGAATTTATTTATTTTGAAGTTATTATGTTAATATTCCATATAAGCGTAAATATATATTTTTTTTACCTATTTTATAATATATACTTTAAGTATAAATTTAAAATTACCATGAAATATATTAAAATTAAATTAAAATTTTTGTATTGTATTCAAATACTGTACTATAAAACTACTATAAAAGAGGTTGGTATATATTATTATTCATAGATTTAATCATTATATTGTCTATGGTATATATGTAAGTCAATCATGTGAATTATTCAACAATACTTGATTAAATTATGCTATATTGAGCAATCAAAAAATTACAAATCACTGTTTCAAAAACATTATGTATATTGCATTGGTTTGGTTCCAAACACACTTTGTGTAATGCAATTACAGCGATTTGGTTCTTTTTATCACCCCACTCCATTTTAATATTGAACAATGTATTGGCGCCAAAATAAGAAAACATAATAAAAAATTATATAAAAAAGACAGATTCCAAATTCAAATGTAATATTTTGTTTATTTTAAATTGTAACAGTATTTATGGCCAGACTATGTATTTATTATACTCACTCGTTAATATAGAAAGAAGAAACAGGTATTCTGTATATGAGATGATTCCTGGAACGAGAAAATAAGTTTAAATACAAAAATAAATAGTAATAATTGTTACAAGGGATGAAAATATGTATATTTATAACAGTTAAATATTAAACATTCAAACAACGCCATCTAGTGGCGAGTTGTAAAATAGATGAATGTTTAATTTCAAATATGACCAGTCTTTAGAAAGTGAAAACTAGCATTTCAATTTCGAAAATTCGTGCTGACAATTGCTATCAAAGAATGCAACACGTTCACAAGATATATCTATACTAATATTATAAAGCTGAAGAGTTTGTTTGTTTGAAAGCGCTAATCTCCGAAACTACTGGTTCGAATTGAATAATTTTTTTTGTATTGGATAGTCCAGTTATCGAGGAAGGCTGTGGGCTATATAACATCACGCTACGACCAATAGGAGCAAAGATATAGTGGTAAATGTGTAAAAAACGGGAGAAATTATTTCATCTTTGAAGCCTTCCGTTGCGTGCGCCGTGAAAACGGTTCAAGATACACAAAAAATATGTATCAAAGAATAATAGCTCTTTTAATGATCTAAAAAACAGTCCGCGACAGTGTATGTCTATCTTTTAAGATTAACTCACAAAAACCGTTTTTATGGTACCTAATTTGGTCGAAATAATTTGTTTAAGTTGTATCAACATAATAATATTAATCTTTATTCAAATAAATAAATATGTTGTTGGTTAAGAGTACTTCATTGTGAATTAAAAAAAAACATAGGTTTTATCCTGAAAATTCTACGGGAACTCGACCATTCTGAAAACCACGCAGGAACGGGAACTATGTGGGAAGAATCAAAAATCTGCCCGAAGTCACTATTCTACGCGCACGAAGTCGCGGCAAAAGCTAGTCTTAAGATATTTTCAATATAAATAAATATTTTCTTTAGTTAAAAAGGCAATATATAAGTAGTATCTTTGAAATATCTTTAACAGTATAAAGTCAATACTTCGTCTCATGTGCTACCTTTATCCCTCATACTTCTAAACATCTGTGAGGATCCTTTCTTCAACGGCGGGACCTGGTCTTTGAGCTGTTCTATCTCCTTGGCGGTTAGAACGCGGCGTTTCAAACGAGCTGTAATAAAACGCAAATACATTACTACTCCTCTTCTACCTGGCAATTTCCCAGCTTTAGCCAGGGTCTGCCTGACATGTTGTGAATAATTTTGGCTAATTGTTTTTACGACCGGCCGCCTGCCTGACATTAACCTTCTTTGGCAAATACATTACTACTCTATATATATATCAAACAAAAACAAGAGTTTAAGAAAAGTTAAATGCTTGACAATATAATTTTATCAATTCCAGTTTTTGACAACTACTTTGTCTGACAGTAGATGAGAAGATTTGTTATTTTATAAAATTATTATTTTTTCTTCTTCTTTCGAAGAGAATAACCCCAATAATTGTCAATCAAATCCGTACAGCCGTTCTTATGTTATAAATAGTGTTACTAACATGACTTTTTTATATAATATATAGATTTCCTTATGTAATAATACAAATCAATTCTTTTGAAGTAACTTCAAATGTATAGAAAAATTGTTTAATAGGAAAAAATATCTTGTTCTTTCAAACAAATTACACCAACTTATGTATCAATCTTATATATTTTATTCGTCTATCATAATGTAACCAGTGTATAAGATCTGTGATACTAACGTCGTGGTTCTTGTTCCACTACCGATTCTAAGAAGTCCTGAGGGGTCATGTATAGCTGGCCGCCGTATTCCACGCTCGCGAATTTAATGAAGCGACGCTCCCGTGACGTCAGCTTCACTGACTTCGATAGCTCTTCGGGTTGCTGTGGAAATTGAAACTTCACATTAACTTCACATATAATTTGTTTATTGCAAGAACAAGTTAGGGTATTTTTGGAGATTTTTTTTCTCGTTGAGATCAAAAGTTTTGTCTTTTTCATTTTATTCATAATTCAAAGAATGTATATGACGTGAATTTTTCTTCATTTATCAATAATTAAATTTGGATGTATTGAATTTGAGCATAATCTTTTAGGTAAACGTTCGAAATTCTAAGTATGAAAAAGCAAATGTTAATAAGAAAAAAATATTGATATAAAGGGAATACATACAATTATTTAATAGATGTAGACAGCGTATGATCTTTAAAATTATTTCGAAAGATTAAATATTTAAATTTTCTTATATATAGGTACATATTCAATAAATTATGAATTTATGTTTTCCAATAATATTTAAGATTTTCACGATTATGTATAGGCTCATTTAAATGAAACCAGTGCATGTCGGGTACAATGCGTTTATTTTGTTTGTGTTTTTTAACGAGTATATTTGGAAAAAGTATTTAGGTTTATTCAATAAATGTTATAAATAAATATTAATAAATTGAATTACAAAACTGAAATACAAAACATATGTAATTATGATTATTTATATTCATATTTTTACTTAATAAAATATTAATATTTAGAACATACTTCTTATGTAGTTCGTTGCTCGTCAAAACTAATTTCCATTTGATATATGTCCTAAAATAGATCATTCTACGTTATATAATGATACAATAGTTTTTGGCTTATATTTAACCCATTAACAATCCAAACACGCGCTTAAATGTAACTTAAGATGACAAAAGTCTCTAAAATAGTCACGAGATCTTTCCATCACCGTATTATTTTGGTCATCGTTTTAGGTTTCTCTTTTTAAAATTTCTGACAGGGCGGTCGATGTATTTTTGGCAAGATAATTTTGCTTCCGAATAGATACATGTAGTTTTAGGACAGTCTTTTTCTAATACACTAATCTTTTCCCACGGTTCTCCTCAAATAGTATATTTAAACTGTTTGTTCAAACAGAAAATAACATTTTGTCGTTACGATTTCAATATTTATTATATTTGAATAGTCGTGTAAAAACTGCACTATTATCTATATATATAAATATGAATCCCTTTTTCCATTGGTCACGGATTCACGCGTGAATGGCTGGACCGATTTCAATAATTCTTTTTTTGTTATATTCGTAATTATTAGGAGAAGATTCTTATGTAAGAAAAAATTCTAAAAAAAAAATATAATATTTCACTTTTTTAATAAAGAAATTAACTTCATTCAGATAAAGTAACATACATATATTTCTCGATTATAGGGCGGTACGAAATTCGCCGGGTCAGCTAGTTGAATAATAAAAGTCTAGGTTAGTTTATCAATGGTGACTGGTAGGTGAGTTTATTTTAACAAGACACAAATCGGCGGATCTTAGTCCTTAGTTCAATTTAAACCCTAGGGACGAACTGAGACATTCATACCTCATAGAGAACAGATAGATCAAGATCATCCTTAGAAAGAGTACATCATGAAACAATGTATCAAGTAATTATTTAAAGGTATTATAATATTAGTAAATATTATTGAATGAGAATAATTTGTTTTGGACATTGTTCGAATATTTAATAAATCTGTGTAGCTTAGTATATTAGAAAGGTGAGAGTTTCTTGATCTTTCAAGCAGTGGCGGCTGTACCTTAAGTGCACTCGTGCGCTGAACCACCAATTCAAAAGATTTGAAAATTACAAAATATTACTTCATCTTTATTTTTAAATTACCATTTTAATATTTATTTTTAAAACATATAAAAACGTATTAAAAATTAAATTTCCTAATTATGGTCAAAAAGTTTGAGCGCTTTACTAAACTAATATCTCGTGCGCTTCGGCGAGTGCACGAGGACTGCTAATACATCTTGTATGAGATACGCATTAATACGCCTGACGTGTGAAACAAAAGATAGTTCATAGAAATGTACCGAGTAATGAGTCGGTTGTCGAGCGCCGCACGAGCGGCCGAAGATTACCGAGAGCACGCGATGTATGACGAATTAAGCCATGATTGACATTTCGTTATGTTTTGTTGCATTTTCTAATTTTAATATTTTAGTAAAGTGCACCACCGGTTCGATTACCCACCGGCCGCCACTGCTTTCAAGTAAAAACAACTGAGTGATATTTGATAAAAAATTATCTGTACATTTGGCTCGTGACTATTGCTAGAGCAACCAGGACATCGTTTAGCAAAATAAAAAAGTATGCTAGTGTAAATAGCAATTTATTAATATGATAATTGTGTAAAGTAATGTAGCCTATAACTTAGATATCAGAACAAGCCATTTCTATAATTTATCTCCAAAATCAGATAAGATCAAATAATAATAGTTATATCGTGTAACAATTGTAACTTATAACAATCTTTATAAATTTATCTCCCAGACTAAATCCCTAGTCAATAGTTAACGCGGACGAAGTCGCAGACAAAAACTAGTTTCTAATAAAATACATCGACTTAACAGAATATTTTCCTTTAAATTGTGTGATTAAAAGTTCTTGACTCTACATATTGTAAAAACTTAAAAGTGTATATTATATCGTCTCCCAGACATAATTTTGGGTTTAAAAATCGTATTATAAAAAAACAATGGTCAGTTTTCACTTAAATTATATTCTTTTTAACTATAGTCGACTTTAATTTACAACCCCATCGGTATAAATGCTTTATTCATATAAAACACTGGCACTCATTCAAGGGGTTGGATTTATAGCTATATTTGTAACAAAACGGTTGTTAAAATGTGATTTTGGTAGCTATAATTTATTGGGTACGCGTCAAGACTAATTTATTTGGGGTTACTTTAATGGAGGGCTAATTGATTTAATATGTAAGGGCGTTGTCTTTTTGTGGCATATTTTTTTCTCGTTTTTATTGTAAACGGTGTTTAGTGAAGTGTCAGGCACTTTACTTCAATTGTTCTGTGTTGTTGAAAAGTTATCGAAAGTTATGAAATACGAGAATTATATACCAAAAATATTGTTTTATTTAAATGTTTATTTGCTAAATCTTTGACATTTCTAATATTAAAATTTTCTATCACAGCTATTTTTACACTTTTTCATCATACATGATAAAATTATGTCATATTCAATTCCCTATCATGAATTTGAAACGTGATTTTTTTTTCATTTATACACCTAAGCAGCTCAAGTAGGTTCTTTTTCAATTTGTTTATGTAAAGAGAGGAGCTTGGACGGTGGAGGTGAGTGTTTAACTCACGTTATATAGTGGCCCCTTAAACCTACACCTGGGTCGCAAGTCCCAGTCACTGTTGAAGCTCCTCTCACTACAACGATGGACCCGACACACGCACCGTGAATACATTGAATGATGAGAAGTTTCGTCGAGTTATTATCAAATCTTCTGGTCTTCCGAATGCTAATTTTAATATTAGACCTGACGTATCCAGATGTAATTTCAAGTTACAGATACTTAATTCATTTATAAAAGTGTAAATAAATTTAATTGAACGAAGATTACATTTCCAGAACTTACAGACGTTGAAAGAAATATAGGTGTAGCTGAAGCATTACGACTTGAGAAAACCTGGTCCAGGTCGGTAAAATAAATTACTAGTATGAAAAATGACGGCACCTGAACCACGTATTATGTACATATATACCTAATATAAAAAATACATTTTTAGATATAAAAAATAATGAGACGACATTAAATATTAACATTAGAATTACATTACATATATTTAATTATTACATGTTATACAAAAATTTATATATTTTAAGTCAAATTTTCAAAAAAATTGTATGGGAAAAAATACCCGGCTATTATTCCAATTTTTCTCACCTTTTAAATCCCTGGACTTCATACGATCGGTTATCCATCCATTTTTATATATATAAGATTATTAAGCTTTACATTTTGAGTATTATTGAAATTAAAATAATCATTCATACGATATCCATTATTATTAACTAAAGCTTTCAATGTTGACGGTAACTGTAATCTTAAAACATATAATTTCTCAACACTAATCTCTCTTTCACTTACTAACTATATTGATAGATGAGTTAGACAGAGTTAAATGAGTAAATATAACAGTATCTTTTTCTTCCTGGCAATTTCCCAGCTTTAGCCAGGGTCTGCCTTACATTTTGTATATAGTTTTGGCTAATTGTTTTTACGACTCGCCGCCTACCTGACATCAACCCTCTTTGGGAATGCATTAATCAGTGATGTCTAAATACTCTAAGAAAGTACATGTGACTCGGAAAAATCACATTAGTACTTGCCAGGATCGAACCCGCGCCCTCGTACATAAGAGGCGGGCCTTTTAACCACTAAGCCACCACTGAGTTTCTAACTTTTAGTATAACAGTATATCTTGGACATTATAATATATATGTATGAAGATAATTTATTTAAAATTTCGTAAAAAACTTCTGGTTTACTTAAAGGATATGTACGAAATAACATTGTCATTATTTTTCTCTAGGTTCAATAATAATCATCACTGTATTTTATTTTTCATATTGAATATTATATATATTGGTATCGTAAAAAATTTACTAATATTGATATTTATATGATTTCTTATAAGTCTTTCACAAAAAAATTACCAGTTTATTTAAAAAAAAAAAAAACTAGTAAGTTAGAGTTTTACTATGAATAAAAATAATATTAATTCTAGTTACAAAAAATATTTGTAAAGGAATTAAATCTTTCAATACATATTGAACAGAATAAAATTAACTATTTTATTTCAAGTGACTCATTATAATAAAACTTAGTACTCTAAAATTATAATGACAGAGAGGTACGCAATACGTACAATGAGAAATTAAAGAGTCTCTTAGTATTCTATATAACAAACGTAATTCTTTTACGAAGAAAAATTTCAATGTTTTGTGATTCATAGCGATGTTGAATCACATTACAAATGAGAAGTAAAAAGGTTGAGATAAGATAGATTCACACATCAG